CTACAGAATGAGTACAAATATGATCTTCCAGAGTTTCAAACCATAATAAAAGATATTCCAGAACACCTGCTCAAAATGTTCTTCATCATGTTGATAAAAACCAAAGACGAGATAAACTTGAAGAAGACCCTTTAAGTTGCTACGGTTGTGTGGAGCTGTCGGTGTTATTAAATCAAAATGTCCTACCTGCTCAAAGCCCAAAAGAGAAGTATCTGCAAATAATGTTAATTTGTATGTATTTCAATCATCACCACCCTGTTTCTTAAAAATCTTTGGAACATATGCTGCTGTCTGTGCTGACACTGGGGCATCTCATTCAATTGCTGGAGAGAAGTTATATCATCGATTACGAGAAGTGAAATTTAGATCCAAGATCATATCTTTGGTACTTGCTGATGGAACAAAGAACAACGTAGATGCTTTGACTACTGTTGTCGACTTTAACGTAGAAGGCAAAGTGGTACCAACAGAACTAATTGTTTTGCCTGAAGCCGAAGGAAATAAAACGCTTTTAGGCGTAGACTTTCTCCAAGCTGCGGGAATCGTTTTGAATGTGCCTAATGGTACATGGTATTTCCATGAAAATCCACGTATGCAATATACTTTCTATGAAGTTCCTCCTAAGAATGCAGAATATACATCCAGTACTAACTCTGAGAAAATGAATGAAGAATTATTCAATCAAGTTAAAGTTCTTGGAATATCATCTACTATGACGCTTCGAAGTGATGAAGGTAAAGAACTTACAGAACAGCGAAGGAAGCAACTAAATTCCTTGTTGGAAAAATTTGAAAAATGCTTTCAATCAAGGGGAGATCCCACCCCTTTTATAGCTCACAAAATAAATATAGGCAACCATCTCCCTGTTGCTTTACGCCTTATAGGATGTCACCTACTAACAAAAAACTTTTAAGACTTTTAAAAGAAGGAATAATTGAAGAGGCCCAAAACAAAATGGAACAATGCGTTTATGTATTGATTATAGACAGCTTAACTCTATTACAGTTCCAGACTCCTACCCATTACCAAGAATAGACGATTTATTGCACGAAGCTAAACCCTTTATGTCGACGATTGACCTGAAATCTGGTTACTACCAAATTCAAGATAAAATTGCTGTCCGTTTGGAACTTATCGTTTCAAACGTATGTCCTTTGGACTTGGAAATGCCCCTGCAACATTTCGAAGATTGATCGACCGTTCCCGTAATGGTCTGGAAGACATTCTAACTCTCGCGGACAGTATAATTATTTTGTCCGAGACTTTTGAGAACTCATACGTTTCAAACTTCGCGCCAATCGACAAAAATGTTGCTTTGCATCTACTGGAGTGAAATATTTAGGGTTTTGAATAACCCTAAAAGGAATAGAAGTTGATCCTGAAAAAATGGCCTCTATCCAGAGCATTCCACCTCCGAAAAATGTTAAAGAGATCCAATCCTTTCTTCAAACATGTTCCTGGTTTAGAAGATACATTCAAAATTTTGCTGAGGTTTCACGACCCCTCAGTGACCTCACAAAAAAGAAGGCTCAATGGAATTGGGGATTTCAACAGCAGACGGCATTCGAAACACTTAAAAAATGTCTTAAAACAAGCTAATGGTACAAAGCCGTACATTGTCCGAACTGATGCCAGTAACTATGCTGTAGGAGCTGTTTTACTTCAAGGCAATGGATCCGACGAACACCCTATGCGAGTCGACTACTTTCTCAGGCTGAACGCCTGACAACTGAAAGAGAAGCGGTTGTATGGGCTCTCAAAAAATTTCGTGGAAGGATCAGAAATTATCGTGGCCACCAACCTTTGAAATGGCTATTTAGTGTTAAACCTCCAACCGGTAGACTTGCTCGATGGATACTAGAAATACAATCTTATAATATCCAGTACACCCCAGGAAATGTCTCTTGAGTCGCCCAGTCTGTGAGCACCAAGAAAAAACGTGTCCAAATTGATTTTTCAGGCAGAGGCACAATTGAACGATGCAGAATTAAAAAAAGATTGCTTTGAAAGCAAAGAAAAGGAATTGCGTGACCAGTTATAGTCACAAGGTGTATTATATCGTTACGCTCCTAAGAATTAGTTGTTCCTTTACATGAAAGAATATCACCTACCGCTGGTGATTTATATTTTCATTTAATCTTGCCAGAAAATCAATATACCCTCAGTCTCAATAGTGTATTTTCTTAATACTTTAGTAAAAAAAAACGTTTAAATAAAATAAATTAATTTTGCAATAAGTAATAATTTAAACGCTTGTAGTAAGATTAATAAATGTAATATTTTTATCCTCATGATTATAAACATGTGTCTAAATCATTTTCATAAGCAGAGTTGGGCTGATTTTTTTACAAATCCGATTTATCGACATGATTATTTTGAATGCAGAATTTATTGAAAAGTTATTTAGTTAAGTCAGATTACAAATTCCCTCTACGACCCAGCTCTTATTTGATTTTTGCATTTATAAACTTTAAGAAAAGCTTTTTATTTTTTTAAAACAATTTTACAGCTAATTTTGCTGGATATGAAGATTTAATTGATTACATCAATTAAATCTTGTTCCTTGAACAAATATCGATAAACTACACTACTGTCTGTAAGATATTAAAAAATGTAACTAAATAAATATACAAAAAAAAAAATTGATTATTTTGAAGACTGTAAATTTGAAAAAAAAAAAATAATTTCTGATTGTCATGTTTTCAAAGAATCACCCATATAACTGTCTAATATTAACATTTCAAGTTACCTATGCTTACATATACATCAAATGCCTTTAGTCTGAATCTATTATCTGCAACTGGATGACAATATTATTAGACTTGTTTTATTTTTAGTGGGATGATAAGTGGTTAGGAAGAATTTTTAAATAAAAAAGAAAGCTTAATGAACGTTTTATGAGCACTTATGTAAGGAAAATATTGCTAAATCTATGTAAATTATAGGAATAATTGGAAGATATGGTGTATTATCTGACTATTTCAAAACCAACACACCTCCCGTTAATCATATGGTACCAAAGAATATGTATTCTTTGCCTCCCACCATGACGAAAGTGCTACAGCGGATGTTAGCAATAAAGCCCTGACGTTGGAATTTATGATTGATAATAGATTACACTAAAAGTTCAATGTAGATTGTTTAAAATTAAATTTATAATTATTATATAAGATTACAAATTAGATGAGCTAAAATATAATCATTAAGATGTATAACCAGAGTATCATGTCAAAATTGCTGATTTAAATAAATTACAAGTTGCATTTTTTTTTTAGTAATAAGAAATTCTATTTTCGAATTATTTGTAAACATAGCATAATTTCTCTTATTGTTTATTATACTTTGCTTAGTTCAATCCTCTCTTTATAAACTATTTAAATTAAATCCCCCTCCCTCTCTCTATATATTTTTAAATTGAAAATAATACAGAGATGATTGTGCTCCGGAAAAAATCCGGGTTTCCAGATTTTTCGCTAATTGCGATCCGGAAATCCACAGTCCAGAAGTTTACAGAAATCATCGATCACATTTATGTATAAAAATTCTTGTATATTTTATTTAAAAATATTAGAATTAATACTTGGCATCTCTTTCATTAGTAAATATTTTTTCTGGTAGAATAATAAATGTGATTAGAGATAAAAGTAAACTAAATACATAATTTAAATTATGCTGCATATAATTTAAGTAGACTTTCACGTTGTGAAAATATCAATGTCTGACTATTATATTCATGTTGTGAAAATATCTGACTACACATTCTTTGTATTCCAATTTCATATAAATTTACCCAGGTTGCCACTCTACAAGCAAAACCTGGAAAGTACAGGAAAATTTAAAATCACCTAAAATAACAAAGAAAATTCACAGAATTTTGAGTTTTTCTTTAGAAAATAGAGGGAATTTTGTATCTTATTTTCATCTTTTAAAAAATGGTAACCGCTCAAAGTGCAGGATATTCAAGGATGATGCTTCAACTATATTAAACTTTACTATAGCGATATTTGTTTTTAAGCTGTTCCTTATTTCAGTAATTAAAACTAGTACAGTTAGCCCAATACAACTCATACAAGAGTTTCAGTGATTGCATTTATCCTCTTAACATATTATGTATAATATGTACATTTTAGATTTTCAAATTCATGACTAATTCCAAGAATTTTTCCTGACTTAACGAATTTACTCCGACAAAAACACAACAATAAATTTAAAAAAAAAAACATTATAATAACATCAATTGAAATGATAGGTATAAACAAAACTGTTATACTCTGCATCTTCATATTTATAGATTTCAAATTTAAAGAACAGAGTGAAGAAAGAGTTGAAGCCATAAAGTAGCTTAAAAAAATACAAAAGCAGATAATTTCTGCAGAAATATATTCTAAAGATACTTTTCTTGTTCATCGGAAAGGAAAGAAATACTTCTGATTTTTCTGTTCTCATTTCGAAATGGAAAGGAAAAAAAAAATCGCCAATGACTGGCTTGCTTCAGTTAGAACTTTAAATTGATAAAATAAAAAATAACAAAAATTCTGAAATCACAGAATAGAGTTTAAAAGATAATTCGCTTTAGAAATGATGTTTTTTCTTTCATTTTTTGAAAGAACACCATCATTTTTGAAGAACAGGGTGAAAACATTTTATATTTTATTGGACTGTGAGTGGGGTTTTTGTTACAAATTCAGATATTCGGAACACCATGAAATCGGAGGGTAAATTCCATTTTAAAAATTAGATTTTTCGGCAACCTAAATCTATGACTTTCCATGATTTTTTTTAAAAAAAAAATAGTTAAAATCATGACAAATTTCATTCAATAACGAAGTTTATGATTTCTCATGACTTCCAGGTGCGCAGATACTCTGTGTACTATATATATATTTCTCAACACTTTTCAACTGGGTAAATGTATCAAGATTTTATTAAGTAAAGTTTTAAAAATGATAGAATATAAAGTAAAAATTCTTTTCAAATAATTAATGAATATTCTTTTTCAGATTTGGAAGAAGAGGAAAAGCAAGGAATTGTGATATCTGTCGATCTTCAACACATTATGCCGATTAAAGGTGCCATCATCATTTCAGAATCAAATTTCACAGAACCTTCCGTACAACAAAAGATAAGTGAACTTCTTCCGGGTGGTAAAGCAGACGTGATACTCAGTGACATGGCACCTAAGGCAAGTGGCATGTCGCACATTGACTCTGTCGAAATATTGAAATTAGTGTATAGTGCCTTGAGTTTTGCAGTATTAACACTGAAAAAAAGAGGAGTATTTTTATGTAAAGTGTGGGACTCTAACGAAGTCGAAACTTTGTATAGTAATTTGCAAAATTTATTCACGACTGTAAAGCGTATAAAACCAAAAGCAAGTCGCTCTGATTCATCTGAACTGTTTATACTAGCAAAAGGTTTTAAAGGGATAAAATAATTTTCTGCAACTCTGTCTGGAATTACCACGTGCCATATGCGACATTAGGCAGGGTGACAGATTCTATTATGTGTAGCCACATCAGGATGCGTAATGTTTTTAAAAAGTGCTTTTTTCATTGGATGTTTTTAAAAGGTGCTTAATTTTTCCTTTTTCAAAATGAGATTTTTCCTTGTTGATTTTCGCTAGGAATTATGCAAAAAGACGCAGTTCACATTGTTCTATTCAACGTTTTCACAATTAATTAATTCATCCCCAATCTATTTCGGCGTATTGTCAGTCTGTAGCGTATGAAAACGCCATTCGTTTTACATGGTTCAAAACTTCATGATTTTTGACACAATTGTCAAAAACAATGCCAATAGTTTTTTTTTTTCTTCTTTTGGCATGACAGTTGAAACAAGATAAAACCGCCAATTGTTAAAAATTTTCCAACCCTGCCCAGTTAATATATATTTTTAAAGTGCTTAAAAATATTTTTTGAGTCCTTGAAAAGTGCTTATTTTTTGATGAATAATTTGGCTACGCACCCTGTACATATATTAATAAATATTTGATAGTTTTTATACCATTTGCTTTAACTTATTAAAGGAAAATAATATATTAGGAAAAGATTTATAACTTTTGAATCTGCACAGTTCATTGAACAAAAGTTTATTCCTTTAAATACGAATAAATATGCTTAATACTGATAAATTATGTTTCTGCATAAAGATAAATAATGCAATATTTAAAATAATAATAAACTTTTTTTATAAAACAAAATCTTGTCTTCAGTTTGTTTCTTGTTCAAAACTCAACCTTTTTATTTTTCACTATATTTTTTTTAAAAATTTGAAACATAATTTGAATAAAAGGGTTTTGGACGGTTTAAACCGTGGATTAATCTATTCTGTCCTAAACCTTGCCAACGGTACTAGGCTTAGCAAAAGTCCAGATAGTTCTGAATATATTTTTTATTTATGAATATAGTTTTTACTTATAAATAATTTATAATTTTAGTAAAAATTATACGTTAATTAATTTATAGAATTTAAAAGTCATAAATATGACAAGGATGTTAATGACCTAAAAATTCATAAAAAAAAAAAAAAGGCCTTTAAAAATTAGAAGCTTTTATTAATCATTAAAAATGACTTTTAAGTTTTCCAAAACATTTTTTTTATCGTTTTAATTGTAAACCTAGCAATTTTACCTTTGTGCCAGTTGGGTCCCATATATTCCTGCACCATATTGATATGTCTAGATTTTTTAATATTAATCCTTTAGAGAACCTGTATTGGCTGAATTCTATGTAGGTCCGATACTGGCTGTAAAATATCGTGTGAATTGGACAATTCTATATAGGGAAAATAACGGCCATTATTGAGCCAAGATTTGTACAATGAGGGTTCATCTAGAGAATACTTGTGTAAAAAAAATTAGGTTTAATAAATATACAATTTATGAATTAATACTTGATAAATATTTAGTTTCCAAGAAGTATCGTTTTTAAAAAGTGCTTAATTTTTTCCTTTACCATGTTGAGTTTCGCTAAGACACTCGTTTTCACAATTCATTCAACCCCCCCTATCTATTGTTGTATAGCGTGTGAAAAAGCCATTCGTTTTACATGATTTTCGTCTATGCCAAAAGTTTTGACATGACGGTTAAAACAATTGTCGAAAACTTTCCTACCCTGCATAATTATGATATTTTTTTAGTGATTAAAATTATTTTTTGAGTGTGCTTATTTTTTGTTAATATTCTTAAAATTGAAAGATTGCTATTGTATGAAGGCAAGAGAAACTATTTGACATCACCTATAGTTATTGAGGGATATTTAAAACAACAAGATTCAGCGCAAAATTAACATTATGAAGAAAAAAATAAATTCAAAAATATTTCTTTTTAAAAGGAAAAATTTAAAATAGAATTATTAAAAAGGAAAAGAATCGACAAAACTCAGGGATTTCAGACTTTTTTTTTTTTTTATCAAAAACGTTTTTTTTAATTAATATTCCGGTTTTTTTTCTGAAAATTCAGCCGTTGAAATAATTCGATTTGATATATCGAAAGCTGCCAATAACCCTTCCGCACTTAATTTAGTTTCTATAGAATCATTTTTACCCTCTGCATTTTAATATCAAACATCGATTTTCGTATTTACCCGATTCTCGCGATATCGTTCATTGCAATTCTTCTTTACGAGATCCAATATCGCGATTTGTATACAGACGTTTTTAAAATTCTATGTAACGATTCATGAGAGTTTATCCAAAGTCGTGATTCGTTTTTGCAGTTGTAATATCCAACTTCTATTTTCGTATTTACTTGATTTAAAAATTAGGCTTTGGATACGTATTAACGCCATTTAGAAATTATGTATCGTAATTTGTATTTACGCGATCTGAAAGTTACGCATCATGATTTGTATTTTCACATTTTTGAAATTTAATGTCGAGTTTCATTCACTTACTTATTTCAATATCGTGATTTATATTCACGCGATTTTAAAATCCGTTATCGCGCGATTCTTGTAAAAAGCAAGTTTTTGTTTTGAATTAGTTACTATAAATGTGGCAGTTTTTCTATCGGCGATTATTGCTATATTACAACATTAGCCAAAACTGGATAAGAATATGTTACTGATATTTTTGCTATAAATCACGTAAGATGTACTCGTGTGAAAATTCAGCTTTTTTGCCTTTTGACCAATCTCATACCTGAAAACTACTGAAAAAGAAAAACCCATTAATACTGGTCATTAGCCAAGGCTGCATAGGAAAATGTCATCCTAGTGCTGATAATAAATTTAGTTTTTAAAATATTTTTGTTATGATGTAGATCAACAGTAAGGGAGAGTGGGGTGGAACCGTATACCTCTGGATTAAACCTTATTAACTGTGTGGCAGAATTTTTTTTCTAACTATCTGCGACAAAACTATCCACTAATATCTTTTAATAATAACAAACATATGTGGTGTTAATAATTTAAAATAACAAAAGCGCTGTGTTTACTACAAAAAAAAAAAAACTATATAATTTTTTTAATTGAACATGTAATAATTTTCTATTCTAATATTGTGGGTGATATTCTCACATTTTGTTGGGGGAAAAACTCACTAATTATTTCCTTCGTCGCAGTTTGTAAATAATCTGAATCACAGTAAAGAAATAATTAAAAATCATAAAATCCGCGTATAGTAATAATTTCTCAGAAAAAGATCGACAACGAAATCACGTGAATCGGATTCCTCAAATGTGTGTTCGTTTTGAGAAAAGGGTGTTGTAATAAATAATATTGTATAAAAAAAATATCGGATTTAAAAACTAAGTAGATCAATAGCAATAACCAAAAAATCGATAGAATCATTGCCTAAATTTTTAAGTGCACGATTCGAATTTTCCATATTGCTTGAAATATACCGGGATATTTAAAAACCACGTGAAAATCAATATCAATAACTGCCAAAAATACAACCGAAACATTACATTGATTTACCATATTATCGGCGTAAATTGGGCTCGCCAAAAAGTGATAATTTAAATGGATGATTCAAACTTTACGTGTAAATTTCTGCAGAAAAGAAAATTTTCTTTATTAAAGAAAAATCTTTCTGCAAGAACGTTCTGCGACAATGTCACCCTGTCGTTGCAATTTTGCCACGGGGGCTTACAAGTTATACACCACTGTTACTGGATTTATGTGTAGTGTGTTGTAGTGATTGGCTCACCGCCAGAGGGCGAGTTAATCACTAACCCAATTAAAGAGAAGGGTATATAGATGAAGAGGCTCGTAGGCTGGTCTTTCCTCGATAAGAGAATATTTCTATAATTCTGTATTTTGGTCGCTGAGGGTCCTTATATGCTCATAATTGTTTTGTTTTAAATATTAATAAATATTATTTTATTGCTGTTACATTGGTGGATATATTTCAAAAGCAATAATGCACATGACACGTGTGTTTGGTCTTTTAAATAAAATAATGATAAGAATTGCCAAAATATTTAAAAATAATTAAAGTCCCTTTGAAGCATCACATAACAGAGGGAATAAGTGAAGATTTAATTTTCACCCTGAAAAAAGCTTTTTCAAGTTTATTTGTTAGTTAAATAAGGTAAATTCAATAAATATTTTAATAGATACGTTTGTAACAAAAAATCTTTCTTCTTCATAAAGTCTCATCATCAACGGCTCGGCAGCCCAAGGTGGGCCTTGGCTTTCTCAAGAAGCTTCTTCCTGCTAGTGTTTTCCAGCTTTTAAGACCAAAAGGTCTTTTTCTATGCCATCTCACATTCGGCCTGCCTTTTTTTCGTGTGCCAACTGGTCTGGCATTGAAAACTCTCTTTTTGTGGTACGGTCTTCGTCCATTCTGATAACGTGGCCTGCCCATTTTATTCTTAGTCGTTTAATAAAGTTAATAATGTCAGGTTAATTATATAAAGAGTGATAAATCTCTAGACTTCTAAGCCACACAACATTTTTTTCTAAAAAATACTTGTCAATACCTTTTCTCTTAAAGGTACCCAACATAGCCTCATCCGTACAAGACAGGTTTCACAAGCATATGTTAAAATTGATCTTAGAAGAGTAATGAAACTTCTATGAATTACAGTAGATTTATTAAAACATTTATTGGCTATAGTAATTCTTCTTTATATTGTTCCTCTTGTTGTTTGCAGAACTCAAGTAAACGACATTGTCAACTACCTCTCAAATTTATATTCTTTCATTTCTAAAGGGGTGTTATTGAAGCTTGTTTTAGTGCAGGGCAAATATTTAGTTTCGTTTATTCATAAAATCTCATAGATAAAAGATTTTCATGCAGATGCTTACCTAACATGAATCAGATGTGATTCGAATCTAGCATTAACTTAATATTATTTGCCATTAAAACTAACTATCATAAATGAAAATCAATTTATTTTAAAGAAAATAAAAAAAGATTTGGATTGGAAGTTTTTTTTTTCCTTGTAAAGCTTAAAACTAATTTTCATATTAGTCAACGTAAATATATTCAGAACAGCAGTTTCTTAATAAAAATACCATAATAAAAAGCAAAAAAAAAAATTACTTCATGTTATAATAATCACTGTTTACATTAAGAGAGTAAAAGCGTCTTAATTACAGAAAGCTTGGCTTTAAAAACAGAATGTGCAATTGGTGTATAGGTCATATATAAACAAGCAGCATATAAACTATGTCATTTAAGCACATTAGCTTCATAGACTCCATCTTTTCACAAAAGATTTTTCTAATTTTGTTTGCTTTCTTACAATTCAAAAGGGAATTTTCATTTTTGTGTAAGTTAGTGGATTAGAAAAAACTCTGACAAGGCGATGCAATTATTGCACCTTTTCTACCAACCAGTGATTAGCAAAATTTTATGCTATTAATAAAAAATGATTTTAAATATTACAGCTATCTTAAAAGCTCTTCAATTTTTTTTCAGCATTTGATCGACGCTTACTTTTTTTGCTAAGAAACTATGTATATTTATTCCATATTATTAAGTATTTAAATTTAATTTTGTATAGTGAGCAAATTTATTTTCATCTGGTACATCCCCAAAATGACAATTTCTAAGTCCATCATTTCAAATACAATTATAATTTCAGGTGGTTATTTTAAAGTATCTCATTCATTCCTTTATTTATTAGAATCAATTTCTAAGTGCTTTTTAAAATTGTATTGTTTCAATTACGTTATTATTATGAATTTAACTACTCACTTTTTACAGCACTTGACTCATGACAATCATCATAAATCTGTTTTCTGATCACTTTTTCAGCTATTTCCACGAGGAATTTTCATATTCCAATATTTTTAGATGAATCTGATAACAAGATTTGACAGAACTTTTTAGTTCTTAAAATAGCCACCAGTTTGTGAAAATAAACCACTTTTTTTTTGTAAAAATAAATTATAATATCACTTTTTCAGTTATTTCTACAAAAAAATTTTCTAATTCCAATATTTTTAGATGATAACAAGGCTAGACAGAACTTTTTAGTTCTTAAAATAGCCATCTTTTAATATAAATAGCCACCAGTTTTTGAAAATAAACCACCTTTTTTTCTTTGTAAAAACATAAACTATAGTTGCCTTGATTTCAGTAGCAAATCTCCAGTAGAGGCCCCAATACACAGTCACATTATTCGACGCACTGTAAGATTCTATGTAAAATCTTAATTATAAGGTGATACTAAGCAACTGAAATCGGTTTGCACTTGTTTACGTTAGTGTATCAGTTGGTTAAATTAGATGAGTTGATACATTAGACCATATATTTTATAAATATAGAATATTTATTATATAGGGTATTATATTGTAATAATTGGACTAAATGATTAGATACACTATAGTCTTTTAATATGTTTTGCACTAGGCAATACTTTTATAAACAAGACATGGGTTTTATTCGCAGATTTTTTTTATATATTTGTGTTTAGGTATTGCATTAACCAATTGAAACAAACAGTCGCATAAAAACAATAAAGCTGTATAGAGTATCACCTGATAATTAAGATTTTAAATAGAATCTTATAGTGCCTCTAATAATTTGGCTAAGCATATATAGATAATTATTTAGCTTAATTACATGTAATGCAAAGAATGTTGTTAAAAACAAGAACTAAGGAAAATATTTGTTTCAACAATTTATTACCATAAAACTCCAAAATCAAAAACATGAATAAGTTCATTTTTTTTCTTTCCTGGATTAAAGTACATTTGACACCAAATATTTTTTTTTCTTCCGGTTAAAACAGACATATCTTGAATAGTTCACTAACCACAATATATATATGTACAAAACTCAAGAAACAGCACAGGAAAAAGACAAAATGTTTGATGCAGCAAAAAAAAAGTCTATGTGTATAGTTAAGAACTTGATTTTTTGTTCAAGAGCACTTTTAGATGATAATTGGTTGTAAAATTATTTTCAAGTCCAGATTAAACAAACAATTAATATAAACTGAACGTGACATGAAAGTTCAGCAAAATAATTTATGTCTCAATTCACAGTAAGTTCAACAATAATTTATGTCTCAATTCACAATAAAGACTAGACTCAACACTTTTACAAAACTCTATATCCATATAGAGATCTGCACAAATGGTTTAACATACATATAATTTGAATAAACTACTAATGTGATACAATAGGAAAAATATGTAAAAATTGCGAAATAATTACTTACTATATAAAAACTCTATGACAAATGAAATTATTTGGAAAAAACTTGATAGCGAACAATGTTTCTTCGAAATGTACAGCGTATATATATTTTTATTTATTAATTTTTTTTAAACATGTACAAAATAATAAATACTATTGTTAATATTATCAGTTAAATAAGTCATTCTAACAAATCTTTTAATAAAAAAAAAAAAATATGAAAATGATATAATGACCAATCTTGCAGACACCATGAATCTTTGACATCTTACTATCTACTTTGGAATGATTTCCTGCAAAACCTAAAAGAAGTGAAAAAGTTTTTTTGTTTTGTAAAATTAAAGCAATGTGTATCAACAATTATCAAAATAAAAAAAAAAAATCAGTTTACCAATTGAGTGATTAAAATGAAAGATAATTAATGAGATAAAATAATACAGTAAAAATTGGCTACAACAATAGTTTAGGGACCAAATAAATATATTGTAGAAGAGGGATATATTATTATATAGAGGGCCTTTGCGACGCAATAAGATTTTTAAAAAATTTTAATGTTAAATATGTATTAATTATAAATCTATTTATATGTTATATAAAAATATAATTTGGAGAATGTTAATTATGGTTAAATATGAAATCAGTGACTTCTTAAGAGATAAGGGAGGCGATTCTAAAAATGGAACAGTCTTGGGGTGTACATCAAGGATGGGATATTGAAATCTGAATACGAAAGCCATTCACTGTGGTGAAAAGAAATAAGTTAAGTACATACAGGGTATCTGCTACCTTTTAGATTTTCAAATTCATGACTAATTTCAAGAATTTTTCATGACTTAACGAACTTAATATTTTCGCCAACAAAAATACAACAATAAATTTAAAAAAGCATTATAATGACATTAATTGAAATGATAGGTATAAACAAAACTGTTACACTCTGCATCTTCATGTTTATAGATTTTAAATTTAAAAAATAAAGTAAAGAAAGAGTTGAAGCAATAAAATAGCTGAAAAAAGTACAAAAACAAATAGTTATTTATTTTTTTCTGCAGAATTATATTCTAAAGATACTTTTTTTTGTTCATCGGAAAGAAAAGAAATACTCCTGATTTTTCTATTCTCATTTCCGAATGAAAAAAAAAATATGCCAATGACTGGCTGCTTCAGCTAGAATTTTAAATTGATGAAATAAAAAAAAAAATAATAATTATAATAATCCTGAAATCGCAGAAGCTTAAAAGATAATTTGCTCTAGAAAGGCCTTTCTTTCATTTTTTGAAAGAACACCAATAATTTTTAAAGAACGTGATAAAAACATTTTATATTGTAATAATATATGACTGTGAGTGGGGATTTCGTTACAAATTCAGATATTCGGAACACCATAAAATTGGAGGGGGTGGTTCCATTTTAAAAATAAAATTTTTGGACGACCTAAATCCATGACTTTCTAAGATTTTGTTCAATACCAAAATTCATGACTTTCCTGGTGCGCGGATACCTTGTACATAATCAGCAGTGAGTCTTCTCTTGTCAGAAAAGACCGGAAAAAATGGCAAAATATGATGAAATAAGATTTTCTATATTATTTGAAAAAAAAAAAAAAAAACTTTTTACAGGGTTAGAATATAGCAATATTGAGAGGACATTAATTCATATGTAAGTTCGTCGGGACCAGGAAACATTATTGCAATAGAGGGAGTCATTGTTGTATCGAATATTGTAATATCTTTGGACAAAAAGGCTTCAAAAAATCATGGGTAGTCAATAAAAAAATAAATAAATGAACTTACCAGTAGAGTGATTAAAATAAGAGACAATTATTAAACTATATAAGATAATAATCATGATATAATGTGCCCAGTGACATACAAGTTTCTTGCATTTAGGTCTTCAATGCAAGCCATTTTTGTCAACTAACCCTTAACTGTGACACTCAAGGTAACTAAATGCGAGAGTGAATTTTTACAAAGTTTTATTCATTTGATTTGTGTCTATAACAAAGAAAACTTGCTATTAAAATTTCAGGGTGGCCACTCAAATCAGATTTCAAATTTCCCTGATTTTTCCAGATAAAAATCTTAAAATTTCCAGGTTTTTGTTTCTTTTTTCTTATAAAGTATAGGATGTGTACAAGAAAAGTGTCTATATTATAAAATATTTTATTCAAAATTGTACTTTTTTAACATATCATACTTGAAAAAAATAATTTATTTTGACAATTTTCAAGATTTTTTATTTATTTTTTAATGTTTTGGTACAAAATTTTGAATCAAAAATCATATATTGACCAACAAAGGAGCCTTTTTTTAAAATTAAAATATGTTATAAGAGGTTAAAATGAAATAGAAAAAATTGCCATTAATGCAACAATTGTAACAATTTGTCGACAAACATTGCTGTTAGCGATTGTAAAAAAATGTGTGATTCGTTGGTTTGCTCAGAAAAAATAATTCACAGATTTCTTTGAATGGGAGTAGAAAAAGAAAAAGAGTGCGATATAAAATCTATTATCATAAAATTTAACCAACTAATTTTTGGAGAATTTTATAAAGTTAAAAATACAAAAACATTTTGTCAAAATCGAGAAAAAAAATAACCACCAAAGCATCGGAACAAACTTGAGCCATAAATGGATTCAGCCCAAAGACAGTATTTAAAAATAGAAGCTAATATCCTAAATCTTTTTCCACCTACACCAGAATCTTTCCTAAATTGCACAGTCCCATAGCGGTCAAAGGTTTCTGCATTCGTTTAGCAACAGTAGGAGAATTTTATGTGGCATTCTAGTTTAACAGCTGTAATGGAGCAAATTTTGATGCAAGCAAAGTATTGCTAAGTTGATGATATTTCAACTGTTTGGCGATACATTTCCGTTAAAAAAAAGTGGGTATAATGGATGAAATAATTTAAATTAAGAAAATTAGCAAATAATTTAAATTAGTGAAATTAAAAAAATTATCAAAGAAAAATTTCCAGCTTTTCTTTAAAATTCCCTGATTTTTCCAGGTTTTTATCCAAATTTCCCTGATATTTCCAGGTTTTTTCCAGTATAAAAAAATTCCCTGATAATTCCAGGTTTTCCAGGTGGGTGGCCACCCTGAATTTCTAATACTTTCTGACCTGACTAGCTAGAATGTGCCAGGCTGAAAGACAATACAAGTTTAAATCATTTCATGATGAATTTCAATCCCCATTTACTGTAAATTTGAGTTTGTCAGTAATTAAAATTCTGACCCTTTTAAATTTAGCTAGAGTACTTAATGAAATGAAATCTCTGATCTAGATGACTATGCAAGTTTTGTCTGCTGCATGCGGATATTATACAGGTTGTGTAGCCAAATCATTCAACAAAGAATAAGCACCTTCTAAGTACTTTTTAAGCACTATATACATTAACAAAATGCAAAATAATTTTCAAAGACTTTACTTGATCATGATAAAATAATTAGTTTCTGAGAAAGAACTCTTTAACTGATTACTATTAGCCACCATAAGAAGATCGAGAGATTTTTCGGTTTGATTTCAGAGGGTGGAAAATGAAGCTTGAAATGGAAAATGCTTGCAAAATGCAGCAGAGTTGCACATGAGAGTGCAATGATCTCACCAAATCCAGCTCACTATGCAGACTCGCAAGTATTTCTTCAAACATGTAAAATGATTGGCGCTTTCATATGCTATAGACTGATGGTGCAATAAAATAAATTGTGCTTGAAAGAATTGCGAAAATGTTGGATAGAACAATGTGAAAAGCATGCTTTTGCATAATGTGTGGCAAAAATTGAAATGCTAAAGAAAAAAATCTCATTTTTGAAAAAGAAAAATTAAGCACTTTTTAAAAATGCTATGCACCATGTTATATTAATAGGAATTTGTCATCAAATAAACCTATGACTGCTTTATAATTTGCTAGAACTCTACTATTTTAATTGTAGCTCTATGTTGGGTAACAATACAAGCTTCAAACATTTTCTAAAAACAGAATTTGTCGTCATTTTAACCAAAAATTGAGAGTGCAGTCAATCAAACTTTCGATTATTTTAAGGTTAGCCTGACTATGAAAATTGCATTTTTTTTTATTTAATGACATATAAATTTAATGACAATAATAAATTAAATTAATCAATGGTAATTATTACAAACATAATTTTGACCTCAACAGTAATCTTGATCACAATAATCAATCATTTGTAATAATCACAAGGGATCAAAATATATTATTAATTGTAACAGTGAATACATATTATTAAAATCAATTATGCTTGTTAATAAGCAATTTGCGTATTTTGCCATAACTTAGAAAGTTTTAAAGAAATTGAAACTTTTTGCACACAATTATAAAATTTGCGTCTCCAAGGATTATTTCAAGCGAAAATTAACTTATAGTAAATATTTATTATTATTTTATATAATAATAGTCAAAGAGTTTTGAATTGTAAGATATACAATATCTTACATCATTTTTAAGGATTTTAACACAACAGTATACAAAATTTGAATTTGAAATCGCTTGAATAGTTCCTGAAAAATCAAATTTTAAAATAGATGTAATTTTAAAATTCTATTTCTTAGGAACTATTAAAACAGATTTCATTCAAATTTTGTATTCTGCCATGTAAAATTACTTTCTTTAAAATGATGTAAAAAATTGTATACCTGAAAATCAAATTTTTTTTTTGACTTTTATTAATTAAAACAATAAATATTTACCTAAAGTTATTTTTCGCATGGTATAATCTTTAGATAAACAAACTTATATGTTGTGAGTTAGAAATATATAATATTTATATACAATATATAATATTTATGCACAAACAATGTAGACATGTATGTTTATACACAATGAATGCATACATTACATGAAATTACAATATATGTCTAGATTTGCGTACGCATGTATATACAATGTAACTGCTTTTGCTAGTACGAACATGCATTGTTTGTACTTTTGAACAATTTCCTGGAAAATCTCATGTCATGAAAAAGTTCAAAAAATTCTTCATATATAATCAATAATTACCTAAATAAAAAATTATACATGCATCTAAGAAAAATGAAACAAAAGAACTTACTAGTAGAGTGATTTACAACAAAGACACAACTAAGCTTTCTCTTTAGAATCAGCTGCTGCTCCATGGCGACTATCCCTGGGATAAAATTCTTCTAATGTGCTCTGTGGAATACGCTTTAATAATTCTTTTGGGAAGATTCGCAACAACTGCCACCCAATGTCTAACGAATCAAACACTGTTCGATTTTCATAGTTCCCTAGAGAAAATTAAAAAAACATTTAAACGGTGAGTTATTAACTCTAAAATTTATGCAATTTTTCTCTTAAATTTAAACAGAGTTTGTTGATTTGAATCACAATTAAAATAGTGATTTAAATTTTTAAAAAAATGACCTTAAAATAGCTGACTTAAGAAAAAAAATTAGTGGCTTATAACACATCGGCTGATAAGTTTCCGGTCTGACATACAGATGGCGCCCTAAATGCAGAATTGGTATTTTGTTTAGCAAGTCCTAACCTTCAAATAAAAGGAGTCAAAATTTTATAACAACCTGCCGATTGATTTTAAAAATACAGTGATTTTAATCGAACACCAATTTTTATTATTGAAACAATGGATAAAAAAGAATTTCGTGTTCTTATTAAACATTGTTATTTAATGGGAAAAAACACGGTAGAAACTAAAGCTTGGCTCGATAAGTGTTATCCGGGTTCTTCACCAGGAAAATCGACCATTATTGACTGGTTTGCTGATTTTAAGCGTGGTCGTACAAATGTTTAAGATGTGGTTAATCCGGAAAACATAATAAAATCCACAAAATTGTTATAGAAAACCGCAAAGTGAAGTTGCATGACATAGCTGATACTCTAAATATATCAAAAGAGCATTTGGGCTTTATTTTGCACGAACATTTGTTTATGAGAAAGCTGTTTTCGAAGTGGGTGCCGTGGGTGCTAACAGTTGACCAAAAACAACAACTAATTGATGATTACGAGAGCTGTTTGACGTTGTGTCAGACACCCCCTATTCACCAGATTTGGCTCATAGTGACTTCTACTTGCTTGCAGACTTGAAAGAAATCCTCGCGGGTAAGAGATTCAGCACGAATGAGGAAGTGATTGTCGAAACAAACGCCTATTTTGAGACCAAAGATGGTTCTCTTTTTAAGTAAGGTATAGAGATGTAGAGAGGCGATGGAGTGATTGTATATCTCTTAAAGAGACTATGTTGATGATTAAATTTGAATTTTACTAAAAAGTTGTGTTTACTTCATTAGACCGGGAATTTATCAGCCGATGTGTTATAGAAATAATTGTCAGCCTACCATAAAAGTAAGAAGAAAAAGAAACAAAACAAAAAAAAACGACAATTTTTTAATGTAATTTTAGTAACAATAAATTAACAAAATACAGAAATTTTTTGTGTAATGGGTAGGATTTAAACTACAATGTTACATTGAACATTGGTAGCTTAATTTGGTTTGTCAATTCCCCTGTGGCAGAACCATTGTGACACGGCAACATTGTAGCAGAACGTTATCAAATTCTTGCAGAAAGATTCTTTCTTTGGGAAATTAAAAAAAATTTGGTTTTCTTCTCTTTAGAAATTTTAATTTAATTTTTTTTATGCAGTTATTACTATTTATTTCCTCATAGCTTCTAAAATTCGATAATTTTAATACGATATTATTCATTACAACTGAATCTCGAAATGAAAACACGCCCCTTTTTGACGAGTCCGATTCGCCTAATTTCGCTGTCGATCTTCTTTTTTTTCTCTTTTTTTTTTGTAGCCCCGGATTTCATAATTTCTTTTAATGTGATGATGATTCACAAAATGCAAAAAGGAAATAATGAATGTGTTTCCCCCCTTCAAAATATGAGAATTTGAACAGAGTATTAGAATTTAAAAAAAAAATATTTTATTTAATCCCAAAAGTTTTTTCAACTTGATGCTTCTGTTACTTTAAATTAGTAACATGAATATTTTTTATTTTAAAATCATCGTGCAGAAAGATATTAGAGAGGTCACAAAGCTTGAAGAAATTCTGCCACAGGGGTTAATTCAACACTAGCGATAGAATTAAAAAACAACAATATTAAAGCTTATAACTTAACAAAAGTTCCTTCACAGTCTCTATATTTAGTCCTTTTGAAAGGAAATGTGAATTAAACAAAAACGATAAACTTGAGTATAAGAAAGAAGAATACCTTGTGATATGAAGCTTTTTTCATATTTGCTTAGGAAGTCAAGATATAAGAGATCTTCTGATGTCAATGCCTCTTCACCCACAACAGCTTTAATAGCCTGGACGTCCTTACCAATGGCATAACAAGCATACTATTTCACAAAATAAATAGAATTAACTATTGTTATATACAATAAAAAATAAAATTTTTCCTACATTGAAGAGTGCAAAAAAAAAACAGGCCAGGTTCTCGTTCTCTAGTTTACCTACAGATATCAATTTCAAAATGCTAAGAAAGATTTTTTTTTCTTTTTTCAAGATGATTCAGAAATACAAATTTTCAATAAAATTAAAATAATAATGCTTTTATTAAAAAGTAATTTCGTATTCATTTACTGACCAGAAAATATTTGTTACATTTTTAAGAATAAAAATGTGGAAAATTTGATTTTTTAAAAAAAAAATTGGGTTTAAAAAAAATTAATTTAAAAAAAAAATAATTGGGTAGCACTTAACAAAAAACAATTGGAGGGAGGGGTATTGAATTTTTTCAAAGACTGATTTCAGCCTCCAGGACTGAAGAGTGGCACCCATGAATAATGTAAGATATTTTTAAACATAAGTTTAACAAAGGCTGTTGGTGTCATTTACAAAAGCTGCAAAGCTTCATCGTACTCTTCTGCAATATCTCCGCGAACATTTTTATGATACTTTAATTTTTTTTATATTTAAATGCATTTAAAAAAATTCAATTTTTTCAAACGAAAAATTTGTGCAGTGATGGCTCAGGAGATAGAGCCTTTCACTGAGGTGAACCAGGTTCGAATCCCAGCGATGGCTATTCTCTTGCATTCACCACAATGCTGACGTAAAATACCCTCAGTGTTAGACAGATCATGGTTAAGAGTCTCCTTGCCATCAGGCTAACAGTGGGAGGTTTTCCTCTCCACGTAACGCGAGGTTAGTTCTATCAAAACGTCCTCCACGAAGGCAATATTTCACCCAATACTAGATCCAGGAGTTTCCTTGCCTTCTGGATTGGGTTCAAAATGACAAGGCTACAGAGTTGAACATTAGTAGTCCTATAAAATTGGGTCAGCTGTTCAACAACAGTTATAAAAATAAAATTAAACTGACAAATTTAATATGGCACAGTGAATTGGTAAAAACTGATCATATGAATTTTTTAAGCCTAAAAACAAAATTTTTAGTAAAATATGTGTAGGCAGAATATAAGTAATGAAAGTGAATACCAATTGATTGGACACATCGGAATGATCTTTTCTCGTCATTCCTTCCCCGATGGCAGATTTCATCAATCGAGAAAGCGACGGCAATACATTGATTGGAGGGTAAATCTAGAAATGAAATATATATTGTTGTTTATTTACAGTTACAAAGTGAGAATGTTAGCTGCTTCATTAAGATCTTACCTGTCTGTTATGCAGCTGCCTATCTATATAGATTTGTCCCTCAGTAATATAACCAGTTAAATCAGGAATAGGATGAGTGATATCTGAAGAAAGAAAAGTTTATTACAAAAAACAAGTAATATAAATAAAATGTTTTTTAAAAACAAAGAAAAATATTATTTTAGTTATTTAATAATTAAAATTTTTTCTCCCATATAAAACTAAATTTAATGAATGAACTAATATTTGAAAAAACTGTATCAACTTAGAATACATAGTCGTGATGAAGAAGCATCAAATGTCATACACTAAAAGTTTTAAAAAAAATGTGTTTGAACTTGAGTGGGTGAATGAAAAATAATTTAATTAACGATTTTAACAAGATATATAGGGAGAATGTGAATTAACAGTAGAAATTGAAAAAAAGGGCAATGCTACAACATAATGTTCTAAATTGAATTTATCTGACACAGCGAATATAAAATAATTCAATATGGGTGCTATTGTTTTTTGTTCAAATAGTTAGAAACTATCACTAACGTTATTTATGTAAAAAACTGAAATGCTTATAGTAAAATTTAAAACAATGAATAACGCTTAACCCATCAGAAAATTTCATTTCTCGCTCACTGGTATTTAATGAATGAATAAACTGTATTAATATCAAGTGTCATCCACAGCAAGTTCAAAAAAATGTATTTGAATAAATAGTATTTTATTAACGATTGAAAATTTGAACAAAATATACAAATATATAGGGATAGTATGATGAACTAATAGTTGGAATTGAAGAAAAGAAAAGTATCAAACAACCATAAAAGTATAAATTGGGTGACCACACATGCTACCATGTATGAAATTTATCTGACATCGCGAATATAAAATAATTAAATACGCGCAATAAACTATTTTTTTTTTGTTCACATAGAGCTATAAGTTACAAATTATCACTGATGTCATTTCTAAAATAAGAAAAAAAACTGAATCGATTATAGTAAAATTTAAAACAATGACTAACGCTTAACCGATCAAAAAATTCCATTTTGTTTCTCATTTCGTTAAGATATAGGGAGAGTGTTAACTAACAGTAGGTTGAAAAAGTTGTGTTATATAATGATAATTCAGGGTTCCCACTCTTTTAACAAAGCAAAAATTATGGACCTTTTTTTTTTTTTGAAAAATTAAAGACCTTTAAAATAGTATGATTGTTTATCATCGAATATACATATACCGACTGTGACAGAGCCAATTATTTACCTTTCTTAAAAAATAAAATCAATAAATAAAAAAAGATTTTATTATAATGTAAGTACTGATATAATTGCATTAATTAACACGGCTCGCTAAAGTTAGACCAGGCAATTTTTGCAAACCTGTATCGGTTTTTTAAAAATATTTTGAGCATTATGGATTAATGAATTCTACGAAACTAATATGTATTCAATTTTTAATGATTTCACAGAAATTGAGTCGTAAAACTAAGATTAGCAATTTTTTTCCTACATTAAAAAAAAAGAGTGAATAAAGAAATGTGGGATTAACATTTAAAAAATTATTATAACTAATTTTATATTTCGTTACAAGACATGCATCACATATTTAGCTGTGGGCCAATCTTGCTAAATATTCAGTTACGCCAAAAAAATTCTTTTTTTCTTTCTATTAATAAAATTTTTCATTAGTAAGGGTATTATATTAAAAGAATACTAAAAAGTTGAATTAAATTTATGCATGAGAATTGTTTTCTTAACTATGTTATGTTAAATCAAGTCCTACTTCAAGTAAAAACAGACCATACTAATATCTAAGCACCTTAAATCATTCCCCTTCTTTTTCATTAGGTTTAACTTATTTTACCATTGCAATAAATATTTATGAAATTTTTTATAGAATAAAAATAGTTATGTTTGAGAAGATTTATAATTTTCAAACCAAAATGTTTTTTATTAGTTCTTGATGAAACATATAAATAAAAGGGTATAAAACGATTTTTTAAAGGTATTAACACATTCCTATGGCCAGAAAATTGATAAGGTTCCTTAATTAACAAATATTAATAAATTATATATTTTTTCATCATATATAGATATTTACTTGTAATATTTCTTTATCATCCTCTGTCATTCTAAATAGTATTCTCTACTATTATTATGATTTGATATTTTATTTTCATCGCAAATTAACAGTTTAAAACTGAAAGCGGTATACTTTTACTATAAGTAAACCTGTAATATCACCTTATCAGGTAAAGTTTTGCAAAAAATATTGAAAAACATATGTAACTTAGCCGTTTGAAATTATTATCAAATAGAGTTACTTTTTTTCTTTAGTATCCGAACCCGCAATGAAAAAAATAGGGGTACAGAGATAAGATTTCAGAGTTACCCTTCCCCCCACCCACAGGAGTGGAGTAGAAGACAGATTTTGGTATCAATCAATGGATACATACTTAAACAATGTCGAATTTGGCTATTTTCACTTTTTTGATAAAATGTATATTTCTAAATATATTTAACCGTTTCCATACTTTTTTTATACTCTGTATATTTTTGTTTAAGAAAGCAAGCAATGGAAAGAAAGCACTTTCAAAATTAGTTATCAGTACAATAATACACACAACGTTAACAAAATTCAAATTTCAAGGTGTTTTTTCTGGCTAATTCTAATTAGGTACTAGCTTAATATTAATGCATGAGTTAACTATTAAATATTAAAAAGTAATAATTCAGTGTTTTTTCTCTTCTTATATTTACTGAAAACAAGTAACCTTCATAACTCTCAGTTGTTAAGGAAAAAAAAAATATAATAAACTCATTTTTGAACGCTTGTTATGAAAATTCTAAAAAAAAAAAAAAAAAAAAAAAAAAAAAAAAAAAAAAANAAAAAAAAAAAAAAAAAAAAAACGTAATTTATATTACTCAACCATAATCTTAACTACAAAATTACAACAATTATGAATAAATAGTAATAGTTAGCACAACTGCATAGGTAATCTTAAACAAAAATTTCTGTTTTTCTGACAAAGGGAGTGCATGGATCAAAGAGATGAAAAAAGCTAAATCTCTTGAGCAAAAAAGAAAAACTAGAATTGTCACCTGGACATGGATGAATCAATTCTTATCAGGGTTGGGGTTTTGGACGTCCTAAACTGGTTTTGGACAGGACACGTGGGTTTTACTGTCTTAAACTGGGTAAAGCTGTCCTAAACTGTCTTAAAGTGTCCAAAACCTTGAACTTTGGTAAAAGGTAAAAATTCTATAGGTGTAACCATTGTACACATAATAATTACATGTATCAATAAATAGGTATTTGATATTTCTTATACAATTTACTATAACTTATTAAAAGAAAATAATATAATATAATAGAAAAAGGTTTATAATTTTTGAAGTTCCACAATTCATTGAACAACAAAAATGATACCTAATCCTTTAAATATAAATATGCTTTTAATACTGATAAATAATATTTTTGCATAAGGATAAATATGGCAATATTAAAAAATAATAATTTTTCTTAAAAAAAATACTAAATTTGTTCAAAAATTAACCTTTTATTTTTCACAATATTTTTTTTTTAAAAAAGTTATAATTTCTGCATCACAGGATGATAAAAAAGACATATATTTAAAAAAAAAATTTTTTTTTTTTAATATAAATATATTAGTTTAAACTGAAAATACGAAATAACTGAAAAATGTATTAACAGTTTTGAAGGGCACAACATCAGTTTCAGTTACTGACACTCTTGATGTATCACCACTATGCTAAAAGAATTGAACATGAATAAAATAAAAGTATTCTTGAATAGTACTATAGATAAATAAGCCTGTTTATGACGAACCAAGCACTTAGTTCCTAATATTTTAACCTGTATGGCAAGGCTAAACTTCAGTTATGTACTATTGAATGAGAGGACCAATTGAACTTGTTTATTGATTAATCTTCCTTTGTTTAAATTGAAGAGTCAAACAATATTAATAAAACATTATTACTTTTAAAAACAAATATTCTCTAGTATATTTAATTATCAATATGTTATTAGTTCTTTATTTATTTTACATCTTAAATATTGTTCAGATAAAATTGTGACATAATTTGAGTAAATTATGTCATATGAGTAATTGAGTTTGGACAGTTTAAACCGTGGATTAATTCATTCTGTCCTAAACCTTGCCAACCCCGATTCTTATAAATAGTCACTTAGGCAATTGAAAAATACCCTTGACACCTCAACTTTTGAGGAAAATGAGAAAGAACCGAATAAAAAAAAAGAACTGGTTTAGTCGATTGGGCTTTGCATCAAGAAAAAAAGATGAAAAGAAATATTAATATGAAAAGAAGTATTAAATAATAACATTAATAGACATATATTTAAATACCGTATGTAAATTAGTAAAACTAAACTAGAAAGACTTTTGTGGGAAATTAATAATATTAATATTTTATAATACCGGTATAATAATTTAAAAACAGCCATTACCTTATTAATCTATAATTATTCTTCTCAAAATTATAAAATTATGTCAATTGAATAAAATGAATATTAAAATCTAAGTATGAATTTTATTCTAATAGACATTAATAACAAAAAGCTTGGGATACATTAATTTAGTCAATTTAAATTTTTATGTAACAATCTAAAACTTAATTTTTTTTTTATATTGCAACAAAATGAGTTATAAATAGTTACCAAATATTTAACTTCCTTGTTAGAAGCAAATCATGCATTCATATTTAGTACTCAGGAATAAAAATTTAAAGTATTTTTGAAAAAAACTTGGTGTTTTCATCCACCAGGATTTTCTTATGGAAAACCAAAACAAGTCTGATGGGATTTTTCACAATACAGATGTTTATAATTTGTAGTACAATCATGAATTTTAAAAAAATGCTATTGCTTCCTATAAATTTACAGTTACTTATTACACTTTGAAATATTATACAAATTTATTTAATTCAACAAGATTTTTGGAAATAGTTTTTGTTAAGAATTCCCGGCAAATTTTTTTTCCCAGTACTTTTTTTTTATAAGCAGAAACTGAATTTTTTGAACTCTGTCGATTTTGAAGGTCAGTGAGGGTCTTCTACTTGGATACCTTAAAACTGTCCCTCCCCAAAAAAGAGCACTATCTCTACCATGTGCAGTATCCCCTTGTCCACACTCTATTCTTTTCTTTCAGAACTTTTTACTCTCCTCATAGAGCAGAATATATCAATGAAAGAACCAATATACTAATGAAAGGACACGATTTCTTCCCCTCACACACACACACACCTTTTTGTCTCTCTAAAATGCTCTACCCTGGATGCATGGTCTAATTCTAGGTGATAAAAAAAAGACTTTTTTAAAAAATTGCTCCTATCAACTAAAATGATGTTGAAAAATTAAGGACTTTTAAGAACCTTGTACCAAAATTAAGTACTTTTAAGGACCTTTATTTTGCAAAATAAAAATTAAGTAGTTTTTAAGGACCATGGGAACCCTGTAATTATAAAATAGTAATACCAGGGTGCGTAGCCAAATTATTCAACAAAAAATAAGCACCTTTCAAGCACTCAATCAATATTTTTAAGCATTTTAAAAAATTATAATATAATTAAATTATAATAACTAATATTATAATAAAAATTATAATTAATATTATAATAAAAATTATAATTAATATTATAATAAAAATTATAATTATTATAATAAAAATTATAATTAATATTATAATATAAATTATAATATATATATCATAATTAACCATCATGTCATTAAAAAAAAAAAATTGGCATTGTTTTTGACAATTGTCAAAAATCACGAAATTTTAAATCATGTAAAACGAATTGAGTTTTCATACGCTATGAACTGACAATATGCCGAAATAGGGGGTTGAATTGCAGAGGGTTAAATTAATTCTGAAAACGTTGAATAGAACAATGTGAACTGTGTCTCTTTGCTTAATTCATAGCGAAAATCAACATGGTAAAGGAAAAATCTTGTTTTGAAAAAGGTAAAAATTAAGCACTTTTTAAAAACGCTACGCACCGTCAAGTTTGAAAATTCAATAATATATTATCTGAGCTGGTTTAGAGGTAGCCCTCAACTATATATATTGCAAGGAGTAATAAAATGATTTACCATCGTTTGGCATGGTTAGAATAGGAATTTGAGTGATAGACCCATTTCTTCCCTCTACTCTTCCAGCTCTTTCATATATGGTTGCTAAATCAGTGTACATATAACCAGGAAAACCTCTTCGTCCTGGTACTTCTTCACGTGCAGCTGATACCTATGTAGAACAACAACAATTTAGTCATAACTACAGACTCTGTGAGGAAAAAGAATTTTCCGATCAATCCAAAGGTATCCCGAGACAGAATCGAGTTAGCAAGTCTTATACACTAGTGAATTGATGTTTAATAATCATACGCCACAATACTCTTCTACCAGAATTTCTTATCGAAAATGTCATTAAGTTTTAAATGTATTTGCATTTTAAATAAGCATGAATCTAAACTAATAAAATTCACACATGTTTATTAAATAACAGATTTATTTCACATATAGCTAATAGAAAGTTATAATATAAAAAATTTACATTACTTTAATCTACATTTAGTCTTTTTATTGTTATTTATCTATTGTTATCTTAATTTTTTTGAACATCAAATAATTCATATAAACTAAACTCAGTGGCACAACAGCCTATAGAGGGCCCACTGTGCCCAACTCAGTTTTCTTGACCTTTGGGGTGCAAGAGCAGATGTTGGGTGGTCAGCACAACGTGAAACCAGTGTTCACAAACATGCTTGGTACACATTTTATGGACCCAATGAAGGGCTGTTTATTCATATAATAAATTACTAATAATGGTGGGCACAATTTGTGCCCACCATTATTGGCACAAATTATTGGACCGACTTACAGATTTGGGGGCCCCGTGCATAGATGAATTTGGGGGCCCCAGTTAAAGAGCCGATAAATTTTAGTTAACACGCAAGGTCTTAAACGTAATATTGAAAAAGTATTTTTCAGACCATAAAAATTGCAAGTAACATGAAACCTTATTTAGAAGTACGTCCCCCAGATATTCAGAATTTAATTTAGTGAAATTGTAAAAAAAAAATACAAAAATTTAATAAACATATCTAGAGGTTTTGGTTAGAATGTTAAAAATTCTGAAGGAAACAAGATATTTGTACTGATTACCTAGAAAAACATAGCATAGAATTCTAAAAGAAATCATTTTAGATTTATTATTGAGTTTAAAATTTATTTGACATTTTAAGGGGGTTGACCTAAATACTCAATATAATCAATAATTGGCGAAACATTAAAAAAATTGTTTTATCAAAAAATTAGAATATAGCATAAGATTTCACAATGTTTGTTTAATAGACCTATATATGCATGTAACACACTTTTACTGTATTCAAATGCATAACAACCCCAATATTTGATGAATAGAAGCAATAAATCAAAAAATTTAATTGGCTATAAAAATTTAATACAAATATCAATTAAAAATTTTATATTAAAAATATACAAAGTAAATTAAAAAACTTTACCAGAATATTATATAAAAGCAAAACACATGAAAAAAAGTGATTCGCATGATGTTTTTTCTCACACAAATTGCTTTGGAGAAAGGTCTTTTTTGTTGTTGAAGAGGCTTTGATCAATTTTGTGAAACTACTTTAATAAGCTTTTTTCTAGATTTCTTTGCCGAAAATTCAGAAATAATATCATCATACGATAAAGCTGTAGTTACATCAGCTTCAATTGCCATTAAAGCTAAAGTCGATAGCTTATCATCAGCTAATCAATTTCTTAATGGAGATTTTAGCCTCTTCAATAACGAAAAAGATCTTTCTCGAGAGCAATTTGAGACAGGAATTGACAAAAACAGCTTCAGTGCAGCCGTAACATTTGGGAATGTGTCACTTACACCCATCTCATTAATTTTACTGAGCTTTTCAGCTATCGACAGCTCATCTTGGATTAGAGGATAAAGATGAATATACTAATCAGCAAAGGATTCTTCAAGATCACTTGGGTAACAATTTTGAAGAACCTTTGCATATTAAATTTAACAACAATAAAAAAAACTTAAGAATGGTTTTAAAAAAAAACCTTTTGTTTGAAATCTGATAAAAGTAATCATCAACATTCGAAAATTTTTAAGATACCATAAACAACAATGATTAACTAATGCAACAAGCTTCAGAGAAATTACTAACAGAAGCTTATAGCTTAGTCTTGTAAAAAGAATGGCCTTGCACTAGAGCATTAAAAGTTGTTATAATACTGTAATAAATAATGTCAATAGCAAATTATTTTGCTCTAGTGTAAGTGCGGAGTAAATAGTAATGATATAATGGAATAATGATATAATGCAAGTACCCCATTCATGAAATTTGATAGTTGTCCCTGCTCTAAACATTCTTTCAAAGGGATCTTCTACACAAGGTTTTGTATTGGCCATGTAATGTAAAAGATCATTTATTGGGAAAGGGGGCCCCTCAAATGCTGGGGGCCCCGGGCACATGCCCTCCTGTAAATCAGTCCCTGGCCGCACAAATAGATAAGCAAAAGAATACACTAAATATGTTTGATTTAAAAAAAAAATGACTAAAATCGGGGGAATAGCATATTTCAGGGAGGGTAACTTTTCATGGGGCTAACACAATAGATTCCCTTTGCCTCATCGGCCAAAACCTGTCCTAAACAATGATCCCGACATCGTTACCCTGTGGCAGGATTTTTTAGAGCTACCTGCAGAAAAACTCTATCACTTTCCGCGAGATACTTTTAATAATAACAATCATATATGTTACAAATTTAAAATAACAAAAGCGCTGTGCTTAGGAAAAAAAAAACTATTATTTTTTTTAAAAATACAGCATGTAATAATTTTTTATTCTAATATTATGGGTGATATTCTCACATTTTGTGTGTGTTATTTCCGTCTTCGCTTTTTATAAATTATCACAATAACAAAAAAAAATTTAAAAATCATGAAATACGTAGTAGTAATTGCAGAAAAAAAATACGATGACCAAATCAAGCTATCTTTTCAAAAGAAAAATCTTTCAGCAAGAACTCTGTAACGTTCTACGACAATGTCGCTGCAAATCTGCCAAGGGTTCCAGACGAATGACTAGGGGAGTTCTTACTCTAGACAAACAAATAAAATTATACTAACTTCTCTAAGAGCTTCAGCATAGGAGGACATATCAGTAAGGATGACCAAGACGTGCTTTTCGCATTGGTAGGCCAAGTATTCCGCAGTTGTTAGAGCCAATCGAGGTGTAATAATACGTTCAATGCTAAATTTGAGAAAAAAAAGATATTTTACAAACTGTTTATAATTCAGGCATGTAAGTTCATTTAGGACTTCATATATTAAAACTTAATTTGTAATCACCAAGCAACATCTTTTTAAAATATGTATTGCACAGTTTAAAAGCTATTATAAAATGCTTCCAAAGCTTTTATGACAACAAGATATTATAATGATGAAATTTAGTTTGAAAATTAAAATATTACACAATAGAGAATATACGTGGCTGGATAAAGGGAGGCATCGAAAAAAAATTTTATCTATGAAGAATTTTTCAAGATATTTATGACATTACAATAGATCAGTGTTTCCCAAAGTGTGGTACCCCCAGGGGTACAGAAAGAGTATGTGTTCTCATGCAAAATATCTTGCAACAAACGAAAATTTCAAAAAAATTTATTTAAAAATAAAGCTAGCCATGAAAATTTATGATTTTTCTATTGGCAATTTTTTTTGTAGAGTTAACAGTTAATAATTAGTGGTATCAACTGCCTGTTGTGATTTTTAACTTTATTGCAATTTTTTTATAGTAAAAAATATGTTCATTTTTTTTTATTAGAGGTACACAGCGTTACGAAAAATTTAGAAAGAGTACACAAAAGTCATAAGTTAGGGAAACACTGCAATAGATGTTATTTATAGATATAATTGACATTGCTACTTTTCAGATTTTCAAATCCATGAATAATTCCAAGAATTTTTAATTCTCCACAAAGACACAACAGTAAATTTAAAAAAGCATCATAATAACATTAATTGAAATGATAGGAATAACCAAAACTGCTCTGCATCTTCATATTTATAGAACTTGAAAAACAGAGTAAAGAAAAAGTTGAAGCAATAAAATAGTTGAAAAAAAATACAAAAGCAAATAACTGTCAGATATATGCAGTTATTTAAAGTGGTTTTATTTCTTCATTAAACAAAGTGTAAAATAAAAAGCCTAACAACTAGAATTTTAAATTGATAAAATAAATAAATTCTGAAATCATAGAAGTTGAAAAGATATTCGCTCTAGAAGTGATGTTCTTTCTTTCATTGTTTGAAAGAACACCATAATTTTTAAAGAACAGGATAAAAGAAATTTTAGAATATGACTTAGTGGGGATTTTGCTACAAATTTAGATATTTGGAACATCGGACCACTGTAAAATTGGGAAGGGGGATAAATTCCATTTTAAAAATAAAATTTTTTGGCGACCTAAACCCATAACTTTCCATGACAAATTTTGTTCAATACCGAAATCCATGACTTTCAATGATTTTTCATGACTTTCCATGTGTGCAGATACCCTGAATTGATTAAAAAATTATAACCGCAGGGTTGCCATAGAAAAAAATAAACATTTGAACTGGTTCACCTCATTGCTTTTAGTAGCGTAAATAAGAACAAAAATTCCTCAAAAATATGACTAAAATTTTGTTAATGACTTAATTGTCATATACCATGATCCATTCAGTTAAGTTGGGGGCAAATACGAAAATTTTTATATAAACGATAATGTTTATACCTATATATATGATAAGAGATTACCCAAATTCGAAATTCACACATTGCGTAATATCGTATTAAAAATAGTTTTTTTCTTTTTAAATCATGCAGAATTTTGTGGCAATAATCATTGAAAAGGCGATCGAGAAATGAAATTGACTTACAACGGAATCTGTGCAGACTGAACGCATTAAATTTGCAATTCAAAATTTTCCACATTTTTTAAGAAAAAAAAAAGTTCAGTGCATTCAGGAACTATCTTGTGGGATGCAGATTTTCCACTCAATTTATGACTTAAAGAAGAAAAAAAAAACATTGCTAGGAGTACAGAAAAGTCTCCCAATAGTTTTCCTGAAAATAGTTGCTTTTATAGCCTTTTCAGGCAAAAAAAGTTGCCATAGTCACCTCTTGCCAAAAATAGTTGCATTTTAGTCGCCTGCGGCAACCCTGTAACCGCCGTTGAACAGCTCACCCAATTTTAGGGTTTATGACTACTAATGGCCTTGAACTCAATGCAGAAGACAAGGGAACTCCTGAGAAATGTGCCTTCGTGGAGGGCTTTTTGATGGTACTAATCCACATTTACGATACATGGAGAAGAAAACCCACGGTTCGCCTGGTGGCAATAGGATCCATCTACCACTGAGGATATTTTACATCAGCACTGCAGTCGGTGCAAGCTGGGTGCAGAATTCGTATCGACCAGCCATCGCTGGGATTTGAACTGGTTCACCTCATTGGAAGGCAAATGCTGTGTTCCCTGAGCCATCATAGCTCTTTTAAGTCAATCAGGGTGCATAGTCAAATCTTTCAACAAAAAATAAGTACCTTTTAAGTACTCAAAAGATATTTTTAAGCACTATATACATAAGCAAAATGCAAAATAATTTTCAAAGACTTTATATAATCATGATAAAATAACTAGTTTGTGACAAAAAACTCTTTTTCTTGATTACATTAGCCACCATAAAAAGATAAGATTTTTCGGTTTAATTTCAGACGGAGGAAAATGAAACCTGAAATTGAGAATCTCTTGCAAAATGCAGCAGAGTTGCACACAATAGTGCAAGAATAATTCCCACGGAATCCAGCTCAATATACACACATGCGGACCTGCAAGCATTTCTACACACATGCAAAATGACTGGCGCTTTCGTATGCTGCGGAACGAGGAAATGCATTGCGTTTGAATGATTTGTGAAACCGTTGAATAGAACAATGTGAAAACCACGCTTTTGCACAATACGTAGCGAAAATCGACATGGTAAAGAAGAAAAAAAAATCTCATTTCTGAAAAGGGAAAATTAAAATTTTTAAAAATATCCAATAAAAAATAATTATAATTAATCAATTAGCCTTATAATTTAAGGGCTTTTAAAAAACGAATATAAGCACCTTTAAGCACTTTACAAAAACGAAACGCACCCTGTCAATTGTAAAAATACTTTATTATTTTTTGCCTCCTTCCACCAGTGATCGCTTCAATATGAATTCCTTTAGAAGGAAGGAATTCATATTGAATTATTCAACAAAAGAATTCAACAAGAGAATTATTCAACAAAAAATAAGCACCTTTTAAGCACTTAAAAAATATTTTTAAGCACTTAAAAAAATATAACTAGGCAAGGTTGGAAAGTTTTTGACAATGATGGTTTTATCTTGTTTTAATCTACATGTCGAAAAAAAAATTTTTGGCATTGTTTTTCACTATTGTCAAAAACCATGACATTTTGAATCATGTAAAACTAATGGCGTTTTCATACGCTACAGACTGGCGATACGCCGAAGTAGATTGATTGGGTGAAAATGTTGAATAGAACAATGTGAACTGCGTTTTTTTGCATCATTCATAACGAAAATCAACCTGGTAAAGGAAAAAATCTAATTTTGAAAAAAGGAAAATTAAGGACTTTTTAAAAACACCCAATAAAAAAAAAGCACCTTTAAGGGCTTTTTAAAAATGCTACGCACCTTGAATAAGAAAATTACACACAAACAAAAGCTAAAATAAAAAAGGTGAATGATACAGAGGAGAAAAAATTATGATTGATGAAGTAACCACACTTTCAAACTAATAATTTGGATAAACCAGTGAACTCAGGAAGGGGAAAAAAAATAAAATCCTTTTAATAAGACTTAAAAACTGTTAAAACATAAAAGTACAACCCATGTGAGAAAAAGTAAATAGTTGTCTGCAGGTTATAATTAGAGAAGTAACAACCTATGATTCAGCCTACAACAATTTATGTTGTGAATATTGTTTTGGTACTTCAGGAAGAAGCCACACAAGTGGCCTATGACGTCAGCCAATCTTTAACAGCAAAATGACCTATTAAAGTTTCTGCACATATGGCTAGAATGTTAATTAACGATTTAATTAAATACAGAGCCATCCATATTCAGGGGTACGTCCACACATTTTCGTAAAATTGTGAAAAAATTATTCTTAATTTGTGAACATTCTTTCAACCAGGGTCCTGCTCTTGTGCAAATAGGGTTCCGTTATTGCAAAAAAACTTTTTCACGCTGTTTTTAAATTGTAAAGACAAAGAAGATTATGCACTGTAAAATTATAATTTAAAAAATAAACAGCAATTGCTGCTACTAAAGTAGAGACCTCCCGACGGTGTTCCTGCCTTGACGGGGCGGCGAGGCTTGTGCGCACCATTGACCTGGAGGGCTATGCCGGCGGTAGCTTGCTACTGGTAGGGTCTCCCAAGCCGGACAGGCCGAAGGGTAGGTGCCAGACTAAAAAGAACACCAACAAGAGCCAAGACAGACTTCTACCTTTATGGTGCTCAACCCAACAGAAGCTGCTTTCTACCTCTTCCATGACTTTGTTGACCCAGTTAGCATCTCCATCCTTCTTAAACTTCAACTTATTTCAAAGCACCACGACGTTCATCTTCAGTGGATACCATCCCACGTTGACATCTTTGGAAATGAGCAAGCGGATCGCTTGGCCAAGGAGGGCTGTAGTCATTTAACATCTTCGTCCTCAGCCCTTACCTTTTCTGAGTATCAATCCAAAATCAAAAGCCATTTATCAAAAAAGTGGAGGATCCCTCCCTCTCATCATTGGTATGCGGCCAAGGAACCGGGCTCTTCACTTGTTCATGTAGGTGATAGAGCATCTCAAACAGCTATTTCCAGACTGGCAAGCGGACACACGAACAGTCTCTCGTACTTTAAAGGAAGAAAGACTTATGCAGTCTGCTCTAAATGTGAAGCCCAGCAGGCCTCAGCAGAACATATCCTCGACTGCTTGGGCCTTTCCAAGGAGGACTTATATGCTTCTCCACTTCTTGTAATCGACTTTTTGAGGGTCAACAACTTACTGGATCTTGTCTGACCTCGTCAGACAATTAGAGGATAAGCAACAACAACAACAACAAAGTAGAGATGCAACATACTAATATTTGGTATTTAGCCTAGACTGCTGAACGCAGAATATTCATTTCGGACGAATAATGGAAGAAGCATCTGAGGAAGGCAAAACTTAGTTTGTTTACATTAGTCTTTCTTCCCCTCCCTGGGAAGAGATTATTCGATTAACAAAACAATAATGAAGATAAACAAATTTGTGAAGGGTCCGATTAAAAGATAAATTATTTTGAGAAGGGTCCGTTTTTAAGTTAAAATATTTTGCGAAGGGTCTGTTTTCATGAAAAGATATTTTGCGAAGGGTTCGTTAACGGACCCAAATTTCTTCTAAACAGACCCCTGATATTGCACATTGAATTATTTGGAAAATAATTCTTTCAATAAAGAGTATTCACATTAAGAATATAATATAGAATAACATAACATAGAGTATTCATATTAAGAGTATAATATATCACATTAAGAATATTTAAGAGTATTTACATTATTCAGTGCAGTTTTAATTTTAAAAACATATTTAAAGAAATAATAACAGTGAGAACAGAAAATTGTTATTCCAAGGTAACTTACGTTGGATCATTGGCCAAATTTAAGAAAAGGCACACATTTTCCATAGAACCATTTTCTTCAAAATCCTGCTTGAAGAATCTTGCAGTTTCCATGTTAACCTAAACAAATATTCTTATTATTATAGGAAATAAATGGACAGTCATTTTGAGAGTGAAAACAAAAAGCATATTTTACAACTCTGCTTTAAAAAAGATTTTGGTCACTTAACTATTTACCATTAAACAGTAATAAATAAATTTGCTGCATTTCATTGAAAAGTTTTATATTTTGGTCGATTAAGTATTTGCTATTAAACATTAATAAATAAATTTCCTGCATTTCATTAAAAACTTTTAGATCCCACAGCAGCTTGCTCATTTATCAGTTATATAGACATTGTAGTAAACTTTAAATATTTTGGCATTTTCTTACTTGATTTTTATTTTTTCTTAAAAAATATAACTCATCAAAATCTTTGAATGTTTTTCTTAATCAAACAAAATATGCTATTTAGTTGTAGTTTCAAAAATATAAACTACTAATTGTATTAAACAAAATACTGTTGTATGGAGTACGATGGGATAAATAAGAGTAACATTTGATAATTAATTGGAGAATAAAAGCAAAAACTGTTAAATTTGTAAAAAAAAAAAAAAAATACCATTGTAAATAATACCAAAAATACTATTTTGAAGTCCACAGAGATTCAATTACGAAGTTGAAATTTAAGGACCTGAAACAGCCATTTTCAGTAATGAATTACATTCTTTTCTTAATTTTTATTTGTTTTAAATATTTTTTAAATTTCAAAAGCTTTTTTTTTTCCTGGGTTTCATAAATGATATCAGGATGGTCACTCAAATCAGGTTTCAAATGTCCCTGATTTTTCCAGGTAAAAATCTTAAAATTTCCAGGTTAATGTGTTTTTTTCCCCACAAAGTATAGGATGGATACAACAAAAGTGCCAAAATTGTAAAGCATTTTATTTAAAATGATATTTTTGAGACAAAAAAAGAGCAGAGAATGGCAAATACAGACAGACTAAAAAAAGAAAAACTTTGACAAGTATTGTTTAATATATTTTCATTAAGGTAATATAGTAGCATTTTTCTTTCTAAAAAAATCATTAATGGGTCATTCTCACAAAAACAGTCATTTTCATGTCCCCAGTATATTTTATGTTTTTTTTACAACTTATGAAAAAAAAGATTTCAAGGAAAGTTTCCTTCAGAATGCAGGCTAACAAAAGAATAAAAATAAAATTATCAATTTTTATTTTTTATTTATTTTAGGTAATTAAAATATACCAATATGTCATTCCCTCACTTGTCCCCACTGCTGATTTAAGAAAAGAGAAAATTGTTTCTGAAATAAAAATAAAAAAATTTACAAATTCGTGTTTTTTATTTCAGAATATTGAAATATAGAATTCAGAAAATCAATTTTAAATTTAATTTCTGATAAAAATATTAACACAGCACTATTTTAAACTTTGTCCCCAGTGTTTCGCGTCATTCCCTCACAACAATGTTCTTATCACCTGCAATCTTCTTAGAATAAAAATATTTTAATAAAAACTTCAGAAGTTAACAACTGGCATCATAGAACAAAATTGCAGTATGTTTCCATCTTCAACTTAAAGAAGCTTTGCTGTGGAATAAATTTGAATGAATCAAACCAGGTAAAATTTTTTACATTTGTCATTCCCTCATGTCATTTTTTAGAGTAAAATAAAATACAACTTCATCGAGAAAGTGGATAATTATATGTTGCTTTCTTGTATGAATATAATTGTATGTGATTGACTTCAGAAATTAATTAGGCCTAACTGTTATTTTTAAATTTTATTGAATTCGTCATTCCCTCACTAGTGTATAAAGTGAGGGAATGACGCTGAAGTGAGGGAATGATTCAAGATGAGTATATTATTAAATTTTTTTTTGTTCAATCGTGCCAGCCAATTTTATTTCCCAAACCTTTAAAAACTATTAAGTATATAAAACTAAATTATAATAAATGTTAGATATACTTAGTATGTTATCATTTTCAAACTTGAGGTAGCTGTAACTTAGAGAAAAACATGTATTAAAATAAAATATCATTCCCTCACTTTTTAAACAGTGAAATTAATTAATTTATTTAAATATTAAGTATAATTTATAGGATATATATTTTTTTTATAATGCCATTACATATTTCTATTAATATAAAAAGTTTCAGAGCTTTTTATTCACTTTACTTTTTTGGGATTTTATGAACTGAAAAATGACAGTTTTCATGAGAATGACCCTAATATATATTATTTTTTATAGATAAATAAGTTTAGTCATTTTTGAAAATTAATCAAAACTTAGCTATATTATTAGTGTGGGCTAAAGAGAAAAAATTACAAAAGTTATCTATTAGAAATATTTAAGATAAATAAAAACTAACTAATAGCTACAAAAAAAAACTGAAGTTGTAAAGTTGAATAAAAAAGAAACAGAGAAATAGCAAAAAATATACTCTTAATTTTCAAGACAAAACTTTAATGCTGTAAATAGTATTTTCTGAAAAAAAAGTAAACATAAAACTTTAAAAGAAAAAAAGTATCAGAAAAGATTTCAAAAATGCCCACAAAAAATTATATACAAAAGCGAAACATAAAAAATAAAAATATATCACAATTAAACTGAACTGACGGACTATCATATTTTAAACTGAACATCTGTTTTCCAATAATACTGTATTTTTTTTAAATTTTTTTTTTTTTTAAAAAGTTAGAAAAAAGAAATAAGTCTAATAGAAACTCTCTTAATTGCTCCAACATAGTAAAACTCCTGACAAAAACCAAAATTTTTTAAAAAAGAAAAAGCTAAATAGAAACGAAAACAAAAATTGTTCTCAATTTTTAAAAGAAAATTTAACACTTTTTCAAGTAGAAAAAGTGTTAAATTTTCAATCAAAAATAACGTTCTTCAGAAACACTCTTTAAAAAAATGCTGTATCATAATAAAAACTTTGATAAAAAGTTAATAAAAAAAGGCAAAAATGAGAGGGAAAAAAAACATTCCAATTTCTCAAAATATAGTTTTAAGGTTGAAAATCACAGCATTCTTTTGTTACCAGCTGTCTTACCATACTAGAAAAAAGTAAAAATAAAAGAATAAAATCTATCATAAAATGCTCAGTTAAAATGCTGTGATATAATCAAAACAGAAAAACAAAAAAGAAAACAATTTAGATTCTTAAAACAGAAATTTTGCTTTTCCATTTATTTTCCACTACATAATTTTGCAAGCACACATTAAAACTTTACAAAGATGTGTAAAGACTATATCTGATACTGCATAATAAAAATACTATTTTAGATAACTATTTAATCTATTAAAACTTTGTCAAAAAATAGTTGGCTGAATATTCGGCAAGCAGGCCGAATAGTAATCAAATATTTGTTGCATCCCTAATTTTCATTAAACAAAAAAATAATTAATAAAAAACAATAATTTCAGGTGATTTTGCATGAATAACTTTTTATATTTATTTACATTTTATATCGCATTTAATCCAAACAGTACTCTTTGTAAAATTCATTGATCATATTTTCTTTAAACCAATATCTAAAGTCAAATGTTTAAATAATGTTTTCAAACACGATAAGCAGTATTAAAAAATTAATGTCACAAAGGAAAAATTGTCAAATTTCTTATTACATATCTCATAGAAAAAAACTAGATAAATTCTTCATATTTTATTCTTTTCTAATTTGAAATTAAAATATTTAAAGAATTCCTATCTAACTAAAGGATTTTTTAACTTAGATTAGTTAATTTTTTTGTTTGCTTTTACAACTAGAAACCTGCACAGTGCAGAACAAAAAAACAGTTTCATTCTCCTTCCTAATAAACACATATGAATAAAAAAAACTTATATCCTCTGTTTATACAACATTTAACATGTTTCCTATACATTCCCTAATTTTTCCCAGCTTCTTAAGGTAAAAGGAGAGACAGTTTAGGAAATATCATCTCTGGAAAAAGAGTAACATTAACGAACTTTCGACATTATTACTACACAATGTCAAATTTTGAATTAAAAATTAAATATTTACCAACAAAATGTTAATATAACCATGTTAACATATGGTTGATCCTTAAAAGAACCTTTTTTTAAAAATTAAAATACGTAATAAAAGGTTAAAATGAAATTGAGCAAATTAGCATTAAAAATTTTATGATTTTTTGACAAAAACTGCTGTTAGCGATTGTAAGAAAATATGTGATTTGATTCACAGATAATTCACAGATTTGGATGGGTGTACAAAAGCTTTTAGAAAAAGAGTATAACATAAAATCTATTAAATTATGACCAACCAATTTGTGGTGAATTTTATGAAATTAAAAATACTAAAGCATTCTTAACCATTTCGTCAGAAGAAAGAAAAAAACTTAAAGCATTGGAACAAACGATAAATGGATTCAACCCACGGTTTAGAAGTGAAACAAATGCTACTTTTATAAACAGAAGCAAATATCTTAACTCCTTCTTCAACCCCCACCACAATCTTTGCCTTTCCTAAACTGTCTCCAAAAAGGTTTCTCCATTCATTTAGCACAATCATGGGTTTTAGGTGGCATTCTAGTTTAACAGGGATTAATGGAGTAAATTTTGACACATGCAAAATATTGCTAAGTTGATATTTCAACTGTTTGGTAATAAATTTCAGTTTAAAAAAAAAGTCAGTATAACGGATCATAAAATAATTTAAATTAAGAAAATCTATAAAAAAAATTCCAGCTTTTCTTTTAAATTCCCTGATTTTTCCAGGTTTTTATCTAAATTTCCCTGACTTTTCCAGATTTTTTCCAGTATAAAAAAATTCCCTGATAATTCCAGGTGGGTGGCCACCATGTTTATCCATTGTCGTAGAAAAGTTTCTCTCATAAGATTTTAACAGTTTGCGCCCAAATAAATATATTTTTTTAAAAAAAATTAAATAAGAGATTACATGTTGCAAAATATAATTCTTAACATTTGTGCAGAAATTTTTAAATATATAAAAATTTGGAAGACTCAAGAATAATAAAGAGAAGAGTTTACGCATGTGTGTCTCTCTTTTATAACACCAGAACACTAGCATCCTGAAATTTGCGGAGAGAGTGAAAAGGGTAATTTTAAACCTCGCTATTAAAATTTGTTTAAAGTTTCAATCAAATTGTTCAGGAAAGAACTTAGCTTGAGAATAGAACTTCTGCTTGGTTTAGCATAAGACAGTTTTAAATTAAACCATAGATGGTCCTACTTTTTTCAAACATTTCAAAGATCCATTGATAATTGCTAGCGTAAAGTTCTCATTGAAAAAATTAGTTTACAGCATGTTCTTCAAAAATAAATTATTTCTTTGTCAGATAAACTAAATAATATGAAACGTTGTAGCATGTGTGGATTATGCCACCAAATTAGTATTCTTAAAGACCATGTGAAACCATGGGTTTATTTTGTTTACAGTTAAGCATTTAAAGTTATGTACTAAAAAAGAAAGTGGTGAAATGGTACTAATTTGTTTAAGAGAAACATAAAAAATTTCTATACTATATTTAATGGCAACAAGGCTTAAACAACTTTGGGAACAGGTAGTAAATGGATCGAAATAATAAGCTATGCACTAAAATTCCAAATAATGGAAAAATGGAAGTACAAGATGTGTAGCCAGATTTTTCAACAAAAATAAGCACCTTTTAAGAACTCAAAAAATATTTTTAATCACTTACCAGAAAGAAAAAAAATCATAATTAGGATCTGCGCAGCAATAAAAAATTTTTTCTAGCTTTCAAAATTCTTAATTTATAAACATAAAAACAATAAAATTTACATGATCATCATAAAATAACTATCTTCAGATAAATACTGCAGAGAAAATTGTTAAAAACATGGATTTTTATCACTTTTTTTTAGTTCGCTTAAGAAAAAGGTAAAAAGTCGCCACATTATTGTTGACGCCTATCATGTTCATTAGTGTTAATGTTATGGGTGCAGTTTTAATCGGTTGTTGGCATCTATTAAAATTGTATCAATACTGTGGAAAGAGTACAGAAAAATGACTTGATTGTGGTAATTTTTTACTATCATGAGTCGCTCTCGAGTCATGATTAAGTTTGACCCTACAAAAAATGTGTTTTGCATAATTTATTATGTAAAGGCAATATAAAAAAAATGGAATTATTTTAACCTTTATTAAATGTGTCTTTCTCTTTTATGCATGATCTAAGAGTATTTAGTGCTAAATTATTTACTTTTATTTCATCATGAACAACAGGATTTCAGATATAAGGTTATTGTTATATAGTGTTAACAAGTAAAAATACTTCTCATTAAATATTTTTCATACTGTTGCAGACATTATACTTTATTTTCTAAATCTATATATAGGGTGCATAGCCAAATCTCTCCTCAAAAAATAAGCACCTTTAAAGTACTTTATAAGCACTCAAAAAATATTTTTAAGCACTACATATAGTAACAAAATGCAAAATAATTTTCAATGATAAATGATTATGATAAAATAACTACCATAAAATGATTGAGACTTTTGGGTTTGATTTCAGAAGGCGGAAAATGAAGCCTGAAATGGCAAATATCTTGCAAAAACAGCAGAGTTGCACACGAGAGCGAAAAAATTTCACCGAATCAAGCTCATTAACCACACATGCGGACTTCAAGTAACATAACTGGCGCTATCAAGGAACAATGGTACGCCAAAAAAGATTGTGGTTGAATGAATTGTGAAAACGTTGAATAGAACAATGTGAAAAGCATAATACATGGTGAAATTCGACATAGTAAAAAAAAAAAAAAAAAAAAAAAAAAAAAAACTCGTATATGAAAATTAGGCACTTTTTAAAAACACCCAATAAAAAAAAAACAACTTTAAGGGCTTCTAAAAGACAAAAATTAAAAATAAGCACTTTTAAAAACACTAAGCACCATGTCTTTAATGCATGACTTAAGAGTTATTTAGTACTGATTATTTACTTTTTTTAATCCCTTATGAACAACAGGATATCAAATATAAGGTTATTGTTAACAAGTAAAAATAGTTCTCATTTAATATTTTTCATTCTGTTGCACAGATTATATTTTACTTTCCAAATTGTAACAATTACCCTATTAATAATAAATGAGTTGTGAAATAAACTTACACCCATAGCAGCAAACACGATGGCAAAGTTGTCATGCTCTTGATCCATTACATCTCTGTTTTTAACTAAACCACTTTGACGACATATCTGTGCAGCAATCTGAAAGAAACATTTAATCTTATTCAAATATTTATGACAACAATGATTACTTTTGTTAACCTTAAATCAGCTTTTAGAGAAAAATGCTTAACACACAATTCATGGCAAAATTTCTCACGTCCGTTGCAAATATTTCAGATAACTGTAAGAAATTATTTCAAAGAATACTTGGGGCACACTAGAGGAAGGAGGTGGAGAGAAATGATTTTTGTAGTGTTACCATGAATGACTGAAATCCTTCACCTAGGAATGTCCGAAATATTAGTTATATGATAGTAATTTATTCGTTGATATTATATTTATTTGATATCTCTTGAAAGATAGATTAGGAGAAACATCAGTGTGTAGTGGCACTGAACGAGTATATATTTCGGACTATGTCAACATTCACAACTACCCATTTTGGTCATTCACAGATACATTTCAGTTGTAAGAAACCATTACAGCCTTTGGAATTGATGAGTGAAATTAGTTAAGCACTCCCTGGACATAGGTTGAAATTTCAATTTTACACATTATTTAATATTTTCTACACAAAAATATGGGACATGACACGGTTAAAATAGTCAATTGCCACCCATCAATATTCTATTTATAAAATTTAAATTAACGCATTTTTAAAATCAGAATATTTATTTTCTAAAATCAGAATAATTATATCGGAATAATTATTTAATATCATATTTATGGAAAAATTAATCTCCATAATACAAGATTTGATTTCCTATCCAAAAAATAGCAAATAAGGATATGATCCCTGAATTCTTCCAAACAAAATTTCTTGATACTAAAAATTATTTAAGCGAGTTTATATCATTTACAAGTCCTGAAAATTCTAAAACAAATTGTTTTGAATCAATATAAGATACTTTGACTACTTTTATACAATTAGTAGATGGTTCCCAATTTTAACAAATCAAATTTGTGCTATTTCAGAATCATAAATTAAGTTTTGAATTAAAAAAAGAAAGAAATTCCACGGATTCGTGAAACAGTTGTCCGTCTGAATATAGTTTTTAACTCAAAAGCAACAAATGCAAAACCTACATTGTCTTACAAAAATAAATAATGAAACATTAAAATTTTGCTCAATATAACATTTCTACTTCTATTTATTTAAAAAGCTTTTAAAGTATGTAAAAGAGTCAATACTTCATTATGAGGTAAGCCAGCAGCAGAGAATATGGGAATTTTTTGGCCTCTAGCAATACTGTTCATTACATCGATTGTCGATATACCCGTTTGTATCATTTCCTCAGGATAAATACGACACCAGGGGTTTATAGGCTGACCTAAAGAAAAATAAACAAATCAATATATCACTAATATATAGCTGAAAGTTATCTGAGAGATTTTTTTTATGCCATGTGATGTAAAAAAAAAAGTGTATAATCAAGTCAATTTTAATGTACAAGCAACAGAGTTAAGAGATCTAAAAAGAAAGGAAATTTAATCAAATATTTATTATTTAATAAATCAATTATTTATTATTTAAATCAAATATTATTTATTTCAATCAAATATTATTTATTTAATAAATTGTGTCTCTAATTAATGAATTTCAACTTTTCTAATAAAAATTGGAAGAATTTTCTATGATTGAGTTACTATGTCCTATATACTAGTGAATTGGAATTCTATTTTTGTAGTGGTAGATGCACTACAGTACTCCCCCACCAGAATTATAGCTGTGATAGAATTTGATTAACGGATACCACTAGTTAATTCATTGCTGCTTTGCGAGAACCCAGGAAAGCTGTATTAAGTTCACGGTCGTGGTCGCTCCTGTGTTGCCTTTAGCAGTCGAGTGTGCATGTTGTGTGTGATTGAGACTAAGTAGCAACAGCACGAGGAGATGGATAACAGCACAGGTAGCAAATCAACTGTTCAATGTATACTATCCACCGAAGTAGGGGTGTTTAGATCAAAGTGGGTGTTACTGTCAAGATAGGCGTGTTCAGATCACGTCTGGGTCACCAATGTGGGGATAGTGAGTTATCGACAATGTCAACCTTCGTCTATGAAAAGGGACCCCAACATAGAATCAAGTTAACTTGTCTTATATACTAGTGAATCGGAATTGTTTTTTTGTAGTGGTAGATACATTACAAATGAATTACAAAACATATTAGATAGAAGCATATATCAAAATAAAAATAGATAAATTAGAGACACCATATAATTGTTTTTGAAGCAGATTTTTGCTTTATGTAGCAAAGGTGCATTATTTTTTTTAATTATTTACGATAAAGAGATCCTATATCTATGATTCAAAATCAAAAGTTTAAAAAAAATATTTGAATTAATAAAATCTTGATTTAATTATTTGTTTTCAACTTCTCTTGCAGGGTACATAGCCAAATCTTTCAACAAAAATAAGCACTCTTTAAGTACTTTCACTCAAAAAATATTTTTAAGCACTATATACATTAACAAAATGCAAAATAATTTTCAAAGACTTTAGATGATCATGATAAAATAACTAGTTTCTGACGAAGAACTCCTTTTTTGATTATATTAGCTTTTATAAAATGATTGAGAGATTTTTCGGTACGATATCAGAAGGTGGAAAATGATGTCTGATATTGAGAATATCTTGCAAAATGCAGCAGAGTTGCACATGAGAAGGCAATAATCTAACCGAACCCAGCTCAGTAGACTCACAAGTATTTCATCAAACATATAAAATGATTGGAGCTATCATATGCTATAAATCGACGGTACGGCGAAATGAATTGTGATAACTTTGAATAGAACAATGTGAAAAGCACGCTTTTCACATTGATAACATTCATTCATTTCATTTCATAATACGATTTTCACATTCATTTCATAATACGTAGAGAAAATCGACAAGGTAATGAAATAAAATCTCATTTTTGAAAAGGGAAAAAATAAGCACTTTTTAAAAACATCAAATGAAAAAGCACCTTTAAGGCCTTTTAAATTATGAAAATCTAAAATAAGCACCTTTAAGCACTTTTTAAAAACGCTACGCACCATGTCTTGCCATATTCTTTGGCTATACCACTTTTTTTATAAATACTTCAATTTAGGCCATTCTTCCAGTTTAGAGAGTGAATTCTTGAACCCGGAAAGGGGGATTTTGAAGGGTATATTTTCTTTGTTTTTCAATGTAATAAAAGAATTATTACTCTTTTCCAGTTAGAGCATACAGAAAGAACAGCATTTGAACAATAATATTTCAGAAAATGGACATATAAGCTTCAGGCATATAGAACTAATGAAGACAAATATTTATTATATTCACTGCATTTTTTTTTCTTTTTCAGAATTAACACAAAAATTATTAAATGACTCGATACCTCTCCACTTAAGTTAGTATCAGAAATATTTTTATTAGAAATATATAAATGGTTTTTTTTCCAGAAAAAGTATTTTTGACTCACTCTATATATATATATANATTCTTTAAAGATTTATATATACATGTATACAATATACTATAATATATGTGGAATATAGATCCGATCTACGAAGCAACCATCTCTATCACGTGATTTCAAGGACAATACACTTACATTTCCTTCACTTGTACACCATGTAGATGGAATAAGTTGGAATGTCTAGCTTGAGTAGAGCGCTAGCAGAAGATGTAGCTTATTTTGTTAATATATTTTATTAAGTTTAAAACTCCACCCAGATCATTACATGAGTCGGAAAACCTCAGTACAGGAAGAAAAATATTCCAGTTACGAGTTAGAAGTCTTAGCTATCATAACAGCTTTACAAAAATTTCGCATTTATTTATTAGGACAAAAATTCAAAATTGTTACCGATTGTTCAGCATTACAAAAAACTATGGAGAAAAAAGAAACTACTTCTAAAATAGCTCGTTGGGCATTATTTCCAGAAGAATTTGAATATGAAATAATTCATCGTTCAGGGACACACATGCGCCATGTTGATGCCTTAAGTCGTTATCCAATAATGATTATTGAAACCCCTGAAATAACACCTAAAATTTCAACAGCCCAAAAAGATGACGAATTTATATCAACAATTAAGGAATTAATTAACTGTAGTAAAACTGAAAATTACTTTGTGAAAAATGATATTCTTTACAAAATTGTTAATGATAGAAATTTATTAGTGGTCCTTAAGACCATGCAAATAGAAATTATAAAAAATGCTCATGAATTAGGTCATTATAGGGTAAACAAAACAGAAAATCTTGTTAAAGATAAATATTTTTTCCCAAACATCAGACAGTGCGTAGAAAATGTAATTAAAAGTTGTGTTAAGTGTATTCTAGTAAACAGGAAAAAGGGAAAAGCAGAGGGTTTATTAAACCCAATTCCAAAAGGTGATACTCCATTAGACACATATCACATTGACTTTATCGGTCCAATGCCTTCCACCAATAAAAACTACAACCATATTTTTTCTGTGGTAGATGCATTTACAAAATTTTTATGGCTCCATCCTGTAAAATCTACATCATCATTCAATGCCATTCAGAAATTAAACCAACAACAAACAAATTTTGGAAATCCTAATAGACTGATTAGTGATAAAGGTGCTGCGTTTACTTCAAAAGAATTTAGTGACTATTGTGCAAATGAAGACATTACTCATCTTACCATCACAACTCATATCCTCGACTGCTTGGGCCTTTCCAAGGAGGACTTATATGCTTCTCCACTTCTTGTAATCGACTTTTTGAGGGTCAACAACTTACTGGATCTTGTCTGACCTCGTCAGACAATTAGAGGATAAGCAACAACAACAACAACAACAACCATCACAACTGGAATCCCACGAGTAAACGGAATGATTGAAAGGATTCACGAGACACTCATTCCCATTTTAGCAAAACTATCCATAAATGAGCCAGAGAAATGGTATAAATACGTACCATTAGTACAAATAACATTAAACTCTACTTCATCTAGAAGTACCAAATACACACCGTTCGAATTACTTACTGGCATTAAAATGAAACAAAAACAAGATGACAAGCTTTTGGAAATATTGAAGGAAGAACATGAAAACACCATTATGTGTAACAGACAAGAAATTTGTGACAACGCTAAAGCCAACATTTATAAGATTCAAGAGGAAAACAAGCGAACATATGACAAAAAGCGGAAGAAAGCTCACAAGTATGAGATGGGTGATGTCGTTGCCATTCAACGAACGCAGTTCGGTACAGGACTCAAGTTGAGACCAAAATTCTACGGACCTTATGAAGTTACTAAGGTGAACAACAACGATAGATACAATGTCAGAAAACTTGGAACTCACGATGGTTCTAATATAACTTCTACTGCTGCAGACCATATGAAGATCTGGGGAAATTGAGGAACCATATGGACTGAAAAAAAAAACTAATTTTTGTTTGTTTCTTATAGCCAATTGTTTTGAAATATTTGCTTTTGTACTGTTCTTTTTCTTCGTCTGTAATTTCAGAAAATGTCCTTTGGATCAAACATGACATCTAGTGAGATAGTGGTCACCGCGGTCGGCGAGGAGCAGGACGGCCGTGTGGAATACAGATCCGATCTAGGAAGCAACCATCTCTATCATGTGATTTCAAGGACAATACACTTACAATTCCTTCACTTGTACACCATGTAGATGGAATCAGTTGGAATGTCTAGCTCGAGTAGAGCGCCAGCAGAAGACGTAGCTTATTTTGTTAATATATTTTATTAAGTTTAGCGTATCTCCTTTTATTTAAAACCCTCGCTTCACCCCCTTTATTCCACATATACATATACATATTATTTTTTGTAAAAAAAATAAATTAATTGATTAATTGAAATATAGTACCTATAATTAAGTAGGACTTCTAGAAACATTGAAAATATAATATTATACATACAATTTTGAAAATAAATATCACTTAACTTCAAATATTTTAAGTTTAATTCCAAAAAGTATAAAAAATGAAAAGAAAAGTATGCTTTTCTCATGTGAATGCCATTTAATTCTCGGATTTGAGTATTCATATTTTAGCACTGAAATTAATGCTTTCAGGGGTCTGTCTAGGTTTTTCTGAAAAGTACCTATTTTGTGAAAATTTAGACATAATTTGTGAAAAATTTAAAAATTATATTTAAAAACCAACACAAGAACATGGTAAAAATATAGATTTATCGTTTCTTAAGGGATACAAAAATAAAATTTTAAGAAAAAGAATTTTGTGAAACTACCGTTTTTCCTAAAGTTGAATTTGTGAAACTACCGTTTTACCTAACATTGAATTTGTGAAGGTACCGCGAAAGGGTAGTAAGTTCGGCCTGGACAGACCCCTGGCTTTATTTTACAAAATATTTTGCAGCATATAAACTGCTATGTATCTGAATCTGTCCCAAAACTAATAAAAAAATTATTATCTTAATTTAAACGTTTGAGAGAAAGAACTTTTTTTCTCTTTTGTTACATTACTTAAAAAACATTACTTCATATTGACTATATAATAATTAGACTATATAATAATTGACCATAAAAATAATTAGGAGCATGTGCTTTATTTCTTACTTTGGTGTTTTTAAAAATGTGTGATTCATGAATTGGTGGTTCATAAAAATCTTAAATAAAAAAAAAATAATAAATAAATAAATCTATATAAAAATAATTCCTAAATAAAAAAAGAAAGAATACACATAGCTGCCAACACAGATAGGAAAAAATTCTGTAGATTTTACAAAATATAAATTTCACGATTATTGATGCATAATGTATATACTATATATTTTACACATAGAAAATTTTAGGGATTTTCAGTCATCAAAATAGAAAAACTGCAATATTTTCCAGTTATGATTGACATTAAACATGCTTGAACATAACTTCAAATATTAATAGGCATTTAATTCTTTAAAGATTGTGAAAAGATTTTTTTAATTTAAAAAGAGAGTTCTGAATAAAAAAAAAAAACAGAACATTTTTTAACAAAAAAAAAAAAATTTGAACCGTTTTTCATAAATGAGGCTCACATGATTAAGTATTATTAATACTTATTTAAATATTCAAACAAGCAAGCAACAATCTGTACGAAAATTCAATTTCAGTAATTCATACTCAATTTTAGGGAATTTTCTAAAATGTACAAAAACCAGGAGAATTTTAATTAAACCAGAAGACCAGGAGAAACTGGCCTAATCCAGTAGAGTTGGCAGCCATGATTACACGTATACACCTGTATCTTATTAAATACATAGATAATATGGATGTGTCAAATCTTGAAAAAAAAATTAGTAGTTTTTTTGAAAGCATAAATAATCTAATTTAAATATGTTTGACCTAAGATAGGGATTACATCCGGAAGAAAACTTTTTTTTCTAGAATTATTGTTGACTATTCATTTTAAATTGTATATTAATTTCAAAACCAACATATCACATTATTTAATTTGAATATTCATTATAAAAATCAATAAGCTCTTTCTGTAATCGTGAATTCGATGCGTGATTAGTCGTAGTATATTTATATGTTTAGTATAATATGCATTCGCTAATTCAATTCTATTTAGAGAGTGTAAATATGCATTTAATTAGGTTTAACAATATTTCTTTTTATAAAGTACTGAAAAAAGCTGCAGTAAATTGTTTTAGCTCTTTCAGAAATTTATGAAAATTAATTTACTTTTTAATAGCTACTTTTCATTTTACATTTATTAAGAAATGATGTGGTAAATACATTTGGAATTATTACGTTTAGTTAAACTAGAATTAAAATATTGATTTCATATTTTTTTTTGAAAAACATACATAACATAAATAACAATACATAAATCAGAAGTCAACAAGTTTACCTTGAATATCAAGAAAATCTTCTGCGAGAACAGGAGGTCCTCTATCAATGGGCTTCCCTGATCCATTGAATACTCGACCTTTGCAGAAAAAAAAATATTATTATCAAATAAATAAATTAATACTAAACTTTGTAGGAAAAGAATATTATTATTAAATTAAAAAAAAATAATACTATCCACCTCTGTAGGGAAAAAATACTACTTTCAAAGGTATAAAAATTAAATTATATTACAATATAAAAATTAAGTTACAACTGCTAAAACCTAGATTTATGAATATCTGTCAAACTGTGATGAACACACACAAGATAAACAAAATAAAATTTGACTCCAGTTTTTTTCAAACTCTTTATTATCCAAGTCTGAGACTAACGTTTTTTTTATTTTTTAAGGGTCTACTATGTCATATAAGAGAACTTTTTTAGTGCTCTCAGCAGAATCTCCATGTAGTAATGTTATTTTATATGATTATAGTGGACAGCTGAAAAATTTCATCAAAATTGTTCATAGCGGACTTATTTAATTTTTTTTATGGCAGAATATAATTCTGTTTTGAGGGCTTAATATAAAATTAAATTGCCAAATTATTATTTTTTTTAAAATTTGATGAGTACAATAGAAAACTGCTAAGAAAAGTTTTCTCTGATTGTTGTCTGTTTTGAGGCATAATCTAAGGTTTGTGAGACTGATAAAATATATTTAGTGAAAAGGAAAAAATTAAAAGGAACATACTGTATAACCTTTGATCTAGTGAATAGATTTCCACACCCTAGTACTCAATCTTAATGGTTTAGATGGTTGATCTCAAGAATGCAAATTAATTAGTGGTCTCAATGGGTTAGACAGAAGAGCGGTTGAAAATATGGACACCTTAATGTTAATTTAAGCAAATCCTAGATTGTTTAGTTCTTCTGGAGAAGTTGAGGAACGATGGATGACAAATCACACTCCAATGGATTCCAGAACACTGTGATATTCATGGCAATGAACAAGCAGCTCTTATTGTTCTTTTTATTCCTCTTCTTTGTTAATCTTAAAAGAGTTTGTCATTTTGACTTCTTCTGTATATTTGCCATACCTCCAAAACTTTTAAGTGAATTGAAAAATGTTTGCACTCAAATATGAAATTTGTTTATCCAAAGATATTTCCAGTGCTAAAATTTTTTGAATAATTATTTACTATTATTTTACCTTATAATAATGGAAAAATTTGGAATATGAAGTCGCTTTAAAGAATATAATTTTATAAAGCAAAACTCAAAGCTTGAATGAAATCGGTCGAATAGGACATGAGTAATCAAATTTTAAATATACAAAATAAAAAGGATGATATCAGGGGTCTGTCTAGGTTTTTCTGAGAGGTACCTATATTGTGAAACTTTAGACATAATTTGCTAAAAATTATATTAAAAAATCAACACAAAAATGTGGATTTATCGTTTCATAAGGGATACAAAAATAAAATTTTAAGAAAAAGTATTTTGTGAAACTACCGTTTTTCCTAAAGTTGAATTTGTGAAACTACCATTTTTCCTAAAGTTGAATTTGAGAAGGTACCGCTAAACGGTAGTAAATTCGGATTGGACAAACCCCTGGATATACTTTTTATAACTTTTTCTATTAAGTAAAACTGCTAAAATAATTATGCGGCAGCAAAAGATTTGTTATGAATCAAAAGTATTTGGTATATACTTAACATTTTTGAACTTATTTTTAAATTAATAATCCAAAACTTAATAATCCATTGACAATCAGGGTCAAGATTGAGTACATACCTAACATATCTTCCGATACAGGAGTTCGTAAAATATCACCAGTAAATTCACATAATGTATGCTTAGCGTCAATTCCTGAAGTTCCTTCAAATACCTACAAGAGATAAAATTGAACAATCACTTTTCTTGGTACATTAAATAACTTGAAAATTGAAATTATTTATTAATAATTTAGAATTTCAAATGCACTTTAATGTTGACCATAAATGGTCAAATACTGAATATGTGGACATTTATCATTTAGCACTTTCTAAAAACACTATGCACCCTGCTTGTATATCAAATCAATAATTTGTCTTTCTAAAAAAAATAATAAACAATATTTTTCTCTATTTTATTAAGTTATTTTTAACAGCAAACAAAATAAAAAGCAGCTAACCTTGTTGATCTTTTTTACACTAATCACCAAGTGAAATCACTGATATAAACCACTAACTTTTTCTGAATGCCACTCATTTCTCTATTTCATATTAAAATATATATTCTATAATATATATTTATAATTTATTTTTTGTCAGCTCTATAAATTTCTTTTCTTTCTAAAAAAAAATATCATAATTTGACTTTGGCCAGCATTTAAAAAAGTAGAAGAAAAGTGTAAAAAAATCAGATATATGCTGGAAAATAGTACAAATTTTGTTTACACAAGCAAATGCTAAAGTACAATCCTATTCTTTCATTGTGGTATGACATTATTTTATCATTTACAATAAATATAAAATAAATAGCATTTCCATTATTAAATAGCATTTCCATTTTTTTTTAATTTTAAAAGAAAATATCTCACATTTTTAAGGAAATAAAAGAAAATTTAATTTGAAAAACAATTGGAGAAGAAATATTAATAGATGGGATTTAGTCCACCGATTTTTTCCTCAAGATTGAATTCAGTTCTCTGGAGTGAAGAGTGGCGCTCATGCATGTCTAAGCTTAAATTGAGTCATTTGTAAGCTAGTTAGAGATAGTCATTCTTGTTCTTGATATCACTGGAGCAGCTGTTTCATAGGTATATTGCTCCCCAGAAAGGAGTGCTTTCTAATATTGTATCAATATAACCAAAGCAAAATATATCAATATAATAGTGTGAGGAGCAGAAAAATATACAACAAATAAAATCGAACACATTAAGCATAAATATCACATAAAAACAGAAAATAAAATGCAAAGAAAAAACAAAATAAAACAAAATCTATAACGCAAGTAGCGAATTCAAATCAATTTACATGAATGCAGTGTTTTCAATACAGAGCGAGAACGCGACAATCTCGCATATTATTTTCTTTCCTCGCATTAAAAAATGATTACCGCGAGAAATTCGATAAATCAATTTCAAAACTTGCGAATTTCTTGCATTTTGGAAAAAGCTTCGAATTACGCCATTTAGAATAAAATTCGTTTCACTTTTCTTCCTGGATCTTCCATTATTTTCAACATCTGCCCCGTTATCTAGCTTCCCTATTTACCAGTAATGTTCAGAACCTTTTCGAACAACAGAACACAACCACGGAACCCCTTTCAGAACATATTTCTCTGCAACCACGCCACGTGTTTACAGTAGGTAAGGTTTCATCATGTAAGACATTCAAATTTTTTATGTACTAATAATGTAAGGTGGACAAATACCTTGTAAAGGCAAAATCTTCTATGATGATGCACCAAAAATTTAAAAAACAGAAGATGTTAAAAATGTATTAATAATTAAAGAAATGATTTTTTTTCATGAGTTTTTGTGTTTTTTTAGTTTTTAGAACTCTCACTTAACTTTTTGAAATCTCACCCTGTTTTTGAGAAAGGGTGAGAAATTCTCACCCATTTTTTTTTTCTATGATGAAACGGGACATTTTTCAAGAATAATTTAAAATAATTTTGTAACAAGATTGCCAGATTACAAAATATGAAAACAGAAGTGCAAATTGAGAGGTTTTATTTTATTCTATGTTCTTACTGCAGTACTGTACTGAAATGCATTTGATTTGTTAATTACCCAGGACGGGCCCGAAAACGGATATGGGCAAGGTAATATTATACTGGATAATTTAGAGAAGTTGACAATTAATAATTTTAGAAAATTAACTTTTATTTAAGGAAAAAAAAATAAAATAGAAAAGAGAGAGAGAAAGAAACATGAATTGCCTGTTTTGTACATAATTTTAAGCCACGGATTTGCATATTTTTCTCTTTTTGTCCTTTGTGTATTTATTTATTATGCTATATATATATATATATATATATTTTAAACAAATTCTATTGTCATTAATTCGGCTTTAATTATTCTGGAGCCAAACCAACAATAATATAAAACATTTCAAAACTTCTTTCTACCTCTCAGATTTTTTTATATTTATTGTATTTCTTCCCCTTTTCTTTTCCCTAAAAAAATTCTATTATCCTTTTTTTAGGATAATAATACTTTAAATATACATAAAAAAAAATCATGCCTTACTTGTTACAGTTATAATAAAAAAAAATCTTCACCTGTACTACAGCTTTTTTCCCACTAACTTCAAGAACTTGTCCTGTTCTAGCAGTACCATCAGCCAGAACCAGCTGAACAATTTCTGCAAACTTTGGAAACTGAAAAAAATAATTATTAAAACCTCATTACACAATTCTCTCCACAAATATCACTACAGGGTTAATAAGTATTAATTGTAAGAAATAAAACAATTTTTAGTAAGTTAAATAAAAAAGTTTGAAAGGTTCAATCAAATAAAAAATACTAAATATTCCTACCTGTAATAAAATTGAAAGGAAGAACATTTGTGCATTATTTCTGCCAAATTATGCATAAGAAGTTAACAAAGTATTTTTTTCTTTTCATATTATAAAACTTTATAATATTTATTTTCTTCATTCAATAAGTCAACTTTTACCCTAACAAACATAAAACACTTACAGTTAAAATATTTTTGAGAAAAAAAAAGAAAAAACTTTTTGTTTCTAACTTTGTGACAATTGTCTTTTTTCCTTTGCAAAAAAATTTAATTAATTAATTAATTTTTTATAAAAAAAAGACACTTTAAAACATTAATAATTTTACACTAGTTAATAATTGTAAATTTTTTTTTTATCACAACAGATTCCTTTTAGATAGAGAACAAGCAGCTTTGAAACTTGGACTGCAATAATAGAAAATTAGAGAAATCCAGATTTAAAAAAAAAAAAAAAAACAATTTAGTAACATAAATTAACAAAATAAATTGAATAAATAAATATATTTTATAATTGCATAAAATATATTGCTCATATATATTTCCGCACATAAACAATTAAAAACTTTATAAAGCCATAATGAATATTGAAACAATCCTTTTTATCCCTCTTGCACTAATAATTATAAATAGGGAAATATAAACTTTAAAAAAAAAACAAATAAAAAAAAAACAGGCATATAAGGACAAAAAGCTAAAATTCAGAATTAAATACTTTTTACCAAAAAAAGAAGACAAATATCAAGGAAGCTCTGACCCCTAAAGTGGAAATATGAGAGACAAAAATCACTTTGATTTATTGGCGAACAAAAAGGGCTACAGGTCCGGGGCCCCCACCAGGGGGGAAGGTGGGCGCACGAGCCCACCTTCTTACTTAAGCTTGAAGCTTGAGGGGGGGGGGAATTTTTACACTAAATAAACGAACAGTTTTGGGGGGGAATTTAGAATTTGCCCAAGAATGCACCAAAGAGCTTGGAGGGGATGGGGGCCACCGCTACAGTTGGTGTAGAGCAGAACTCTCTACCTATGGCAACATTTGGCATGCTTTCACCATCAGTGTATGGAGACGAAGAGTCATAGAAGAAGGAAGTACTTTAGTTTCTGTCTTGATTTTCATATAGATTGAATTCTTATAAGTTAGAAAACTATATGGAACTGAAAACAATATTGACCATAGTTCTAAAAGAAAGTGTTGTGGCAATTTTGAAAAATGTGTTTGACAATTAAATAGAAAAAATATTGAGAAAAAGGAAAATATCCTTCAGGGTTGCCACAGAAAAAAATGAACAAAATTGTTGCTTTTAGTAGCCTAAAGAATGAAAATAGTAGCCGAAAATTATGAAAACAGTTGCCTAAATAAGAACAAAATTTTTTAAATAATATGACGAAAATTTTATTAAATGACTTCATTGTAATATACCATGATCCATTTAGTCAAGTTGGTGGCAAATATGATAATTTCTAAATAAACGTAAGTGTTCTAGAACTAAATTTTTATATAAAAAAAAATTGTATATTTGCAGAACATTAAATCTCTTAAATGCTAGAATTAATGCAGAAAAAGAATTTTTTGTTAAAAAAAAACATACTCTTTCTATTAATTTTCCCTTTCACATAATTTTTCCTCTTATCAATAATTGATTTAGCAAATATATGTGTATGTATGTANATATTTATATTTATATATATATATATATTGAAAAAGTGATTACTAAAATTCGAAATTCATGCATCATAGTATCATATTAAAAATTGGATTCTTTAAAATCATGCAGAATTTCGTAGCAATAACTGTTGAAAAGGTGATTGAGAAACAAAATAGATTTACAATGGAATCTGTGCAAATTGAGCGCATTAAAAAGTGATGACTCAAATTTGCAATTCAATATTTTTTTTATTTTTTAGAAAAAAAAATTCATTATTTTCGAAGCTACCGTGGGCAGCAGGTTGATTTAAAACAGGTTCTGTACTGTATTATATTTTCTATTAGCTATTTAGTTTAACAATGGTGTATAACACATACTGACTTCTCACAACTGTAAAAGCTCATCAACACAATATATACCAATGTTAAGCGTGCACAAACACGTTAGTATACGAAACTACTGTTTGTAATTATTTGTGTTTCAAAGTCAGTAGCTATGCCAGCGCTATCAATACAGTTTCTCGTGGCAAAATTTGCAAGTTCAAGAAAATTGTACTTTTTTTTAAATATCTTGTTAACAATGAAGAAATGTATTTTGAAAAAAATTAACAGATGAAAGTATATATAATAACAAAATAAAATGTTATAACAGAATATTTTAAATTTTTTTCGGGGGGGGGGGTTGTTTGTTAGAGGTTTGCACCCTCTTTTATATTATTCTGCCAGCACCCTTGTATACAACTAAGATAAGGAGGAGAGGAAAGTAGGAAGGGTCAAGACATGGAGCTGGTCTTCTGAGATGGAGGATTTGAGCATTGCAATCGTGAATAGAAAAAAATCAACTTGTCAATCAATAGAAAAAAAAGTCATAAGATATTTTATGGGAATATAAAATTGTAACTATTTTATTGAAAATATAAAAAAAAATATTTGAACTAATTAAAAATCAATCTAAGAAACTTAATGTATAATAGAAAATAATGTATAATAGTTTTAATGTATAATAGTATAAAAGTTTTTTTAGAAAAAAAGAAGAAAAACTTAGTGTAGATATACAAATCAAAGAGCCTACCTTGACATCATCTAATATAACAAGAGGTCCATTAACTCCAGAGACTGTTTTATAAGCTACATTACAAAAAAAAATGTCTTAGTTAAATGAAAAATATTTTAAAACAATTCATGATAACCTTAATATAGATAAAAATGTAAATAGAAGAATAAAATCAATGATCACTAAAAGAGATTTTCAATTTTAATTTCTTTCAACTACTGAATTTATTAATCATTCTTCAAATAGTAATAGATGTTTCTTTATGGATCAAAATTTCCCTAATTTTTTTAGCACAATAACTTCTGTTTTAAAACATTTTTGGAAAATAAAATTTATGTAAGAAAAAAATTCATTTGATTTCACACTCTTGAATAAGCTGGCTTAAGTACTATAATTAATTGAAATCTTAAAATACCTTAATTTTATCTTAAAATAGTGATTCTTCATTAAATAAAATTTAAGATGCCACTCGAAAACTTAAGGAATTCCAACTAATAAAGTCGAATATTGACATGTTTTTTAACAAGGAAAATTTTTGCAAAGTAATATTCTTTAAAAGAATTTTTTGTAGAAATTTTAAAGAGATTTTTTTAGACCCCCACAAACTCATTCGAGTAATCATACATACAGTAAGACCTCGTTTAACACGTAGGTTACGTTCCATCAAAGTAGAGCGTAATGCGAAACAGCGCTAAACGAGGCTATCTTAACATGTAAATAATGGGGTTAGGGGAAGATGGATAGAAAATTGGTTAGGTATTAAATTTATTAATTATGTTTTTTTCAATAAAAATAAAACCAAACATCTATTTCCTACAAAAATAAAAACAATATAAACGAATATTTGTACCTATAAAAACAAATAAAATTCTAAGTCACTCAGATCATTCAGTGTATTTTGTGTTTCCAATTTTCTGCCTTTTTGTTAAGAGGGCATCTAATGCAGTTTGTGTTTTCCTTTTGTGTTCTGTTAGAAGTTGTTGATAAGTTGATAAAACATCTAGCTTTTGAACTCCTGTCAAAATTTGGATCATTTTCAACAAATCGGTTCATAATTTCAGTTATAATGGTCAAATTCCTCTTTATAAACACCATTGAAAGTTCTTTTTGCTCTTCTTCGAAATCACTACTTTCAATTTCTTTGTTTTCTTCTCGTTCAGTTAATTCCTTGAGCTCATCATTAGCAAGACTAGCTGCTGTTTTTTGCACTATTTCTTCGGCGTCTTCCACATTTACCTCATCTAAACCGGCTTGTTTTGTTAATTCCACTATTTCTTCCATTATTTCATTCTTATCGACAGAGTGTCCAATGTGTTCGCTCTTACTTAAATCTGGCCAAATGTTCTTCCTTACTCCTTTCAAAGATCTTTCTGTTATCTCATTCCAAGAAAGGTTTATGTTTTTTACAGCATTCATGATATTATAGTTTTTCCAAAATTCTCTTATTGTTTGCTATTCTTCTCTGTCTATTTTGTGAAATATCTACTTTAATGTTCGCCGCAAGTAATAAGCCTTAAAATTGGATATAACGCCTTGGTCCATTGGTTGGATTAAGGCAGTTGTGTTAGGCAGCAAAAAAACCTCTTTGACTGGAATACATGTTAAGTCTGATAAGTTTGTTGGGTGGCTTGGAGCATTATCAATTAATAGTAGTGCTCTATGTTCAAGTTTTTTAATTTCGTAATAATGTTTAGCAGACGGGCAGAAATGTTCAGCAAACCAATTCTAGAAAATTTTCATAGCTATCCATGATTTTTTATTAGACTCCCAAATTACAGGCAAAGTTGATTTAGATATGCCATTCATCGCTCCTGGGTTTTTTGGAGTGGTAAACTGGTAATGGTTTTAATTTGAAATCTCCGCTTGCATTACCACCCAGTAGAAGTGTTAAGCGATCTTTTGCGGCTTTAAATCCCGGTGCTCGTTTCTCTTCATGGGATAGAAATGTTCGTTTTGGCATTCTTTTCCAAAACAAGCCTGCTTCATCAACATTAAAAACCAATTCTGGAGGATAGTTTCCTTGTTCAATTATTGTTTTTAATGTCGCTGGGTATTCAGCCACCGCTTTCGTATCACCACTTGCTGCTTCTCCTGTAATCTTTATGTTGCAAAGATTATTTCGATGTTTAAATCTATTAAACCATCCTCAAATAGCAACGAAAGTTTGACTTATGTCACTTGCCTCAACCTGAATGTAATTAAAACTTCTTCTAGCTTTTTCCGTTATGATAGACTGGCTTGATGGCATATTGCGTTCAATTTCGTGGTTAATCCATACAGACAGTCGTTTTTCCATTTCCTCTATAATGTTATTTCTAGAATGGGTAATTCTAGTTGCAAAGCTTGACGTAGTTGCAGTTGCTAATGACAGTATTTTTTATTTATTCCTAAGAATTGTCCTTATTGTTGAAGTTGCCAAATTCAATTCAGAACTAATTTGAGATTGACATTCATCAGAATCTAATCTTCTAATCCCTTGCATTTTAGTTTCCAGTGAAATGCTTTTTCTGGTTGCTTTCTTTTCTTGTTTTTCATTATCACCCATAATAAAAACTAAAGATCATAATATTTGTCACTGTATTAATCGTTATAGTATTATATAAATTTATATGTACTTACAATAATGTCAACAAATGTTTCAAATGATAAAAATGGGTTCGCACAGCACCGCACCAAACAAGAAACACGACTGCATTGTTTTGGATATGTGATGTACATATTTGGGGGAGTCCTCAGGTTGAAATAAAAGAGCGCTAAATGAAACAGCGTTAAGTGGGGTCTTACTGTACTTCGCTTCCCTGTGTAACAATAAGTAATAACAAATATTGAGAATCAAACAAAACTTTTATAAGTTTTGAGATCAGAATATTATTGGTGATCACTTTAATTTTATTTAATCTAAAAAAGTCTACCTAAATTGTATCATAAAATAATTAAAATCAATATTTTGATTGATAATAATTAAAACTCAAGAGTTATTGCCTGTAATATAAACTGAATATTTATAATATTGATCTTAAAGTAAGTTTTTATAAAAACCAATTATTGGTTTGAATAATTCTGCCTAGTATATATTTTATATATAACGCAAGTATTATGTCATCATTCACATACGAAGAAACTTACCCCATGTTTTTGTCAGATTTTAACACTTTTCGAATTGTTTTTGACGTGAAAACCTAATCCTGATATTTGTACATTCAAAAGAAGTAGAATAACTTTTTCCTTTTGAAATTGCCCAATTTATTTCCTTTTGCAGGAAAAACATACATAAATATTTTAAAAAAAATTTATTTCATAATATTTCATAGCTTTTATATTTTTAAGAAAATTTTATTTCATTTCTACAAATTACTTACCTATTTTCTCAAAACAGATTTTTTATTAATAAGTATAAATAGAACTTTCTGTGAAAAGTCGCAAAAGTAAGTCAACAAAAAAATTTGGGCCTCTCAGGGGTCTGTCCAAGCCAAATTTACTACTGTTTAGCGATACCTTCACAAATTCAACGGTAGCGTCGCAACATACTTTTCTTAACTTTTTCTTAAAATTTTATTTTTTTGTCTCGTAAAAAACGATAAATTCATATTTTTGTGTTGTTTTTTTTAATATAATTTTTACAAATTAAGCCTAAATTTTTTAAAAATAAGTACCTCTCAGAAAAACCTAGACAGACCCCTGCCTCTACTAATTTTTTTAAAAAAATAGTTGCACTTTCTTGTGTCCAGCGAAACTGAAAAGCATCATACAAACAATGGTTAATTATTAATTTCGTTTTAATTGCAGTAATACAATATATTAACCATGTTAAGCTAAAATCAGTACTGCATACAAAACAAATCATGATTTGTTTCTTACTTTTTGTGTAAAGGTTCAAGAATTTTAACAAAATTATGCTTTTCCCCAAACATCTTAGAAAAAAAAAATATCCTGAATTTGAGAAGCTACTAATTTAATGATATGCATCAATTTTCAATTTATTCATATTCAATTGCCAAACATTGTTAACACGTACAAGCAAGTTTCTAACAATAACCTGACAAATAAATCTTAATAAAAAAATTTTTTTAAATAAATAAAGTTAAGCTATACAGTGAACATAAATTTATTCAATAAAAATTAAACACACATACTAACTAGTTAACTTTGGAGACATATTCTAAAGATATAACCAGATTAGGTTATAATTCAAATTCAACAGTTTATGAACCTGCTCTATTTATGAGCAGTAACACTGCTGATCTTATCGACCTAATAATTAATAAAACTGCGATTTATATAAGAGTTCCAACTCTGTTTTTGTGTTGTTTTGAACTTTTTAAATTTATAAATACATAGATAAATTTAATATATTATAACAGTAACCAAATAAAATGTACAATAGTCATTTTATTAAAAAAAAGGAATTGTATGTTAGATTTTTATTTACAAAAATAAAGATAAGCAAACATAACTTTAATAATTTGATAAGGAGCAAGCTGAGGAATGACCACATGACTATCTGAGTAACAGAAACTGGTTGATTTATGACCCTATTGTGTGAAAGATAACAGTGCTTGTTCCTAGACAGATGTAATACCCATACAAATTTATTTTGAAATTAACATAAAACTTGTAATTTTAACTTTTTAATAAAACTTGTAATTTTTTATGCATGCACAATTATAATTATTAAAATACCTTTTTTTTATTACGAAAATACAAAAAATAGCTAGAACAAAAATGAGACAGATAATACTCACTGTCTTTTAAATAATAAAAAAATATACCTCTATAAAAGGGGAGAAAATCGAAATCTTAAAAAATTAATTACTTTTGATTTAACAGAGCAAAACTTACTACAGGAACGACTAATTTTGGAAAATACTTGGTGTTATTTAGAAAGATTATTTACATTTATCAACTTAAACTTACTTATTCGTGGTTGAGATATGAAATCTCGCGTAACAACTAATGAATGTTCTTTTAAAGCACGATTAGCACTCATAGAAGGCATGGCTGTTTTCGTAGACATCTTTAGTTATTAATGCGATAACAGATCGAGCATAGAATAGAAATTAACAATAATAAGCACAACTTCTGATATTCTCTTCAGCTCGTCTGCTGCCGACGCCTACAGTTGCTCACTTCACTTTACCTTTAATCACATGATAAGGTGGGAATAAAAATAGAGCCAATACCTCAAGGGAATGTTTTCACTGAATACAATTCAAGCAACTCCAATCATCGTGAAGGGTAATCCTGTCCTAGTTTGGACTCAGCAGCAACAATACATCTAAACGTAGTAATTTTAGCAGAAATCTTGTGATCTATGATTGTTTAATGTTTTCTGTGGTTGTTTGAAATTTTACTTGTCTAATTAAACTATATGTATATTTGTAAGATATATTAGTAGAAAACAATTATGTTCTTCAAACGTTCCGTTTTATTTTCAATATTTCTATTTATCTTCGTTTTACAATTAGTAAATTCCGATGAAGTGCCCACAATATTATGGAATGTTAAAGGGTAAAATACTTTTCTCACTGTTTTGTTTATTCTAGTGTTATTTGTTTTGGGAATATTGCCACATCATTACAGAACATATCCAGTCACATAATTTCCTACAAAAACTCTAGGAACTGAAATCTTTTTCACTGTAAACTAGACTTAAAAAGATACTTTAGTAACTGTTGCGTCTTAGATTCTTTGCTTTGCCCCATCTAACCCCCTCCCCCATCTATATTAAGGATATGTTTTGAATAGCAAACTAAAAGAGGCTTATTTATTAAGAAACTTTAAAAAATGTGTGCAACTCTCCTGCAGATTATTTTGTGCATCAGAATCCAAGTTAATATGGGCATTTCAAAGGATAATGTAGCAAATAAATAAACATTTATCAGCGGCCCTCCGTTAACAAATTTCTTAGTTCTTAATTAACTATTATTGTTAACTAATTTTATTAATAAAGTTAACTGTGGCAGGATAATCGCCAAGGCTTTGGAACTTCAGGCCAGCAATAAACTTAAAAAAAAAAAACAGCTCAGAAAGTCCCTAGAGGTATAACTCGTAAACAATCCCATCTGCATGTTTAAAACAAAAAAATTGCTGGTTTAAAATCTATTTGGCACCGTATTGATTGTAGTTGGTCAGCGACAGATCATGATATGGAAATATCCCCACTGTTTTAGATGTAAATCAAAAATTGCAGTTTTAAAGAATTTCCTCTTCATGTAAAGTAAATGCAGGTTAGTTCCATCAAAAAGTCCAGCACGGAGGCAAATTTCTCCCAATATTTAATCTAGGAGTTCCCTTGTCTTCTGTATTAAGTTCAAAATGACAAGGCTTGGTAATGGAGCATTAGTAGTCGTAAACACTAAAATTGGGCCTGCTGCTCATTGACAGTTATAAAAAAAAGTCTATAAAAATTTAAATATATTTTGTATTTGTAAGACCAGTCATGAGCTTAATCTCTCTTTGTTATATCATGTGTTCTTTCAATGTTTCTTGTTAATTTCTTTATTTTTTTCTTCAAATAAATTTTAAAAATTGATCCCATTGCTGTTATTTCTTACTGATTTTTTTTAAGGTTCCGTGCAACTACCCGATATACCCAGCAATGTTTTTTTAAAGTTAAGTGCCACTGCCAGTATGCATTTGACCGGTACTCGAACACTGATATTTCTCCTAATCTAACTTCCGCAGATATTAAAATATCGAATAAATCAATATATCAAAAAATAAATTAAAATCAAATCATATATTTCGGACATTCACCAAAGCCAATGCCCCCCCCCCCAAGCTTTAAGTTGGCGCATCGTGCGCCCACCTTCCACCCTGGTAGGGACCCCTTACCAAAGCGACTATGTGATGGCTGACATTCACGGTAACATATATATACAGTGGTACCTCGAGATACGAGTGCCCTAACATACGAGTTATTTGAGATACGAGCTGTCGAGCGAGCGAAGTTTTGTTTTGAGGTAGGAGGAACGGCCATGCAAGCCCTTCTTGTCCTCGATAATGCTCCTGCTCACCCACGAACGTCGAACCTGACATCCTCTAAAAGTTCAAGTTTATAAAGGCTCTCTATCTACCACTTAACACCACTCCTATCCTGCAGCCCATGGATCAGCAGATGATTTCTAATTTTAAAAAACTGTACGCTAAGCACCTGTTCCGACGCTGCTTTGAGGTGACAGAGAACACAAACCTCACCCTTCGAGAGTACTGGAGGACCACTTTAACATTGTGATATGCCTCAGAATTATTGATCAGGCCTGGCTGAGTGTTACAACGAGGACCTTGACCTCTGCATTGAAGAAGCTGTGTGGTCGGAGTGAGTCTGTAGCTGAAAATTGTGTTGTCACCTGAGTCTGTGAATCCGAAGTGCCAGTGGAGGAGGAGATTGTGTCTCTCGGAAAATCCATGGACCTGGTGATGGGTGAGAGAGATGTGAACGAGCTCGCCGAGGATCCTCTCAGGAACTGACGACCGAGGAATTACAGGAGTTACAGCCACAGCAGCATTTGGGGGTTCTGCAAGAAATTGGTTTCGAGGAAGAGCCAGAGATGGAGGAGGTTATCTCTACAAGTGAGATAAAAGAGTTCTTGGGAATGTGGGAGAGAATTTCTCAGCTCGTGGATAATAAACATCCCGAAAAAGTTGCAACTGGTCGTAAATCAGAGCTATTTAATGACACTTGCTTAACTCATTTCTGCAGCATTCTGAAAAGGAGGAAGAAACAAACCACCTTGGGCAGTTTTTTTTTTTAATCCGACTAAAAAAGCAAAGACCAGTGAAGAGAAAAGCAGTGACTAAAATTAAGCATATAGTAGCATTTAAGTTGTGTGTACGTTGCATTTAAGTGACCAAAATACAAATATGTATGTACGCTTTATAAAACCAGTTTTTTTTATATTTTACATTCTCTGTTATTTTGTTTTTGTACAATTTTCGTCATGTATACATTTTTCTTATTCAAAAGCATGTAAAAGAGCATTTTTGGGGCGGATTAATGGCATTTCAATGGGGACTCAACACGTAACTTTTGGGAACTCTTCATGACTGAAAGAGGTACAGATTTTGAGGCAAGATGAAGGTATGGAAGACGTGAAAATAACTAACAGCAAACGGACAAGTGGAAATCATGCATTATACCTACTAAGTGGTTGTTCCAGTAGTACCATACAGTTTCTCGGAGCACTCAAAGAACACCATTCGAACTTTTAACAGGAGTGAAAATGCGAGGACTTGTTGGATGGAGAGAATCCAAGACAGAGAGAATATTAGAGAAAAAGAATATCATGAACCGCTGGCAATACAATAAAAGAAGGAAGAAAGCCAATGAATATCAAGACTATCCAGATAACTCAGTTTCTATCTGGTCTCAAATTAAGACCAAAGTTCTCTACCAAATAACAAAAGTAAAGAAGAATGGTAGATATGAAGTATTAAAAGTTGAGAATCATGAAGGACCAAATAACACTTCGTCTTCACATGAACCGTCACACATGAAACCGTAATCTGTAAATTAAAAAAAATGTTTTTTATACTTTGCTTTCTCGTTTTCTTTTCTTTTTTTCAGGTAACTGTTTCTTAAGCTGATTTTAATGAGAGAATCAGGATGGCCGAAATGTAGTAGTTGTGGGAATTGCATCATTCGTCATCCTCGAAACCGCCTACTTCCTCATTGAAAGGCGACAGAGTGTCGAGACAGGAAAATTCCCAAATTAATAACTTACTTACTCATTTACACTTTAATAACAAATTAATAACTTTCTTACTCATTTACTAATTTAGCAGGCAGTCTTTGTCCTGCTATGCTGCGTGTAGGCAGCTCTCGCCGATCATGGTGTCATTGTTAAACTACTGTCTTATTTTTCTCCCTTGCTCCACAAATCACTACATATATATATACATTACGGTTCTGTTGATAAAATGTGGCATGTTCATATAACTAAATTTGAAATTTGCTTCTAACATTGAAGAAAAGATACACTTATTATTATTAGAAAATTTTAATTTTGCTTCTTTAAAAATTTATTATAATTAGAATTTTTAAAGAACTTAGGCGTACTACAAAAATGCAGTGTTTTCACTACAGCGCGAGAATCTCGTATATTTTTTTATTTTCTCGCATTAAAAAATGATTACCGCGAGAAATTCGCGCATTCTATAGTAAACCAATTTCAAAATTCGCGAATTTCTCGCATTTTGAAAAAAATTTCTAATTTGCGCCATTTAGAATGAAATCTGTTTCACTTTTCTTCCTGGATCTTTTATTATTTTCAACATCTGCACCTCTTTCAGAACGCATTTCTCTGCAACCACGTGTTTACCGTAGGTAAGGTTTCTTCATGTAAGACGTTAAAAGTTTTTGCTCGTTAATGTAAGATGGACAAATACCTTGTAAAGCCAATATCTTCTACTCCGAAACGGACAAATGAAAATGAAACAAATGTGGGTAGAAGCGATCAAAACGAAACAAATACGCATTTGAGCAACCTAATGAGAATAGCTGATGAAAAAGTAGATGTAGAACATTTTCCATAGGATGATGCAGCAAAAATATTCAATGCTTTAAAAATTAGAAGATGTTAAAAATGCATCATAATTAAAGAAATTTTATTTTTTTTCAAGTCTCTTTACGTTTTTTTTTTTAATTTTTGAAATCTCACTTAACTTTTTGAAATCTCACCCTGTTTTTGAGAAAGGGTGAGAAATTCTCACCCATTTTTTTTCTGAGATGAAAACACTGAAAAATGTCATTATAAACTTAACAGAAGGATGAAAAGATTAAATTCTCTAGATCAAGTAATTCTTGAGGTAGAACTATTTAAAAATTATAAGAACTAATATAATTTTAAATTTTCAAAAATGTATATTTGAATACTTAATGGAGCAACAGATCTAGCGTTCACCTTCCAATGAGGCGAACCGGGTTAGAATCCCAGTTGTTACAAATTCCGCATCCGGCTTGCAACGACCACAATGCTGACGTGAAATATCCTTAGTGGTAGATGGATTATGGGTTAGAGTCTCCTTGCCGTCTGGTTAACTGTGGGAGATTCTTGTGGTCTTCCTCTCCATGTAACGCAAATGCGGGTTAGATCAATCAAAAAGTCTTCCACGAGGGCAAATTTCTTCCGATACTTGATCCAGGAGCTCCCTTGTCTTCTGGATTGGGTTCAAAATTACAAGACTGCGAAGTTGAACATTAGTAGTCGTAAACCCATAAAATTGGGTTGGCTGTTCCAAGATGGTTATTAAATAAAATTATGAAAAACTTGGTGTTTTACATAACAGACAAATATGCTGAAAATCAGTGACATATTCTTTTTTTAATTTGCCTAATTAAATTTGATGCCTAATTAGTGAATATTGATGACACCATTTTTAAGTTAAACATTTAAGATGATAGCATTTTTAAGGATATCATTTTGATAATTTTTAAAAAGAAAAAATTTCATGCTTTTTTCAGGAATGCATTGCTTGTGAAACCCGTGTCAGCTTTAGAACGAGACGACTGGTCTTTTAATGAAAATGTTGAAACCGTTTTGAGTAATAATAATAATGCCAATATTTTGGTTTTCTCTGTGAATAAGGTAAGGCATAATTTGCTTCTTGAAAATGATAATTTTTATTGTGATTTCTTTGCTGAATAAGGATCTTAGATAAAGGCTAATAAAATATAGCAGTATATTGACAGACAGGTTGCTATGACAACTGCTGTTCTAAAAAACTATTATGATTATTTATTACCACCTCAGGTTGTATATTATGAATCTGCAAGTAGACTATTGATAAACATGACTAGCAAGAACTTCTAAAATATGTTTGTGTTATATAATTGCTTTCTTCCCTTTATTTGATTTTCTTACAGAGTTCTTAGTTGTCTTGATATCTCTGATTTTGTTAATAAAAATATATTTCCCTGATATATATATATACAGTGAAACCTCCTGTTATGGACACTCCTGCAAAGCGGACGCCTCTCAATACGGACATATTTTTAATTCCCCGGGAATCTTCTATGAATAAACCATTACGTACATTCTCCGCAAAGCGGACACTCCCGTAACCAGACGCGGACAGTCATTTTGGTCCTGAAACGTTGTTTTTTACCTCTACAAACCGGACACTACTTTTTCTAAATAAATTGCAAGCTAAAAAAATTTAACTTTTCACCATTTTTAAAGCATGCTAATAAAACTTTTTGCCTTATCCATGACTAAAAATATTGTTAAGCTATTTCACCACCGAAAAATCAATCTTTCTCCTGTCACCTTGCCTTATCTTTGTAAAGAAAGGAGTGAAAATGGTACTGCACAATTCTGACATCGGCATCTTTTGATCTGGACCATACAGGTTCTGGACCATACAGGTTATGAGACCCCTCAAGTTGAAATGACTTCTTTCAATGCTTCTTTCCCATTGAAAATTTCCTTAATTTTCTTATCAATTTGAAGACTGTATTTAACACAACTTGGGTAAAAAAAAGAGAACAGAAGTATAATCTTTGAGGTGTTTATATAAATGAAACATTTATTCAGACACTTGATAGCTGATCAATTGTGAATAATCATCTCCATAGGTCCTCATGACTTACAGGTATGCATTACTTTTTTTTCTGTGAATCATGGGAGGTTTATTTTCCAAGAAGGTATTAACCATGTTCCCTATCAAATGATAAGTAGGTGTAAGGGGATGTGAACCTAATAATTGAAACGGACTGAGGACAGTACGCTCCTATTTGGTATCATATGTCTAACTTGAGTATCTATGCTAATAGGAAAATTATATTTATTTATCTGTAGCTACATCCAGAATTATGTATTTATATCAAACTTCTTTATATATTCTTTTTTATCTTTCTTATTGTTTAAATAAATATTCTTGTAGATATTTACAGTATCCTTGTAGATATTATTTAATTATTTCTACATCTTTGAGAATATTCTAAAAACAATTTACGGTGTTAAATTTCGTTATTAGGGTACCCTTCCCGTAAAAGGACAACTCTCATAATCGGACAAATTTTTTGGTCCCATGAATGTCCGCTTAACGAAGGTTTCACTGTATATAGTTTGTCTAAGGAAAGAACTCCCGTAACCATTTGTCTGGTCCGTGGCGGTGACTATGGTAACGAGGTATAACTATTTTAAGTAGGGGTGTGGGGTAATTGTTTAGGACAGGTTTTGGGTCGGGGCAGCGAGAGAAAGGGAATCTTTTTCCTCAGTCTATTTCGCTAGCCCTAGAGAGAAGAGAAGCTACCCTCTCTGAAATGCGCTATTCTTGTTCCCATAGCAGCAGACGGCCTCAGACTTTGTGGCAGGGGGAGTTCTTACCATAAGCAAACTATATAAGCTTTTTGTCCTGATATTCCTGATTTATATGTGAGTTCAGAACCTTCCATTCTCTATGGATACAAATGCAAAATTTTAAAATGATTGATTTGAATGAACAAAAAATATTGATTTTTGATCTAATACATTAATGATAGTAAAAATTGCAAAGTTTGGCAGTTTAAACTTAGGGAATATTATAATTATATGTGGTTCAGGCCTTATCTGCAGAATTCCTTGTTTGTAACTCTTTGAGAATTAGATAATTTTATTTAAAAGAAATGTTATTTTCAATAAATGTCATTTTCAATAAATGCAGTAACAAAACTGTGTAGTGACCGGGTGAGAAAGAATATTACCAATGTAGCTCATACATGTTGTTAAAGGCAACTAAAATGGGTACCCAGCGCCCAGGGGGCTGAACCTCCAGGTTGGGGGTTCGGCATGGGACCAACTTCCCCACAATGTAACAGACACCCAGTTCAGAAACCAGCACTGTGCATATATCAACTCCATTTTACCCAGACGACTCGGCCTTGAATGGGACTTGAGATTTGGTACATGGAACCTCCACACCCTATATAGGGGTGGCTCACTCAAACAATTTCCCAGAGGCAGACCCGCTACTAGATGGCTCAACGACTTGATTGAGCAAAAATGATTTGAAAACCCTAAAGATTAGAATTGGAAGGGTGTTGCCTTGGATAGGAGACACTGGCATTTGTCAGCTGTTGAGGCAGCCAAGGCCTGCAGGGAGCTGTTGTGTTGACAAAGAAGAAGCAGTAACAAAATTTATCAATTCATGTCTTTAATCTGATTTTAGAAACGATCAGTTCCATTATATAATACAGTAATTCTCAAACTATATATATTGTGGACTGAAGGATCATCGAAGGTACTTAAGTACTAAACTGTTAAACAACATATTCACCATCCTTATCTGTTTTAAATGTGTGAAAGCTAATACTTAGAAAAGGAAATTTGATGAATTTAAGAAATTAAAACAACTGCAGTCCTTGAGTATTTTTTTTAAAATGTGTATAGTAAAACGTTATTTTGAAATTATATACTGTTAAAATATCATAATTAATACTAAATTAACAAATCACATACCGAGGATTCTACAAATCGCGTATTATATTCATACTCTACTACAAATCACATATTGAATTTATAATTACAAATAGTATGCTAATTTTTTAAAAGTTAAATACTATTGAGATGAATACTTAAATGGATTCTTAAATAATATGATAGATTTTTAAATTTTGTATGAAACTATAATAAATAATCAGAAATTATCGTTTTTAATGGAGTTGATTCGATAATCTTTGATGCTAAATTCATTTAAATTTAAGCTAATATAATACTAGTTGCAAAACAATTATGTTGATCACTTTTAGTTTTTAAGAGAGCCATTCTTTTCCTTGTGTAACATATACTTTGAAATTTACATTATTTGACTTTGCTAATGAACTAACAACTATTGTTTTTATTTGTCATTATGGTTTCCTTGTCAGAACATGCGTAATATTTCAATATATTTATTGCATTTGGGAATTATTAAAATTGTTTCTTTTCTAGCTGAGCTCTGAAGACTTCTCTTCCCACGAAACATCCCCCAACAGTACAATAAGCAATTTACAAGTATGTTTGTTGCAATGTATTCTTTATTTAAAAGTATTTCAATTTTAGCTTCTTGTTTTGAACGTAAATAATTGGGAATCCGGTGAAATAAGGGACAGGCAATAAAATTGAAACAATGTGAGGTTGTTTTACATTTTATAATATAGACAGGGTATCTGCGCACCTGGAAAGTCATGAATTTCGGTGTTGAACAAAATTTGTCATGATTTTAACTATTAAAACAAAAATAATCATGAAAAGTCATGGATTAGGTTTGCTAAAAAATCTAATTTTTAACATCGAATCTACCCCCCCCTCCAATTTTATGGTGTTCTGAATGATGTCTGAATTTGTAACGAAATCCCCACTCAGTCTTATTTTATTAAAATGTAAAATGTTTTTATGTTCTTTAAAGAATTATGGTGTTTGAAAAAACGAGAGAAAAAACATCATTTTTAGAGCGAATAATTATCTTTTTAAACTTGTGTGATTTCAGAATTTTTGTTATTATTTATTTATTTTTATTTTATCAATTTTAAATTCTAGCTGAAGGCAAGCCAATCATTGGCGAATTTTTTATTTATTTTATTTTGATAACAGAAAAATCAGGAGTATTTCTTTCCTTTCCGATACACAAGAAAAGTATCTTTAGAATATAATTCTGGAGAAGAAAAAAAAAATTATTTGCTTTTGTATTTTTGTCAGCTATTTTATTGCTTCAACTCTTTCTTTACTCTGTTTTTTAAATCTATAAATATAAAGGATGCAGAGTATAAAATTTTAATTTTTGCTTTTTTTAAATTTATTGTCAGAGAATAAATTTGAAAATCTAAAATGTAGCAGATACCCTGTATGGATATGTACTTTCACAAATATTTTTAAATTCTGTGGATGCTTTTTTTTTAAATTTACTTTTTTTATGGTTATGCAAAAAAGAAACATTTCTTACTCTTATTAACTATTGATATTTCTAATGTATATATGTTAAACTTTGAAATCATTAGCATCGCAATTTTTAGGGTAGCCGATCGTTTTTTGAAAATAGAAGACAAGAACATGAAGAAAAATAAAATTTTATTTAAGTAATAGTAAAGAACAGAGACCCTAAAATAAGAACATTATATTTAAATCAAGTGATCACAACAATCCTGGTATGTATTTACAGTGTGCGAAATAAAAAATGGATTACCCTAAATAACTTTTGATCTAATGAATGGATCTTCACGTTCTGGGACTCAATCTTAATGCTTTGAGGGGGAGACCTCAATTATGCTAATTAATTTATGCTGATGGTATTTTAAGTTACGAAATCAGACACAGAAGCATACTTTCTCTGAATAAACATACCTTTTTTTTCGATGGATTTGGATTTATGTCCCCTAAACTATTCTCCTCATCTGGGAAATATGATTTCCAATTGTTTGGTCAGGAGAGCACTCCAGAGTTTGAACCCCTTAATGTTAATTTTTCTATTTGTGTATTTCGCTATATCTCGAGAACTATTTAATTGAATTGAAATTTTTTTTGCATACAATTGTAAAAATTTTTCGATTTAAAGATAATTCCCTGCAAAAATAACTTATAAAAAATAATTCTTATTTTGTATTTGATTTTTTTGATTATTTTAAAGAAGTAGTTTTAGAAGCAAAATGCAAAATTTGAGTAAAATAGGTTGAATAATTTATGAGAAATTGAATTTCAAAAATTTCAGATATTTAAAATTTGAGGAACTATTTGACCGCTCAAATTGTGTACTTTACATTTCAAACTTTTTTTTGACTATTCTTAAATAAAAAAACAATAAATATTTACAATAAGTTACATTTTGCATGGAAATTATCTTTGGATAAACGAATTTTGTAATTGTGTGCAAAATTTTTTCAATTTGGTTAAAAAGTCCTCAAGATATAACAAAATATGTAAAAAATAAAATTTACATTAAGGGGTCTAAACTTTGAAGCACTCTTGTGATCAAATTATTGAGACCATATTTCCCAGATTGCAGCTACCCTCTTTATTTTTAATTTCAGAAATTGTCAAATCCAAAGACATACTTGAGTTCACACCCTGGAGCCATTACGATTGAGTCCTAGAACATGAAGATCCGATCATTAGATCAAAAGTTATTCAGGGTGGTCCTTTTTTGTGCACTGTACGTATGTGTATGTATATATATGTATATATATATATATATTTCAGGCTTTTTTGACCGAAGTATTATTTGTAAAATTATTTTTCAACAAAAAAAATTTTTAGGAGAAATTTTAATAGATTTCATAAAAAAATAAGCTAAAATCGTACTTTTTACTATTCTTTATTAAAGATAGTTTTTACTGATATTTGTTAAGTTCTAAATTTTGTTCATTTACGTCCTGAAAGATACATGAAAAAGTGAAATTTGAAGAATTGAAACTAGATTACTTAATACTGAACCATAAGTTTTGTGCTGCTGGTTTTTTTTTTTTTTTTTTTTGTTAATTATATTCTAACAAGTCAATTTTATCGAGGTTTTTTTTCCAACACTTTGTTTTATTTAAAGAGAAGCATGTTAATTTAGTGGTTCTAATAGACATAATTTTATTCATGTAATGTAAGACTGTGGTTAATGTTGTGGTAAACTCAACATTAATGTCATTCTCTGTTATGGATGATTCAAAAAAGTATTTCACTTTATTTTTTGAAAAAAACAATTGGACATTAATTCCTATTGTAGACATCTTTTTTCATAAAGCTATTTAATTAAATTTGCTCTCTGTCGTCAAAAGTAATATACTCTAGATATGTATTTTAAAGCAAAATAGTTGATAAAAATAAAGAAATAAATATATCTATTTCTTTTGATTTTTTTATTGCTATTTTAATATTAAATATGGGTATTTATTAATAATGAAAAGGCTCTCTATAACAATAATTTCTTGCGCTATTACAAATGTGTCGCTATAACAGACTTTTACTGTATTAAGTTGCCAGGGGAAAAAACAAAAATATTGCATTTGTGGGGAGAGTAGATATCGACAATATCAACCTTCATCTATGAAAAGGTACCCCTCTATAGAATCAGGTTAACATGCTTTATATACTAGTGAATTGAAATTATATTTTTGTACTGGTAGATACACTACAGTACTCCCCCACCAGAATTATATCTGCGATATAATTAGATGAACGAATACCCCTAGTTGATTCATTTCAGTTTTGTGAGAAGCCGGGAGAGCTGCATTAAGATCACCATATTTTTTTGAGAGCTGCATTAAGTTCACCTTACTTTTTTTGAGTGCTGAACGTGAGAGCTGTATTAAGTTCACAGTCGTGGTTGCTCCTGTGTTGCCATTAGCAATCGAGTGTATGCAGGCCGACATTGTTCGAAACTGTGTAACAGTGCTAGGATGTGTCGGAGTCACAAGTATCAATTCAACTGTTCATTGTGTACCTTCCATCGAAGTAGGCGTGTTCAGATCGAAGTGGGAGTTACTGTCGATGTAGGCGTGTTGACATCTCCTCCAAAGGTCACCGGGGTAGTAGATACCAGCCATGTCAACCTCCATGTATGAGACTCCATAGAATCGAGTTAACATTGTCTTATATACTGGTGAATTGGAATTATATTTTTGTAGTGGTAGATATACACTACACCTTTAAATACTTTTATTTGGAGGAGAGGTTATCATAGAAGTTTAAAGGCATTAATGATTTTGAGTGAAATGTGAAAACCAGAATTTTTTTGTGAATGTTGAATATAAATCTGCTACTTAACATTAAAAGTAAAAACAGTTATATAAATTCAGAAATTAATAATTTTTAACTCAACATTTAATAAAATATAAATTCTTGCAGGATTTTCTGGATACTAGGCCTTACATTTATATGTCCTCAGTGAGAGATCCTCTGATTCGTCTTCACAATGTGCATTGCGGTGTTCAAGAGATTGTTGTTGATCAAAGCATAGATGAAAATATCTTGCAGTCTGTATCCTTGGCATTTGGGCAATCATGTGTTGTCATTTTACACTTATCAGATTTTGGAATTTTCAATACAAATGGTACATAGTATATTCATTCATTTAATATGTTTTTTAAATTTTTCAACATAAAAACAAATATGTTTCATCTTTAAAAAAGGTATAGTCGATAATTTCCTAATCTTTTGGTTCCATTGAATCCTTGAGTCAAAGTATTAAACAATCTTGATTTGTTTAATATCTTTTAAAAATTAAAATATCCAGGTTTTTTTTCAGTATTTAACTCAGTTTTTTTTTAAAAATCTAAATAAACTTTTTATACTTAAGCCAGTTTTTTTATATTTAAAACTGTAAAAATATGTTGTAAAATTTTGAAATTATTAAATCTAGAGTCAGAGTATTAAGCAATCTTGATTTATTTAATGATTTATTTTAAAAATTAAAAAATATCCAGTTTTTTTAATCCAAATAACCTTTTTGTATTTCAGTTTTTTATATTTAAATCTTTTTATTATAAATTTTTTTTATTTGAGAATATCTTTTTATTTTAATTTTTAAAACTGTCAAAACATTTTTGAAGTTATTAAATCTTATCACTGTCTTTCATGGACTAAACTTATTCACTGGTTGTGCATATTTTATCGCAATTCTGTTAAACAGTCGATGCACTCTTCAGTCCTGAGGGCCGAAATCCGTCTTGAGAAAAGATCAATGGATCCATCCACCCATTAATATTTATTTTTTTAATATTTTTCTTTTCCTTTAAAAAAATTTAACTTTTATTTTCTGAAATATTAATTTTAAAAAATATGAGATAATTTTTAAAAAAATGAAATTTATAGAAATAGAACATAACTTAATGATGCTGGGAAAAATAGGTTGAGATATGAATAGCTCCAAGAAAAAAAAATGTGTTGTAATTCAGAGATTGGTGTAAAAAGATAGGTTAACGGTTATTTTAGTATTATTGGTTGTAAAAGAAGTGAAATAAGGAAAATAAATGTATCCTTTTACAAAAAAAATAATTCTTATNAATAGTTATTTTCCTTTTAAAAAAAAAAAAAAAAAAAAGGAATCACGTCATTGATATAATATATGGGTTCTCCAAATTGAGCTATAAATTTCTGCTAAATAATGCTAGATGGTCAAAAAATAGGTCTTTTTTAGTGGCATCATCCATTTCTTTAGTACATGAAGTTCCATTTACTGTTCCATAGACCCAGTTTGCACGTTTATCCAAGGAACATTCCAATATCAAAACTGAATTTTCCAGAAAATCACTACAGTGTTTGACAATCGTAATGTTTATTTACACTTGATGTTTGGCAAAAAAGTTGCAATAGGGTGGCTAAAATATTAAAAGTAGAGATTAAAAGATTTTTTATTATTTGATTGCTACTTTTTTCACCCAAACTATGTATTTTTAACTATAAATATTTTTATAATGTATCATTACGATTAAGTGTATCTTTACAAATTTAAAACCTGTTTTGTGTTGTTTAAATATTTCTAAAGATGAATTTCTATTTAATGAATTTTCCATATAACAAACTTATTATCAGGATTTAGAGACTTGGTAAAATAGAGGTCCAACTGTAGTTGGTTAATAAATTGTTAATAAACTTAAAATGTTATGTTACATTACTGGTTCAAAAATTTAAACCCTAAATTATATAAATCGAGATTTTTTTTTCTTCGCTGTCTCGATTGTCATTCTAAGTTACAAAAATTCACGATTTTCACTATTTTCTGTGCAATCAATATATATCAGAAACTAGTTATTTTATCATGATTATGTAAAGTTTTTGAAAATGTTTTTGAACTTTATTGATTTTATGTTTATAAATTAAGAAGTTTGAACGATAGAAAAAAATAATTTTTATTACTACAAGGATCCTAATTAAGATTTCTTTTCCAAAAGTGATTAAAAAAAATTTTTGATCGCTTAAAAAGTACTTAAATGGTTTTTACTTTTTGCTGAAAAATCAGACTACGCACTCTGATATAAATGTAGCAGGTGTTTTCAAATATTTCTGGATAGCCATATCATTTCCTCTAAATATTGAACAATAGCGAAAGTTACAAACTTTACATTGGCATATCAAAGTTATATTACTATATCAACTCTATTTTTTTAAAAAAGTTTTCCAGTTATCTAAATTTTTCCTCAATCAGATCAGCCGCAGTGATTGCTCCCGTTTCAGATTCACAGTGACACGCATATTGTCGCAGAATGTAACAGAGTTTTTACGGAATGTTTTTTCTTTTGAAAAGTAAAAAAATGTAGTTTTCTTTTCTACAGAAATTTATACTTAAAGTTTGAATCATGCACTTAGATAATCACTTTTTGTCACGCTCGCTGATAGTATTGTAAATCGATGTAATGCTTTGATTGTATTTCCGGCACTTTTGTTGTTTTTATATATCCCGATATATTTCAAACACTATCAAAAATTCGAATCTTGCAGAGTATTTACTTTTAAAGGCAATAATTCTATCGATTTTTAGGCAGTTATTGCTATTGATTTCTCCATAGTTTTTAATTGTGATATTTTTTATACAGTATTATTTATTGCAACTACCTAATCTCGTGACGAAACAGGCATTTGAGTAATCCCTTTTATAGGAGTCTGATTCGCACAATTTCGTCGTAGGTCTTTTTCTCAGCGATTACTACTACGTGTTTCATGATTTTTAAATTTTTTTTTACTGTGATGATTATTTACAAAATGGGAAGAAGGAAATAATTTGTTCCCCCCCCTGCAAAAAAATGCGAGAATATCACTCATAATATTAGAATAAAAAATTATTACATGTTCAATTAAAAAAAATTATATAGTTATTTTTTTTTTTTTTTGTAAATGCAGTACTTTTTCTCTTTTAAATTAATAACATATATGTCTGTTATTATTAAAAGTACCTTGCAGAAAGATATTAGTGCTAGAGAGTTTTGTCGCAGATAGCTCGAAAAAATTCTGCCTTCCTCTCTGGATGATTGACATTCTACTGCATTTTTAAAATGAACTAATCATTGTTGCTATCTTAAAAAAAAATCAAACCTTCTTTCTATTTATATGTGAAATTAAATTCTAGATCAGAAGCCGGAAGCAATTCAAAGAGTGTTCCTCCCTCTCCTTTCTGACGTTTCAAAAAATGTTGTCGGAATTTTCACAGCCGAAAAGTCATCGTGGGTAAGATATTACACTTGTCAAATATTTTCTGCTGAAACGTAGATGTATTTTAAGAATTAAATGAGCCTTTAAATCTTGACTATATTTTGGAACTGAATACATTTTTGACTGTCTGCATACGTCCTCATCTGGTTGTTCATACACAGGACATGGTGCGTAGTGTTTTTTAAAAAGTTCTTAAAGGTGTTTATTTTCAATTTTTGTTTTTTAAAACACTTAAAGGTGCTTTTTTATGGGGTGTTTTTTAAAACCCTTAAAGGTGCTTTTTTATGGGGTATTTTTTAAAAGTACTTAATTTTTTTTTTCGAAAATAAGACTTTTTTACCATGTCAATTTTTGCTGCATATTATGTAAAAACATAATTTTCACATTGTTCTATTCTACACTTTCAACCGTCCCGCAGTGGACTGATCGTTAAGACACGGTTCCCAGCAGATCACCGAAGTCAAGCATCATTGGCTGCTGTCAGTGTGCGGGTGAGTGACCACTTGGATCAATCTGCGTAGGGACCGAGGGTGTGCGGTATTGGTCCTCGTTAAACTGTTCTACCGTAAAGTGCTCGACTTCGCATGCATGCCGTTGGGCTACCGAAGCGGGGGTGTCATCCCCTCTGCAGAGGATCAAAATTGTGATGGCTTGTCTTCGGATCATTCTCAGGGATGTTTCCCAGACCGTCGCCAATAGCCCATTGTGCAGCTCTAGTGCGACGTAAATGAACTACCTACTTACACTTTCAGCCACAATCTTTTTTAGCATTTTGTCGGTCCTCAACGTAGGATAGCACCAATCGTGTTACATGTTTGATGACATATTTGGGAATGACTACTGAGCTGTTTTCGGTGAGATTTTTGCACTCTCGTGTGCAACTCTGCTGCATTTTGCAAGATATTCTCAATTTCAGCCTTTATTTTCCACCTTCTGAAATCAAACTGAAAATTCGATCTTTTTATGGTAGCAAATATAATAAAAAAAAGTTTTTCGTCAGAAACTTGTTGTTTTTTCATGATCATGTTAAGTCATTGAAAAATTTTTTGCATTTTATTAATGTATATAGTGCTGAAAAATATTTTTTGATTACTTCAAAGGTGCTTATTTTTTGTTGAAAGATTTGGCTATGCACCATGTCTTATTCATTCATCATTGCAAAAAGCACATACAAATTCTAGCTCATCAATATTAGTCAATAAATCAGAGGCTGTTGCAATTAATTTTCTGTTTGGCTGTCGTTAATTGAGCATGCGAGGGGGAGAAAAAGGTAGTAGAATCATTTTCTTGTTGAGGCAAGATAATTTTCTCTAGAACTTAGTTGTTTAAGCAAAAAAATTAATAGTTTTACAAAATAACTTCATAACAACATATTCTTTATCAAATTCTGAAATTAAATTGGGTGGCAGTATCTTTATAAGGATTGGGCATAAGATTCTCATAACTTTTTATTTTAACAATTAAACATTCCAGAGTATGAATTTTTTTAATTTTGTCCTACATATTACTAAATCAGAGTTCTCTCTAGGAATAAAAAAATGCAGGCGTTTCTTCTTAACACCATAAAAATGTATCAAAATATTTAATATAAATTAAAATGTCTAATAATAACTGAATTTTATCCTCAACAAATTTTAAATTACTCTTATACAAACTAAGGTAAACAACGTTAAAGAGCACAAAAATATTATTAAATGCAGACAGCTGTTTCGGATGCTCAAAGGGCAACCTTCATCAGTGCAACAGCTGTTGCACAACTGTTGCACTGATGAAGGTTGCCCTTTGAGCATCCGAAACAGCTGTCTGCATTTAATAATATTTTTGTGCTCTTTAACATTGTTTACCTTAGTTTGTATTTTCGCACAAGGGTCGCCCACTTGTGTATTTATTCTTATACAATTTTATGTTTGTATTTCAAAAAGTAATTCTCTCTCATTATCAAAATAAGAGAGCAATTTGTAGTTTATAAAAATAATTAAGAGCATGCCAAAAGACAATCTCTGCATATTCTTTTTTTAAATAAAGTAAACAAAAGAAAAGAAGGATAAATTGATAAATAACTTGAAAGCTTTTTTCTCTAACTTGAACTGAAAATTATGAGAAAATGAACATTTGAAGGTGAATTTTTTTTTTTAAAAAAAAAAGGTATTTAACTTAAAAAAATAGTTCTAAATTTTTAAAATCAATTTATTAGTATCCTCCTGTAAAAAGATGTTAAGAATTATCCTAACAAAGTAAATATTTGTAATAGTATTTAGAATTAAACCTATAAACTCAGATAATTTTACCAATGTGTCATTACTATTTTAACAGTGAATTAATTTTTTTCAAAATGGATTATGAATAAAAAGGCAGTGTTTTTAAGGGATAGCGGCTTATTTTTACGAAACGGGTAAAGAGGGTACATTTATTGGGATCAAAGGGCAAAACAGGACAGGCCGCCTTTTAAAAATCGCTTTGGAGAACCTTGTTCTGAATGCTTTTGCTCATTCATATTTCTAAGAGGGAGAATATTATGTAAGTTGCTCATATGAGCAGTAATTATTTCTTTATTACCTAATCTTTTTTGCAATATTGAAATTGCGCTTTCGTAGTGAGCACTAGTCAGTGTAAGACCTTCAATACCGCTCCTCAGAGCAACTATGATTTAAAATTTTTAGTGATTATTTTGTTATTGTTATACGCAAAATAATTGTGACCATATTAGTTAGAAATATTAATTACAATGTTGTTTATAGCTAATATTAAGCATTATTTATACATTTTATCTGAGTTTTGATTACTATATATAAAAAAGAAAAACTGCTTAAAATGAAAATAAAAAATCCCATTTAGATAATTTTACAAAAAAGGGAAAAAATCATAATTGTGCAACCAATTATGTTGATTTATACAATTCTTTTGCTACAATTTTTAGGTTTAACTGATTCTATTACAATATTTTTTTTCTTTCTTTTTACACTGATCATTCTGCTTTATGCTTTATTTTCAAAATAAACTTAGTGTTCAGTATTGTCTTTATAAATCATCATTAAATCTTTTTTGATGTTTTTATTTTTATTGTAAGCACACGGGCTTGAGATTCTTCTGACTTTCTCAACTTTAAATTAAATTTCTAAACTTTATTTCCTTTTCTTTTTTTAATCATGATTTATGTATACAACTTAGCATTTTGTTGGACTGTTAATGTACATGTAAAAAAAAACAAAAACTTTTATTAAGTATAGACCAGTGCTTCCCAACGTGGGGCCCAAGCCCCACCGGTGGGCAATTTGATTGTAAAGGGGGGCAATTCAAAAATGGACTCGACATGAGTTTAAACCTTTTGCTCCGTGCCATTTAAATGCAATGCGTGATTTCGGTGACAAAATCGAAGGAAAAAAGCAAATTCTTAAATAATTGCGATCAATAAATATTATGCGACTTAGGGATTTTTTAAGCGACAAACCTGAAATGAAGTATCTGTTTACAGTCGATGGTAAAGCATTTGTGAGTTATTTAGCCAATATCTTAAAAACTGAATATATTAAATAAGAAATTTCAAGGAACAAATAAAACTCTTGTTGATGCAAAAACGAAGATATTTGGCTTCATTACCCTTATTGAGTTATGTCAGAAAAATATTAACAGCAAAAACTTTGAACAGTTTCATTGGCTCCAAATATGTGAAGTAAATGATACCGCTTTACTTGTTATTGTCTATCATCTGAATATTCTATCGGCTGATTTAAAAGAAAGATATTCTGATTTAAAACAAATTTATTTTTCAACATGGACATAGCAGTCCATGTTAGTGGATTTGTCTGATATATCAAATATATCAAGAAGAATTTGCTAAATGATGAGACAGTTAGAACTTTATTTAATATGAAAGAAGTGATGGCATGGCTTCGTGAGGAAACAGAAAACAAATATCCAAATTGAATCAAATGTGCAAGAAAAATATTGTTACCGATTCTGTCTTCATATTTGGCTGATTGTGAATTTAGTGCTGTAAGTGATTTTATTGGTAAAAAAAAAGAAATCGTCTGGATATAACACAACGGGGAGACTAACCAAATTGGAACCTAAGATAAAATCTACGTGCAGCAAGCATCAAGGGCAAGAATCTCACTAAATTAAAATATTAAATTATTATAGAAAAATCTTTATTAAAATTATTTCGAATTTGAATTTTAGTTTTTCATTATATGTTCGGAAAATTTACTTACTTTGTTTCGCTAACAATTTCCTAAGTTTCTTAAGTGAACAATTTGATTTTTTAATATTAAAAATTATGTATATGTTACATAGGGGGGCATAAGAATTTTAGAAAGGCTTAGGTGGGGCATGGTACAAAAAAGGTTGGGAAACACTGGTATAGACCAATAATTAAAATAATTTCTAACTGAACAAAGTGATTTCCCATGCTTTTTTATTTATTTTTTCATGATTTGAGTTGGTAGGTTCCGCCCCCCCCCCACTCATAATGTGATATTATATCTTGAGTACATTACTTATAGCTATTAGGTGATAAACTCACTTTGACAAATCAAAGATATAATTTATGATGAATATATTCTTATATAATTTATAAGAATTTGGAAATTAACAGAGTAATTATTACTAATAATGCAAGATTTTTTTTTAATGTATTAATGTATATGGAGAAGTTTCAATGGAAAAAATAATTTCATTTAAACAAAATCACATGAATCAGACTCCTCAAATGCGTGTTTTGTTTCGAGATTAAGTTGTAATAAATAATATTGCGTAAAAAATGTTGGATTTAAAAACTATGGACAAATCAATAGCAATATTTGACAAAAATTAAATAGAATAATTGCCTTGAAAAGTAAATATTCAAATAACGTGATATTTAAAAGCCACATGGAAATCAGTATCAATAACTGCCAAAAATACAATCAAAACTTTACATCGATTTATGATATTATGGGCACGTCAAAAGGTGATTATCTAAATGCATAATTTAAATTTTGGGGTAAATTTCTGTAGAAAAGATAAGAAAAATTTCTTACTTTTCGACAGAAAAATCTTTCTGCAAAACTCTTTAACATTCTGCAACAATGTCGCTGCGATTCTGCCCTGGGGATACCCATAAACCCACATTATTTACTCTGAGAGTGTAAACAATCGATTTGCAGTCAAGAAATTTCTGTAGCAAAGTTATTATTTGTTTAATTTATCACAAAGAGATTAAAAAACTACCCAGTCCAAAATTGCTAAATTAATTAGTTATGATCTAGAAAATTTTCATTTAAGTACCTAAGCACATATTTTTGTGTGTCTAAAAATTATTTTTTAAGCATATTAAGATTAATCTATTGCCATGTTTAGTTCTTAATAAGTTTATAGATATGTGAATGATAGCACAAAATTTTACTTTATACAAAGCCTTATGTTTATAGGTTTGTGTTATATATTTGGACAGTTCAATGAGCATTGAATTGTGTTGATCAATAAACAAATAAACTTTATGTAATGTATATGAATGGGACGCTGTAATTATATTGGTTGGTACTACTCAAGAGCATATACTATATCAAGGATCAGCAGTCTGTCTAGGTTTTTTGAGAGGTACCTATTTTGTGAAAATTTAGACATAAAATTCCATTTTCCATAGTTAAATTTCAACTTGCATTTAACAGTACTAGAACTAAAAGTTTTTTTCATTATGAGACCATTTTTGACGAGATCATACAGAAAAAAGTTTTATAGAGAAAAAAATTTCATAAAAAAATAAAGGTCTAGTAGAATAAATTTACAAAGATAATGTTCAAATGTTTAGAATGATGTTCGAATTTTGACTTGCTGATTAATTTATAGAGAGAAAACCTCTTCATTTCATTTTAAAAAACTCTGGGATTTGTATTTTTTTATGGGGATAAAAAAAAAAAAATTTTAGAAGTAATCTAAATCTTAGAACTTGCTTTTTTTGAAGTATTTTGAGAAACTACCGTGTTTTCCAAAGATGAATTTTAAAGGTACCACTAAACGGTTGTAAACTTGCCCTGGACAGAACCCTGTAGATGTTTATTATCTGAATTTATACAAATATGAATGGAGTACCATTATCAGGGGTCTGTCCAAGGTAAATTTACTACCGTTTAAGCAATACCTTCACAAATTCAACTTTAGGAAAAACGGTAGTTTCACAAAATACTTTTAAAAAAACAAGTTCTCAAGCAAACCTTGTTCTCGTTACAATCTATGAAAAAGAGGATCTTTTCTGCCAGCTGTCTTTTACGAAAAGATAGCAGGAGTTTGGTCAGAAAGTGCAATGTGGTAAACCTAACTGATTGCTTACGTCATATGAAAGCGAGCTTTTTTTCAGTGAGTTTTTTAAAATGATACTACAAGGCTCTCCCTTTATAAACTTTACAGGAAGTCAAAATTCGAACATTATTCTAAACATTTGAACATTATAAACACTATTGTAAATTTATTCAAACAGACCTTTATTTTTTATGAAAAATTTTTTTCTTAGTGAAACTTTTTTCTGTATGACCTAGTCAGAAATGTTCTCACGATGAAAATAACTTTTAGTACTAGTGCTGTTAAATATATGTTTTTATTAAATTCAAATTGAAATATGCTATCCTGTATGTCTTGACAGTTTTATTTATTTATTGTATTTTCCAGAGTGGCATCACCAGTGATCATCACTTCACAAGGAATTTGTTTGAAATTGATGAAGCTGACCCCAACTTCTTAAATTTAACGTGTGTTTACATGTACATTTCAAATGCCACTGTGCAGTACAAGAATGAATCAGCACAGCTTGCTCTTCCCCCTAATGGTGAAGGCACCACTTGTGGAAATGACTCTGTTTCGTGAGTTTTTATTTATTTATATAAAGCACACAAATTTTAATAAATCTTTTCTTTTATTGCCATCTTTGATTTTAGGTAAAGATTTTGATTTTTTTCCCATAACTGCAGTGCATCTACCACTACAAAAATATAATTCCAATTCACTAGTATATAAGACATGTTAACTCGATTCTCATTTGATTCTCTCAACTCGATTCTATGTTGGGGTACCTTTATCATAGATGAAGGTTGACTTACCCACAACTTTACCCACATTGGTGATCTTCCGACGTGATATGAACACGCCTACCTTGAAAGAAACTCCCACTTCAATTTGAACATGTCTACTTCGATGGATGGTCCACATTGAACAGTTGACTTGCTACTTGTGACTGCGACATTGTCCTCCTCACGCTGTTGCTACTCAGTCTCAATCACATATAACGTATTCACTCGACTGCTAAAGGCAACACAGGGGCAACCACGACTGTGAACTTAATACAGGGTTGCCACAGGCTACTAAAATGCAACTGTTTGCTACTATTTTCAGCCTTAGGCAACTATGTCGACTTTTTTTGCCTGAAAAGGCTAAGAAAGCAACTATTTTCAGGAATAGGCGACTATTCGGAGACTTTTTTTACTCTTGATGAAGTTTTCTGAGCAAAAATGAATGTTACTTTTCAGAACGTTAATAAAACAAAACAAACTTTTATACAATCATTTATGTCCAAAGAGCCAAAAATTTAAATTTCCATTGGATTTAATAAAGTACTTGTTATATGAGCCGCTCAGAAGCCAATGCGGTTAAGTCCATTTTTTGATATTTTCTGATTTTTGGAAATTTTGATGAAATAAATAATAATCTTCTAAGTTATTAAAGGATTAACTCGTTGGTTACTTTTTTCTAGGTTAGACAGCCCTTTTTTTAATAGCTTCTGAATATATTGTACAATAATTTCAGAAGCCATTGTGAATAAGTCCACTTTTTATATGTATTTTTTTACATAAATTTCTTATCTTTTTCAGCTGCCAAAAGGTATAAGTCCTAAAATTTTCAAGATGCTGTCATTATTTCAATAAATACTTACGTTTTTATTTAGACATCCTGTACATATCTTGTTTTTTTGCAGAGTTTACACCTCGAAAAAAGACTTTATACACTTTTCTAATTAAATTATTAAACCAAGAATTTTAAAAACTAATGTATCAGAAAACATTAATTTTCTCAATTTCTGTGTTTTGGACTTAACCGCATTGGCTTCTGAGCGACTCATATGTTCTCTCTGAGGGGCAGTTTTGTTATTTTTAATTGTTTTTTCCTTCTATTTAACATTAATATTTTATTGTAATTCGACTTTTATTTAGGTACCTATTTTCTAATATCCATATTTCTAATTTTCTATTTTCTAATAACCTTTTACATTTGTACAAAACCTTTTTTTAATTAACCTTTTTTTAAACCTTTTTTTTTTCATAGTTAGGACTGGACGATAAATCGATGTATCACGAAATATCGATTTAACGCATATATCAGTAGGCCGATGTAGTGACTTTCGTTTTAGGCGATGCATTAGAAATCTGAATTAAGCCGTCGGAATTAGATTGCAATCGCGGTTTAACGATTTAAGGATCCTTGACTAGGCTGTTACCACACTAACGAAGACGATTTTGATTTCATCTAGATGAAGAGATATAGATAGCGTTTTGCTATTAAAATGATGTTAGTTTTGTGATGTTGAATGACGAAGAATGAATTGAATCAGAACTCCCGGTTTCGTGCGAGGATCAGCGTTGTAATGTGGAACGCAATGCATAGTTTCTTTATGTCCATTTTTGTCTTTGGGATTCTGCATTTTTTGAAAATTATTTTCAATGGGACTAAGTCATTTTGCAGTCGTTGTGCATTTTATTTCGTCGGAAATAATTGTCGGGTTTCTTGTAAATTATTTTCAGTGAAACTTTTGCAGCGATCGTTTCGTTCTGCATTATTTCATAGCATTTTTTTTCTGTCTGGGTTTAACGATTCTTATCAATTATTTTTAATAGACTTACTGTTACTTTGCGATTGCTGCGCAATCGCTGTTATCTTAAATTTTCGTTCTGAACTCAATAGATCAAATCATTGTGTTTCTTCAATTATTGTTTTTTATTTTAAGTGATACAATTTAATAGGGGTATTTTGTATTTAACTTTATTATAAAAAGTTAGTTTTTTAAAATTTATTGAATGTAGTTGATTATAATAATTTGATTGTTTTTCAACCAATAAATGCTCAGTCGTTTTTAATTATAGCAAAATTAAAACAAAGCTTACCTTTATTTAATTTGCTTTTATTTTTGAGAAAATGAAAACAAAGTTTTAAAAAAATTTGGCTATTAGTTAAAGCAAAAAATTTTTTTAATTAAATAAAAAGTTTAGTAATGTTTTGACGTTTTTAATAATTTAACATTAGTACTTAAAGTATTTTTTTAAAACTTTTATTAAAATTCTTTCAATGCTTGTTTGTTTTATAATTTGTTTGATAGTCAGTATCATTTTTAAACAAATAAATCTTTAGTCGATTTTATTTTTAAAAATGAAAATAATAATAAATAAGTAAAAATATTTTTACATTTATTAAGTACGGAATTTGACCATTAGTTAATACTACTTTTTATTATTTTAAATAAGTAAATAAAAAGGGTCTAATGATGTTTCAAAAGCATGTTTTTTTTCAACAAATAATAAAAAATAAAAAAATATTTTTCTAAAGTGAACATTTCTTTGGTTTGCTTTCCACTTTCGTTTTTTTTCTTTTAATTTTTAATGCAGGTATGTAAAATAATTTGTTACACTGTTATTATTTTTAAACCAATAAATCTTAAATCATTTTTAATTTAAGAAAAATGAAATAAAGCTTGGGTTTGCTTTTACTTTGACTTCTTTATTAATTTAATTGAAAAAATTAAGCAATGATATTGATGTCATAGTAGAATATGTTTAGAATTAATATTTTCTTTTGCACTAGATTTATTCCTTTTTATTTATTTTTGATTGATTTAGCGATTTCCCATAGGTAATTTTTGAGCATATACTAAATTGCGATACATTACTATATCGTGATGTCTAACTGTCGATGTATCACAATTTAAAATTTCTGACATCACCCAGTCCTAATAATAGTATTTGACTATTAAGTTATCATTTTAGTTATTTGGCTACTATTTTTGATAAATTTTTGTTCCTGTTCAGGCAACTATTTTCATAGTTTTAGGCAACTATTTTCATGCTTGAGGCTACTAAAAGCAACTATTTTTGTTCATTTTTTACTGTGGCAACCCTGTTAATACAGCTCTCACGATCAGCACTCAAAACTACAGTGATCTTAATACAGCTTCTCACGGCTTCTCATAAAACAGCAATGAATCAACTAGTGGTATCCATTTATCGAATTATATCATAGCTAAAATTCTGGTGAGGGAGGGGGGTACCATAGTGCATCTACGGTTACAAAAATATAATTCCAATTCACTAGTATATAAGACATGTTAATTCGATTCTATGTTGGGGGTACCTTTATCATAGATGAAGGTTGACATTATCGAAAACAACTCTACCCACAATAACAAATTTTGATGTTGATAGACTAAAGAAAAAAATCTTTTATTTTTAATCTTTATTTTTTTTTTTTTTTATTGTCTGAACTTGATTGCTAAGCAATAGAGTAAAATTAGATACTATTGCTCTCTTGAAATAGTATGGTTATCTTAAATTGATCATTTGCGACGGTGATTTTGCTTGGCCCTTTTTGGGACTGTCGGCTAATATATATAGCGTAGTAGCCTCCACCCAATTTATGATCCAATTTTTTCGAAATTTTGTCTACCCCCCTTGTTTTGAGGGTCAAGAATCCAAATATGTTAAAAAAATACATGTTTATTTAGAGAAAGTACATTTTTGTGTCTGATTTCATAACTAAATTAATTAGTATAATTGAAGTCACCCCCTGGAGCCATTATGATTGATACTTAGTAAGTGAAAATACAATCATTAGAAGTTATTCAAAATGATATATTTTTCATTTTGCGCGCTGTACGTGAAAATCTGGTTGTTAGATTGAAAGTTATTAAAGTGGTTCCATTACTTAATTTGCGCTCTTTTCAAAGGAAAGTGTATTTGTTATCAACTATATTTTAAAAAATTTTTGTTTTTAAATTATTTTTGTTATGCTTAATTTTTTTTCTTTTTTTACATTTCTTTACATTTATTAATTGAACTAATATCCAAGCACTCATGTGTATTTAGTTTGAAAGAAATTAATAGTGTATATTGTGTTGTATAATTCTACCCTAATTTTTTAAACATGAGAAAGCAAATTTCTGGTATGTTAGGTGTATAAGTCAACTGCTAAAAAAACAAAGTCTGAAAATTTCTAAAATTACAAAGAAATATATTGTCTACAAAATTTTCTTAACTTAAAACTTTCACATTGTTCTATCTAGATATGAGACATTTACTCTGAAATAAAGATTCTATAAGGTGTTCCCTCAAAAGTGCTTAATTTTCCCTTTTCAAAAATGAGATTTTTTCTTTACCATGCTGATTCTCGCCACATATTCTTCAAAAGCTTGCTTTTCAACTATCATATAGACTATTATATAGAAAAGTAAAACATTTTATCAGACAAATAATTTGGTTTTCGTTTCAGCAAATCTATAATTTTGAAGTGCATGATGCACTTCAAAATTTTTTAGATAATCTAAAACACTTCAAAAACAACTTCAAACATGTTGCAGCCACCTCCCTTGATATTAAAGGCGCTTTTGATATCATACAGTATAATTTAATTTATAAAGAAATTTCAACTTCAAATCTTCCTAAGAATTTATGTCACATGATAGAAGATATCAACAGAAATAGATTTGCAATTCTATCATTAAATCAAAGATTCAAAACAAAACATATACTCAAAGGTTGCCCACTGGGTTCGTGCATAGGTCCGACAGCTTGGAATTTTTTAATCAATAGCTTGCTCAATACAAATATGAACTATCAAATTATACAAGCATTTGTCGATGATATTATTCTTTTAACGTTTGGAAATTCAAGAAGAGATTTGGAAATTAATACCAACAACACACTCAATATTATTCGAAATTGGCTAACAAACAATAATCTCAATTTATCAATAGACAAATCTGTTTTCATCCATTTCTCCAACTCAAGCAGGGGTCCAATTTTCAAAATAAACAACCAGAAAATCTCACAAAAGAACCATTTCTGATATTTCGGGGTGATATTAGATCAGAGTCTTAAATGGGGTCCTCATGTTTAAGTCCTGAAAGAAAAATCAAACTGACTACTCACTTCTCTTTATAAAATTAATACAGAATCCTGGGGCATAAACCAGAGAGCTCATAAACTCATAAATAAAACTGTAGCCCACGGTTCATGTGCATGGGCCCAAAAAATCTCACCTAGAATCTCAAGAACTTTAGACTCAATCCAAAGGAAATTTCTTCTGAATATCACAAGGGCCTACCACGCCACTCCTACAGCTGCTACAAGTCTTAACTGGATTCCCACCTCTCTCAGAACAGATTGCGTCGTTGTCGTGTTCAATAATCATAACTCAACTCAAAAAAGACATTTCCTATAGCAATATAAATTATCAATACAGTGCTTACGAGGAAAAAAGAACAATACCGATTTTTCACCCTTCTCAGTCTATCGCTAATTTAATCAGTTTGGCAGAAAACAAGAATTATAATCACTTAGATCCATAAAAATTTTTTACAGAAAGTTCGAAAACAAATACTGGAACTGGTTTTGCATTCTTCAACATAAATCACTGTAATCATTACACAATTAATAATAACAACTCAGTCTTCCAAGCTGAACAACTTGCTATTTTAGAATGCATTAGATTCATCAAATCACAAACTTCATTTAAGGCATCTAAAAAATATACAATCTGGTCGGATTCTAAATCAGTACTATACGCTCTAATTGACCCAGGCATGAAAAATTCACTCTCGGCTAAAATACAAAAATTGTTCCTTAATACAAATATATTTATCTCATGGATTAAAACACATGACGACAGAACAGGTAATGAAAATGCAGACGTCCTAGCTAAATTATCGATAACTAAACAACAAAATTTATATCCTTTCCATATCTCGCATCTCAAGAATCAACTTTGCAAATCTTTATCACAAATTTGGCAAAGTTATTGAAACAATTCAGATAAGGAAAGAAGATAACATAAAATTATTAATAAAGTAGATTATTTTAAGACGATACCATCAAAACAAGAAATCTGGTTTTTAACTGGCCCTTTTCCGTGTTATTTTAAATATCTAAACATCTCAGACAATGATCACTGTACATGCGGCCTTCTGGGCACTCCAGAACACTATCTTACTGAATGCATCTATACAGCCTCGTGGTATACTTGTGCATCGAATATTACTAATCTACCAACCTGGCCAAAACATTTCATAACTAACAATACACTTAAAACTAAATTATTATTAGTAATGAATTTTCTTTCTGATAATGATAAGATTCTAAAATTTTAAATAAAAAAAATTTCTATATATTTATGATTGCTTACTTATATGTTGTAAATATTGTATATATTTTTCTATTCAATTTTTTATTTATTATTATAACATTTTAATTACTTTCTTTTATTATTTAAAAACCTGGAAATCAAAATTTTAATGAAGAACTTAATATTATTTACCTGTAACATCACCATCTAAACTTAAGGAAATCAGCAATTTAAAAAAAAAAGAGTTTTTTTTCATTAACCTTTTTTTTAATAATTTACTTTTCAAAATTCATTTATTGTTACTTTTTTTTCCATATATACTTATAAAAAATATTCTTGTTTAAACTATATTCAAATAATTATTTCTGTACATTTGTAGACAAAATTGTAACCTTTCTTTTGAAATTTTAAGTAATTGCCACTGATCAAGCACGTTCCCAGGGTTGAGGTTGGCTGGAATAGCGGCCAGACATGGATTATATGGGTAAGGGTTTTACTAACCTAGGTATGCGTCTGGAAGGAAAGGTTCAAAAACAAATACTGGAACTGGTTTTGCATTCTTCAACATAAATCATTCTAATCGTTACACAATTAATAATAACAATTCAATCTTTCAAGCCAAACAACTTGCTATTTTAGAATGCATTAGATTCATCAAATCACAGACTTCATTTAAGGCATCTAAAAAATATATAGTCTGGTCGGATTCTAAAGCAGTATTATACTCTATAATCAACCCAGGCACGAAAAATTCACTCTCAGCTAAAATACAAAAATTACTCCTTAATACAAATATATTTATCTCATGGATTAAAGCACATGATGACAGAACAGGTAATGAAAATGCAGATGCCCTAGCTAAATTATCGACAACTAAACAACAAAATTACTCATATCCCTTCCCGATCTCACATCTTAAGAATCTACTTCAGAACTCTCACAATTCACAAATTTGGCAAAATTATTGGAACAATTCAGATAAGGGAAGAAGATTTTATAAAATTATTAATAAAGTAGATTATTTTAAGACGATACCATCAAAACAAGAAATCTGGTTTCTGACTGGGCATGGTCCTTTTCCATTTTATTTTAAATATCTAAACATCTCAGATAATGATCACTGCACGTGCTGCCTTCTGGGCACTCCAGAACACTATCTTACGGAATGCATCTATACAGCTTCATGGCATACTCGTGCATCGAATATCACTGATCTACCAACTTGGCAAAAACAATTCATAACTAACAATACACTTAAAACCAAATTATTATTAGTAATGAATTTTCTTTCTGATAATGATAATAATCTAAAATTTTAAATATAAAAAAAAAAATTATTATATATTTTGGAATGCCTACCTGTATGTTGTAAATAATGTACATTTCTTTTCTATTTAACTTTTTTTTTATTATTATAACATTTTAATTACTTTCTCTTATTATTTAACACTTATAAATCAAAATTTTAATGGAGAACTATATATATATATATATATATATATATTTTTTNTTTTTTCCTTTATATTAATTTACTTTCCAAAATTCATTTATTGTCACTTTCTATATGTCATATATATATTGTTTAAACTATAATTAATATTTCTGTCTATTTGTAAACAAATTAATATTTCTGTATATTTGTAAACAAAATTGTAACCTCCTTTCTTTTGAAACTTTAAATAATTGATTGAGGTTGGCTGGAAGTAGTTGCCAGATGCGGATTATACGGGTAAGGGTTTTACTAACCTATGTACGTATCCGCGTCTGGAAGGAAAGGAAAGTTCATTCACCGCAAGTCATTTCGGCGTGCTGTCAGTCATGTAGCGTATGATAGCATCAATCATGTTACATATTTGATGCAGTACTTAGGAGTGACTTCTGAGCTAGGTTCGGTGAGATTCTTGCACTATCATGTGCAACTCTGCGGCAATATATTCTCAATTTCAGGCTTCATTTTCCATCCTCTGAAATTGAACCTAAAAATTTCCCGATCTTTTTATGGTAGTTAATATAATCCAGAAAAAAAGTCAGAAACTAGTTATTTTATCAAGATCATGTAATGTGCTTGAAAATATTTTTTGAGTGCTTAAAAAGTACTTTAAAGGTTGAGAGATACGCACCCTGTTATCTTATCATTATTGTAAAATCTTTTTTAAAAGTGTGGAATTCTTTGTTAGCAGATTGATTCCAATACATTCTCGACTCTTGTAGCTTTAAAAGTTTTCACTTTAATATTTTTTTATGTCGTGTTAATATTTACAGGGAATTTTTTTGTCTCCAAATTTGAGTGTCAACCCTGTGAAATTTTCAATAGCCTTTGTGATTCAAATTTTTTTGCCGCACCCTATATTATTATCATATTAAATAAGTAAATAGTTTTGCTCTATCATCAAATGAGGCTTTCTTCGAAGTATGTCCTTTCTAATGGACACCCTAACTGCAATTTAAGTCTTTTTTTTTTTTTTTTTGTTAATTTTGTGAAAGTAATATTATATTTACAATCTTATTTAACAATTTCTTTACGTTTCAGCTTGCAACTGACATTCGTACCATCAGGAGATTTCTTCACTAGTGTTGTTGTCAAGTAAGATTATGGAATACTTTTTTTTTTGTATCAAAGCTCTAAACTAAAATCAAGTGTTATCTCTCTTATAATATACATATCTCTCTTATAATATCCGCATGCCTGCAAAGTCATGAAAAATCAGGGAAAGTCATGGATTTTGGTATTGAACAAAATTTGTCATGAAATATCATGATTTTAACTATTATTTTTAAAAAATTCATGGATTTAGGTTGCAGAAAAATCTGATTTTTAAAATGGAATTTAACCTCCCCAATTTCACAGTATTTGAATTTGCATCAAAATCCCCACTCGGTCATATTTTATGAAAATGCTCCTGTGGTGTTCTTTCACAGTGTGTTGCCCGTGATTCAGCCATGGGGCTTTTAGAATGGCCAACAATGGTATCCAGTGGTTAAAGGCAGGTGGTTAATCCAGTGGTTAAAGGAGAATTATTAAATTTATTGTTTTGTTGGAGAAAATAGTAACTTCGGTAGGTCATGAAAAATTCTTGGAATTAGTCATGGATTTGCAAATCTAAAATTTAGCAGATACCCTGAATGTATATATATTCTTTTTTTCTTGATAATTATTTTTTGTTAGTTTTTAATAATTATGATACAGTTAAACTTTCATATAATGATAACTTGGGGACATGTACAATTTGCTCCTTAAAGTAGAGTGTTTCTCAAGCTCAATTGGGCAAAAATATAAGATATTCTCTTCAAAAATAAATAGAAAAAGTTCAAAAACGGCTTACTTTTTATATTTTTCACCCCAAATGGAATGAATATACAGTATACTCTCAAAGCTGAAGGGAAAATAAAGAAATTTTCGAGATAACAAGTTCAGAACTAAATATGTTCTAAAAAGTAGAAAAATATTACTCTAAAAAGTGGAGTCATGAAACGTAAGAATAACTACTAATAAATATGTATGTATTGACTATAGGTCAAAATACAACAATGCTAATTTTATTTTTAAAAGGTAAGGACAAAAATAAATATGCATTAAATAGAAAAAAATTGGTTTATAATAAACTTACATTGTGATTTTTCCAGAAAAAATCATTTTCTATTTCGAAAAAAAAAATCGACATAGCGAGCTTTTTTTAGAAGAAACCCTTCGAGATAGAAATTCAAATAAACATTAGGTGGATAGAGGAAAAATTATTTTTATGACGTAACAAGGTTTTTGAGATATCGAGAGTATACTGTATATATATTTCCTTGTCAGTTTTTAAATGTATGTGGAAAAGCCTAGAACAAAATACATTATCACAGAGGTAGCAGAATCAATCTGAAGCTTCAAAAATTTTAACTTCAATACTGTCAGACGGAGATTATTATTGTAAATATCAAGCTTAATCTAACATACAATTAGCACAATTGAAAAATATTAAATGTATTGCTTATACTATTAAATATATGACTTATGTAATATAACACAAAGACCTAATGTTTAAATTGAACTTAAATTCAGCTTTGCCTTAAGGGAGAAAAATCAGATGTTTATACTTATATGTTAGTTATAAGCCCATTAAAAAAGAAAGAATGAGTTTCCCATCCTTTTCAGTTTAAAGGAATAAATTGTAATTTATGGTATTATAATTTTTGCCTATTTAAGTTTCTTTGAATGAAGTTTTATTACCAACCTTTGCGTTGAAGGCAAATAAAGTAATAACCATAAAAATGGTTATTATATGTAATGGTTATTATATGTATACCATTATATGTATATATTTTTTTCAATATCAAATTTTTAAGAATTGTAAACTTTTCTTTATTTTTCGTAAATTAAAATAGAAAATCTTTTCTGTTTTGTTTTATTTTTAATTACTTGTTCTTAGTTTTTTCTGCTGGCAATGTTTTTTTTTTAAATCAAAAAAAAAACCTTGCTTTCAGAAATATTATAATTTTATTTTTAGTCTGAAAATTGTGTTGCTATTCAATTATATTTCTTTGATTTAAAAGTACAGTTACAGTTACAGTATAAGCTCGGAAATTTTAGAACTAATTGGAAACTGACGATATATACTATGTCATATGAATTTGCTTTAAGAATTTAAACCTTTTTTCATCTCTGTCGGAACATTTCAGAACTAGGAAGTCTAATGGAGAAAATATGTGCCCTTTCTCGTGAATTTTCATAATGAATTTATTTTTTTACTGTTTACCACTTCTGTCAAAACATTTTATGTGCTGCATAGTGTTTTTAAAAAGTGCTTATTTTCGATTTTTAAAAGCCCTTAAAGGTGCTTTTTTTTATTGTGTATCTTTCAAAAGTGCTTAATTTTCCCTTTTCAAAAATGAGATCTACTTTCTTTACCTACTTACTCTACTTTCTTATCATTTTCGCCACACATTATGCAAAAACGTGGTATTCACATTGTTCTATTCGACGTTCTCACAATTCATTCAAATGCAATGCATTTCGGTGCAACGTCGGTCCATAGCGCATGAAATCGTTACATGTTTGATGAAATACTTGTAGGTTCGCAAGTACTGCACTGGGCCTATTGAGATTCCTGTACTCTTATGTGCAACTCTGCTGCATTTTGCAAGATATTCTCCATTTCAGGCTTCATTTTCCGCCCTCTGAAATCGATCTGAAAAATCTCTCTATCTTTTTATGTTGGCTAATGTAATCAAGAAAAGAGTTCTTTATGTCAGATTATTTTATCATGATCATGTAAAGTCTTAAAAAATTATTTTGCGATTTGTTAGTGTATATGGTGCTTTTTTGTTGAAAGATTTGATCCTGTTATAAAAATTTTGTTGAGAGTATTTAAAATATGTTGTACAGCTTCCTCTTCAAGCAAGTGATGGGGTCTTGGGTGACTGAGACGACCATCAGTGTGTCCGGAAAACAGGTTCCGTCAGGTGATCTGCCCACCATCAGTGATTTCATTGAAGCACCCTTGAAATACTCCTTCAATTGTGGAGAGTTGAAATTGAAGACTACAAACGATACCAATGTCATCATCACCATGCAAGAATTTCAGGTGAGTTTTTAATTGAAATTCTTCCGCCAGTGGAACAGTCGAATATCGCTGGCTTGGAGCGAATGGGCGCATCGATCAACCCTGTGTAGGGGCCAAGGGTGTGCACGCAAAGCGGAGGAGTCTTCAGAGGATTAAAATTGTGATGGCATGTTTTTGGATCATCCTCGGAGATGTCTGTCATCAATAGCCCATTGTGCAGCTTTAGTCAATAACCTTCCTTTTAATTAAAATAATGCATGATTTTTTTTAAAAAGAAATTATTTTTTTAAAAGGATACTGACTTAAGTTTATAATGAGTTAAATTTTTTAAGTTTAATGATGATTGAAATACTATTAAAATATATCATTACTATACATTTTAAACATTATTACTGTGTTAAAAATTGTTTTATAAAGCATGTGAGTAATATGTATTGCAAGTAAATGCTGGATTCAAATAAATGGATTTGAAATATCTCACAATCAACTACTGAAAAACAAGTTAGCAAACTAATAAAATTAATTTCTGATAAATTTATTTTGAAATGACTGAATAAATAGTGTTCCTTTATACCCTATATTTGCTGTACATTTTTATGATAGATTCTGAGAATATAGTTTTTTTTACTATACCTTGTGGAGTACATGTGAAAGTAGCTTATTTGTGGTGAAATTTTAAATATTATTAGTTACCAACAGCATTGTGCCAGATCTTACTAAAAACGGTTGATCTTTATTTTGATGAGAGGAACGACTAAGTACGTGTTTTGCTTAATTTAATAACGTAAAGTGGTTGAAAAGAGCAGCAAGTAATGCATTTTTTTAAAAAAACATGAAAAATGTTTTAGCTTTATTATTTATGTCGGAATTTATCATACAGTTCTGTGTATGTAATAAATTAAAGCTGTTATGAAATGACATTTTAAATTATTATCTTTTTGGATTTTTCAGAATTCAAAGTAAAAATTCAATAGAGTTTTTGATGTATATATTTATGTGTATATAGAAAGTAATGTTGTTAAAAAAAATGATAATGTACAGCTGCTAACTCTACTGGATTTTACCAGTTTTTCCTGGTTTTTCTACATTTTAAGAATATTCTCGAAAATTTCCTAAAAAAAAATCCCTATTGAAATAGCATTTTTGCACACATTGCTTGCTTGAATATTTAAATAAGTGTTTAGTAATACATAATGAATCGAGCCTCATTTATAAAAATCAGTTAAAACTTTTTTTTGTTCTAAAATGTTCAGTTTATTTTTACTCAGAGCCTTCTTTTTAAATTAATTAAAGAATTTTAAGTACCTTAGATAAATAAAATGCCTATTACTATTCATAATAAGCATTTCGTGTTCATTTAATGTCAATTATTACTGAAAAATATTGCAGTTTTTCTGTTTTGATGCCAATAAAAATCCCTATGTGTAAAATATTTAGTACATTATGCAACAATTATCATGAAATTTATATTATTTTGTAAAATCTACTGGATTTTTTTTCATGTCCATGTTGGCAGCTATGATAATGAAAGTCCTTAAAAATCCTGAATTTTAAAAAATCACCTTAAAATCACATTTTAATTAATTATTTTAATTTTGTACTTTTTCTTAAATTATTTACTTTTTTAAAAGGAACTTATCATATTACAGCATAAAATAGCTGTTGTAAAGATAAATTTAGATTAAAATTTTTCACAGCGCTAAACTATTTTTTTTATTCATAATTTGTGAGTTAATTATTCTATAGAGAAAGATTTGTTCACCTTCAGTGCTGGTAATGTATAAGGAACCTGCTTCATTTTGTTGTTTCAAAAGTTTAAAAAAAATATCTGTAAAATTGATCTGAAAGAAAATGTAAAAAATCAACATACTTTTTTATTTTTTATAAATACAAGGAACTAAAACAAAACCTATTTATTGCACAAGCTCTAAGTTGAAATTTTAATTTTTTTATGTGTAAAAAATATTTAATTTACCATCAGTTTACTATCCCAAACTATCTTGGGTCAATTAAATATTAGTCTTCGTTCACATTTGCATGATCTAAAAATTCATCTGCATTACTTGCAAACGCCATATTTTTTTACTCTTTTTTCTACCATTGTATATACAATTGCAAAAAAACACAAATAGCAAAACTCCCAATTGGCAAACTTCCAATCACAGCAGATTATTATTTTTTGCTTTGCTTCCGGCCGAGTAAAAACGTAATAAAGCAAAACATATTGACAAATTCTGGTATGCCGAGTTTACTCGAGATAATAAATATTTGCAATATATTGTCGAATAGAATGAATTAGTTCAGAAGGTTGAAGAGATTTGTTGAACACCTTCAAAGTACAGGGAACAAAGCAACTGGTGTCTCGACTCGAGACACACCTAGTCTTTTGTAGGAATAATAGCCGAACAGGAAATGATAAATTAGAACATTCTAGAAGATACAGAAATAATAAATAAAAGCTTATTTTAGAGTTTTAAATTTTCTTAGAGTTCTCAGGATACAGCTCTGCGTCTTTCCAGACCGACGACTCCAACCTCTCGGTCAATGTACGTACCCGAGTTAACTCGGGGAAGCGGTTAGAGGTGCTTATTTTTTGTAGAGAAATTTAGCTATGCACCCTAAAATGACTTCCTGTTCTATCCTCTAAAACTTGCCTATTTTTCTTTCAGGTTCAGCCATTCCCTACCGATTCGTCTGGTTTCAGCGAAAGTTTTGACTGTGTCTCGTTCTTCACCGTCCCCATCTGGATGGGCGTGTTTGTGTCACTCTTGTTCATCATCATCATAAATATTGGCGTGTATGCTCTGTTTTCTGTTCACACTATGGACAGATTTGATGATCCTAAGGGGAAAACTATATCTGTAGCAGTCGGCAGTGATTAGTCCACTCTTTGTTTCAGGGTGTTCATTTTAGTGACAATTTCTATTCTGCAGATTCTGAGTAAATGTTTAAATACAATAGCTGCCAACTCTGTTTAAATTAAAATTCTCCTGGTTTTTGTACAGTATAGAAATTTTCCTAAAACTGAGTAAGTTTCCTAAAAAAAACCTTATTCAAATAGAATTTTTGTACAGATTATTGCTTTGCTTGTTTGAATATTTAAATAACAGGGTGCGTAGTATTTTTAAAAAGTGTTTAAAGATGCTTATTTTTGATTTAAATTTTTTAAAAGTCCTTAAAGGTGCTTTTTTTGTTTGGGATTTGTAAAAAGTGCTTAATTTTCTATCTTTTAAAAAGAAGTTTTTTCTTTTCCGTGTTGATTGTCATTCTAAATTCCAAAAAGTGCATGATTTTCTCAATTTTCTCTGCAATATTTATCAGTAGCTAGCTTTTTTTTATCATGATTAGATGAAGTTTGTGAAAATGCTTTTGAATTTTATTGATTTTATATTCATAAATTAAGAACTTTAAACAATAGAAAAGAAATGATTTTTATTACTGCACAGATCCTAATTCTTTTTTTTTTTTTTTTCTTGGAAAGTGGTTAAAAATGTTTTTTGAGTGCTTAAAAGGTGCTTATTTTTTGTTGAAAAATCAGACTACGCATCCAATTTTTTTTTTCTGTAATTTGTTTTTATACAGAACTCTTTAAATTAATTGAAAAAATCTTTTACCTATCTTTTATGAATTAAATGTCTATTAATATTCGAAATTATGAGTAAACATAATACATAACATTTTAAGTATGTTTAATGTTCATCATAACTGGAAAATATTAGAGATTTTGTATTTTGATGACTATAAAATTCCCTATGTGTAAAATATTTAGTACATTATGCAACAATTATCATGAAGCAACAATTATCATGAAATTTATATTATTTTGTAAAATCTACTGGATTTTTTCCCTGATCCATGTTGGCAGCTGTGGATAAAACATGTAAAAAAAATTCTTTTTGTATTATCTCAAAGCAGGAAGTTTATATGAAGCATAAAATTGAATTGTTATAATGTGATTGATTGTTGTAAAAAGTGTTGCATATGGGATCCTTAGATTCGTTCATTGTTGTCAAACCTATTCACTTTTTTTAGAGGTTCCTAAACCTTCATATTGTTTCTTGAAATTCGAAACATATATAATTGTTTAGAAAAGAATTGTTAAATTGCTTAGTTAAGCATATTTTAGTAACACATTTTTAGTATTTGCATGAATGTAATTTGTGTGTATATATAAAATTAAAAACATTGAGAAAACATGGGAAAAAATAAATAAATAAAAATGTATAAATTTTTCTTCTTTTATTAATCTTTTTTCCATGATTTCTCTGTATGTTAACATAATTTATGAGTTCTATATACTTGCAGCTTATGTGCAGTAAATAAAACTTATTAATATTCTATATAATATATATATGGGTGATTCTTTTTATTTTAAACATGACAAGTCGGATCAAAAAATTTCTTCAAATTTAAAGTCTTCAAAATAATCTAAAATTTGTTTTGTTTACTTCTTTAGTTACACTTATTAATATCTTAGAGACAGTAGTGTAGTTTAATGACATTTGCTCGAGAACAAAAATAAGATAGAAATTCACCAAATCTTGAATGCCAGGAAAATGACATATTAGCTTAGAAGTTTAAAAAACAGTCATTTTAAGTTAATAGTAAGTAACTCAACTTAAGCCTTTATGTTAGATGGACCATAAATTGCTTAAATTAATTCTTTTTATCCACTGTAGAAAGAATCAAAAAAATTTTTGTTGATATGTACAGAATAAAATTGTGTATAATAATCAATCATGAAATAAATAAATAACTTTGATTACATCCAAGCATATTACAATCATACATAAACTTGGTATTAGGTTAATATTTGATTTCCCTCCTTACAGTACAGTACAGTTATCCGGAAATCAGAAAACCAAAAAACCGGAACAAAATTTGATAAATTTTCTCGCCATTTTTAAAAAAAAAATTTTTTTTTTCCTTGTAAGATTTTTCTTTCTTTTTTTAAAGAGGTTTACCTTACCATCATTTTAGAAATAATCATTAGTGTATTACTTCCATCGTTTTTTCTTATTTTTAAGATTATTTCCAAATTTTTTTTTAGTTTGGTTTAACAATAAAAAAAACGGCTTTTTCTAGCGATTCAGAAAACCGGAAAAATCAGTTATCCGGAATAGCGATGGTCCCGACCGTTCCGGATAATCGGTTCCCTACTGTATTAGCAGTTTAAAAAAACTTCTGGTAACACTTCAATGTCCTGGCATTCATAAACCAGGATAATGACAAATTCACCATTTTATAGCATATACCTTTAATTTAATATTTTGACCTAAGACGTTTATATTCTGCAGAAAACAACAGAATTTCTTAAAATAACTCAGATAAATCTATGTAGTTTATGTTATTAATGATTTCAAGATGCCAGGAAAATGACAACACAAAAACCTACTCACCTTGAAAAAATTTTTGAAATAGATTTTGAACCAGAAAATTGGTTCTTTATTCATGCAACAAGACATGTTCATATAGGAGGGTATCTAATCAATCTATTAACATAAGATATTGATTGCTGTCTCTATCTATTTTGGTTATAAACCACTAAATAAAAGTAGCCAGGAAAATGACATATTTTCTTGGGACAAACAAGTTATTGACACAGAAAATTATTTTGAACGAAGTTTTCGTAAATAATACCCCCTACGTATATTCTAGAAATGCTTACACCGGTTGAGATAAAAAAAAATATTAGATATTGAAACATTTATGGGAAGTTTTGAAGTTAGTTATTATTGAAAACATTGTTTGGGACATGCCAAAAGCATGAAATTTTGAAGTTCAATTAAATTTTTTAACTATACAAAACAGTCAATGCTAGTGCAAAGTCATTTTAAAATGCTAACAGCAATGCTACTTATTAATTTTTTTTTTTAAAAAAAAGTTCTTTTAGTATTATAGTATTAGATCTTGGAGCAAGGGACAGTGAATTGTCATATTTCGTGAAAATCACCCATATATGTATGACATATGAGACTTATTATTGTGTAACTAATTTTTACTAGGAATCTTGAACCTTTTTTAAAGAATCTTCTAATTTGTAATTAATATGTTAAATGAAATTAAAATCGCAAGTGAAAATAAAATTAATGAATATTAATTTAATGAAATTGAAATAAAGTCAAATTCTTTCTTATTATAATTTTTTTTACCCACTTTACTTCTAATGAAAAAAATAAATTTAAAAACATCCATTTATGTTTCAAAAATATTTCACAAAACTGAATAGAGGGAAAACATAGTGTATATATTTATTAGGTGATTAATGATTTCATAAGATGTATTTTTTCATTAAGAAGCTTGGATGATGGCCTTGTATTTAAAAAAAAACTTGTTGTGAGGTTTTCTGTAATGTCTGCCGCAATTATTTATAATTATGTATTATTTTGTAAGTTGCACCTTTTGATTCCTCACATGATACACTTTTCGAATTCATTTTTTCCCTTTATTTAAATACATTTTGCTGTTATGTTTATAAGTTGAAAATGATTCTTTAAAATTATTTAGTTTTGTGTGTGTAAAAAAAGTGCTACAGTCAAGAAATAAGATCATTGTTAGTGTCATTTTGCTGTTATCTTTGAAGTATCATATATCATGGTTACCACTCTACGGGAAGAACAGGAAAAACCTGTAAAATAAAAAAATTAAAGGGATAATGCGAGGAATTTTGATTTTTTTTTTTCCTTTACCAACTGGGGAAATACAGGAAATTTTGTTTCTCATTTTCGTCTTTTATAAAAGGGTTTCGTCTTTTATAAAGCCATTCCGTTGATTACAATCAAATTGTAATCAACGGAATATTTAGGATGATGCTGCATGTATACTAAACTATTTCATTTACCGGAAACACATGTGGAACACTGTTATTATGTTCCTTTTTTTCTCTTAAGTTTTTTCAGCAATTAGTATAGTTAGACCAATATAGCTCACACAAGAGCACAGTAATTGCTGTGTTTCCTCTTCATATAATGTGTATAATAAATAAGTACAGGGAAATTTTTTTTTCTCCAGAATTTTGAGTGGTAGTCCTATAAATTTTTTGTCAGAAAAATATTGCATTGGTGTGTCTTGACTACATTCAAGATAAACAATTATATCTTTAAAAAGTGTTGTGAAATCTGGAGAAAGGGATTTACATGCTGTGAAAATCACTATGCTATTCTATATGTTTGTTTCGTTTATAGTTAACAAAATGTTTATTCATTGTGGCATCAGTTAAATTTCTTTTCATATAAGGTGACTTTCTGACCTATTCATGTTTGGGTCTGATATGAATAATTACTTATTCAAGATTATTAATTCATCTAAAAAATGATTTTATTATTTCATTGTTAGGACATCTCTTCATATAAGGTGACTTTCTGACCTATTCATGTTTGGGTCTGATATGAACAATTACTTAATCAAGAAGTTAATTCATACAAAAAAGCCATTGCCACGAAAAATAAATTTTTTTCTTTGCAAACAAATTGCTGACATTTTTTCTTTGCAAAAAAAAAAAGTACTGTCATTTTTTGATTGAATCATTCCATTTGTTGATTCCTAATTTATTTGTTTTGATGTGCTGTTCATTTTATAAATGTTTTAGTCTCGAAGCAGGATGAGTTCCTTACAACTTATATTGTGTGTGAAATATATTAAAATTTACTCAAGAACAATTATTTGGATGTTGTGGCTGCTTATTTTTATTTAATAACATTTTTTAACAATTTTTTTTAACAATTTTTTTTAAAAAAAATCATGGAAAGTCATGGATTGCTGAAAAATCTAATTTTTAAAATGGAATTTACCCTCCTCCCCAATTTCACGATATTCCGAACATCTGAATTTGTAACAAAAAACCTATGCCCAGTCATATTTTATTAGAATATGAAATGATTTTATAATGTTCTTTAAAAATTATGGTGTTCTTTCAAAAAATGAACGAACGAACATCATTTCTAGAGCAAATTATCTTCTGTGATTTCCACTAATATTTCTTTCCCTTTTGATGAACAAGAAAAGTATCTTTAGAATATAATTCTGCAGGAAAAAAAAAGTTGCTTT